CAAGTTGTAAATTACAGTGCAAAAAAAAAAAAAAAAAGTAGATGCTATTTCCACTTGTTCGCTAGACCTTACGTCAGGTGAATAGCATGCTATTCTCATGCTTAAAAGGTCAGAATACAAAGAGAAAAAAGTGCATAAAAATGGAATGTGGCTAGGACCGGCCCTGATGATCAGTTGTATTTGTTAAGTTTTTGTTTAGGCACATAACTAGTTAGAATCAATGTGGTAAGTCCACACACTGAAAAACTGCTCAGCAAAAACTCTTCAATCATTTGTTGTATTGATGAGAGAGATTAACAGGTGACTTGTGCATGTGGAAAGCTAACCTGAAACCACTAGGGTTTCCTGAGTGTGTGTGGTGGGGAGGGAGACAGCCTGTGTGAAAAGGTTCTTCCTCAGTTCCTCTTGATAGCCTTGACAAAAAGGCTTCATAACACCCAAGTCAAAATTATCCATTGTCTACTCCTATTAAATGTCTCTCAATTCTAAACTATGCTTATCAGAATACAAGTACAGTATGAATGGAAATCATACACAAATGTATTGTACATGTTTTTGTCCTAAAATCGCAAGCTGTGGGAAAAGTAAACAGCGCACAAAATACCATAATACTTTGAGAAACCAAAAAATCCAGTTCAGAGAAAAGATATGGAGAACATGGTTTACTTTATTTATTAAAGGCATAGCTGATTCTACCGTTTCTGAAAGTCTACAGAAAGACAACACAAAAAGCTTAGAACACAAGCCCATTTCCCTCCCCATAACAAGTGAAGCATTCTGAATTTTAAAAAAATCATGCAGTTTCAGTGATTCTCTCCTTGACATTGAACTTAAACTGGGACACAGTGCTTAATGTTGTTGGTTGGTCAGCTGTACAGGGAACTGTTAATAGCATCTTTCATTTTTCATTGCCTGTAATGTCCCACAGCACTATTGAAGTATGGAATGTTACACCTGCCCAAAGTGCAGCGTTCTCTTCCACACACCTTGCTGTGGTGAAACCAAAGCCACAGTTAGATTTGAGTCTATTTATTAAGGATGGGCAAGAGAGAGGAGAGTCCACATTAACATTGCAGTAAATGGCAGAATGCCCAGAGCAGAGCGCTTCCAACATTCTACAGTTTTACCTGTTACTCCCACTACCGCCCATATACAGTGCCTTGCAAAAGTATTCACCACCCTTGAAGTTTTTCCTATTTTGTTGCATTACAACCTGTCATTTAAATGGATGTTTATTTGGATTTCATGTAATGGACATACACAAAATAGTCCAAATTGGTTAGTTTAAAAAAAAACGGGAAAGTGGTGCGTGCATATGTATTCACCCCCTTTGCTATGAAGCCCCTAAATAAGATCTGGTGCAACCAATTACCTTCAGAAGTCACATAATTAGTTAAATAAAGTCCACCTGTGTGCAATCTAAGTGTCACATGATCTGTCACATGATCTCAGTATATATAAACCTGTTCTGAAGGGCCGCAGAGTCTGCAACATCACTAAGCAATGGGCACCACCAAGCAAGCGGCACCATGAAGACCAGGGAGCTCTCCAAACAGGTCAGGGACAAAGTTGTGGAGAAGTACAGATCTGGGTTGGGTTATAAATAAATATCAGAAACTTTGAATATCCCACGGAGCACCATTAAATCCATTATATAAAAAAAAAAAAAATATGGCACCACAACAAACCTGCCAAGAGAGGGCCGCCCACCAAAACTCAGACCAGGCAAGGAGGGCATTAATCAGAGGCAACAAAGAGACCAAAGATAACACTGAAGGAGCTGCAAAGCTCCACAGCAGAGATTGGAGTATCGGTCCATAGGACCACTTTAAGCCATACACTCCACAGATCTGGGCTTTACAGAAGAGTGGCCAGAAAAAAGCCATTGCTTAAAGAAAAAAAATTAGCAAACACGTTTGGTGTTCGCAAAAAGGCATGTGGGAGACTCCCCAAACATATGGAAGAAGGTACTCTGGTGAGATGAGACTAAAATGCTATGTCTGGCGCAAACCCAACACCTCTCATCACCCCGAGAACACCATCCCCACAGTGAAGCATGGTGGTGGCAGCATCATGCTGTGGGGATGTTTTTCACTGGGAAACTGGTCAGAATTGAAGGAATGATGGATGGCGCTAAATATAGGGAAATTCTTGAGGGAAACCTCTTTTAGTCTTCCAGAGATTTGAGACTGGGACCGAGGTTCACCTACCAGCTGGTCAATGACCCTAAGCATACTGCTAAAGCAACACTCAAGTGGTTTAACGGGAAACATTTAAATGTCTTGGAATGGCCTAGTCAAAGCCCAGACCTCAATCCAATTGAGAATCTGTGGTATGACTGATTGCTGTACACCAGCGGAACCCATCCAACTTGAAGGAGCTGGAGCAGTTTTGCCTTGAAGAATGGGCAAAAATCTCAGTGGCTAGATGATCGAAGCTTATAGAGACATACCCCAAGAGACTTGCAGCTGTACTTGCTGCAAAATGTGGCTCTACAAAGTATTGACTTTGGGGGGGGTGAATAGTTATGCACGCTCAAGTTTTTTGATTTTGACTTATTTCACAAGAAAAAATATTTTGCATCTTCAAAGTGGTAGGCATGTTGTGTAAATCAAATGATACAAACCCCCCCAAAATCAATTTTGATTCCAGGTTGTAAGGCAACAAAATAGGAAAAATGCCAAGGGGGGTGAATACTTCCGCAAGTCACTGTAGACAGCAAGAACTGGTTAAGCTCAACACCACTGACAAACACCATTCATGATGATCCAACATCCAACCACACATTTCAGATCAGAACACCTTACAATGAGCAGATACAGTAGAGAAAACCGGGCCACAGTTCCCCTCTAGCTTTGATGTGCTAAATTAGGTCGTTTCTGGCTGAATTTGTCCCAAGATTCAGTCCAATCAATCTTTCTTTAAATACAATTTTAACGCAACAGGAAAAGCACAATCACAGACAAAATATACATTTAAAGTTGGCTTTAATAAAATGTTCTCTACATGAAAATAAAAACACTTTTCCCTCATACAAGATATTCAGTCGTCGTATACCTTTTAAATACAAAATGCCTTTTGCTGCCTAAACCATAAAGAGGGAACCACTGCATATAGTCGTCAAATTTCTAACCTTATCCAATAGTGACCCCTAGACTCAACTGACAATTTAGAGCTGTGCCTCTAAGACTGGTCCTGGAGAGCCTCTTGGTCTGCTGATTGTTGCTCAGTGCTTCAGGGATTTCATTATTTAGGGGGAAAAAGTCATCTGGCTCGGGCGTTTCAGTGGTGACATCAGAGGAACTTAACCGATAACAGATTCACACTGGCGTACCCCAAGTGACAGGAACTTAATACCCAAACAATTAGTTCAGTTAGTTACACAATAGCTATGTAAAAAGCTGAGGTACGACTTTAGACAAGAAAACCATGCAAGCAACTCTCCAGGGTATAATATGACGATTACCACTATCCTAGAGGATGAAGCAATTACTTTTATTCAATAACCGTTGTGATTATAGTAGTGGTTGCGAAGAGGTTACCATAAATCAATCTTTCTCCCCTTGTCTGCGCCATGTAGGGGAATCAGGGACTACGACACCTGTCCTGCCCTCTGTCCCCCAGCCAACTGTCTGTCTGTCCGTCTGGCTCGGCTTGTGCCCCATATTGCTGAACCAGCAGCTTCGCTGGACCCGTTTGCTTGTTTCCTTTACATGACAGTGCCAACCATGATAGTAATAATAAAAAAAACACTGACCAGGCACAATGAGAGCCAATAAAGATGCTTAAAACTATTAAAAGGCAGAACATGAACAAAATAAACAATTATGCAGGTAAGCTAGAGTTACATTTTTACTCAATGAAAGATGAGTAAAGAGAAAGAAGCAAGGGGAAAGAGAAACATATAAATATAGACTTCCCCCATAAGCAGCAAACTATTGGACAGTTACCAAATATTTAATGAAGCTTAAACTGCTACGAACAAATCACAAAATACAGTATTTCTAATAATTGCAATCTCTATTAGAGCTAACAATACTATCCCTACATCTATTTTCCTATCCCTATCTCTGTTTGTTGATTATTTTGTTGTTAGCTAACGTCGTGGTTAGCTTTTGAAGCGTTCCCATCATCCTCAACTGACCTGGAGATCATCCTCAACAGACCTGGAGATGCACCTCCCTCCTTTTTTACATTTACAGAAAGCAACGATCTGCAGTCCAATCAGCAAACTGGAAAATTCCCATCTATAGCATAACCTGCTTCGGTATTTTCAAACGATTCTGTGCACATAAGGATAGGCACGCTTTCCCCCCCACGTTTTACCAACTGTGGCAATATAGCTGTAACAACTCCTTCATTCATTAATTCATTACCCAGCTACATAGAGTCCCTCCTCCTCCTCTTTCTTAGTCCAAGATAAATACAATTTAGTCAAGAATTCAGTAAGATCAGTCTTTTTTTTTTCCACCACCTCGTCTACTGTTTTTAGGCCCACCTTGCCTTCCCAAAACACCCTGCACCACCTTTATTCTCCTTTCTTGTACAGTAGGCAAGTCAAGACAGAGTGGTAGTAAATCCACACCAAGAGCAGCGCAAGGAGCTTTCAGAGGAGACCAGATACATGGAATCCAAGTGAGATGGACTGAAGGATGGTAGTTTATTCCCACACTCAGGAGGTGAGCATGGTGACTGGCTGTCAGAGGTTTTCAGTTTCCTCAATGTAAGAATCCTACAAGTTGGACCCCGCAGCAGCTTCGTGCTCAGCAGCGAGGTGGAGTAGGAGGTGCTTGCACGCCCTCGTTGCCATGGGAGGCACAGAGAGAAAGAGGGGAGAGTAGACTTGCACCGTTCCTCCTCGTCAGCCGAGGGGTGTTTTGAGCCTGTTGGGACGTCGTTTCACCTTCCCCAGCCTCCATATGCCGGTAATTCCGATTTGGAGCTCGTTTTTTTTTACTTCTTACTTCTTCACACAAGTGCTTCTGACTGCAGGCCCTTCAGTGTGGTGGGTTCATGGTGCCGTGGCCCCTCTGCTGCTTCTGCTTCTGCTGCATGAGGAGCTGCTCCAGGGCCGACGGCCCCGGCTGCATCATGGAGCTGGACCAAATGGACTGGGGAGCACAGAGATAGATAGAAGAATACTGTATCTCAATGCACCTGATGATCCATCATCCTAGTCAACTAGTCTAGTGTAACTAACAGTAGCTAAACCTTACACATCTAAACTAGTATCAAGTAGTTCCAATACTATTGTAATATTAGTGGCAATCAAAGTTACATTGCATGCAATTCTGTTTGTGTGTATCGTATCGCGTGGTACCTTCAGGCTGTCAAGGAGCACAGTGGAGGAGTCTTCCATGGGCGACTCCTGGGCCGCCCAGGAGCTGCTAGGGGCATTCCCCTGGTGCCAGCTGTTCTCAGGGGCTCGATGATCTGAAGAGGATGACACAGCAGGCAGGTAGTCCAAACCAAACCCACTCACAGCTCCTGGACAAAAACAGAAGTTTTCATTATATAAAACACCATGATTTAGCAATAACTTCACAAAATGTCTAGAAAAGTCGTTATACGAAAATGAAAATAAATCAATACTAACATTAATATGACATTCAAATAATTCAGTGGGTATAAGTGGTAGAGGGGCGGGTTAGAATTTATATATTTAGATTTAAGAGGTTGACTAACCCGTCTTTTCCACCTTCCAGCGGTCGACCATCCTCCTGTCTCGGCTGTCGGGTGTTCCTATGGGGCCGAAGTTAGAGAAGGGGATAGAGCCGTGGTTGTGTGTGGGTGGAGAAGAGGGTAAACTGCTTGGGTTGGAAGAGTGGGGGGACTGGCTTGCTGGTGTAGAGTGGTCTGTTATGGAAATGGAGAAATATAATTATGTAATTATAATGAAATAAATATAATGTCCTAATTTCTAACTGAGAATGTCTGCCTTTATTAAATGGTTTTCATTGTGATTATATTGAAATATCAACCCTTTCAGATGCTAAGCGTGTTATTTAACATTAACAGGGGAGCTGTTGTGATGTTTATGGTCAGTTTGGTGTGAAAAACGGGGAAGAGGAGAGGAGGCAGGTACCTGAGCTGGCGGGAAGGGACGGGGACCATGGAGTTCCTTCAAACAGGGAGTACAGAGAAGGTTCCTGGTGCAGCATGGGAGCATCAGGCTTGGGGTTGGCAGCCATGTTTTTCCCATACGCCTGGCTGAAAATGCTGTTGTTTTGATAGGAACTCTCCTAAAAATATATATACCAAGAAAACACAGCTTTATGACTGACATATTATCAAATGTCAGTCATACCCCTTTGGTTTACAACATTAAACATGGCATATAAAACGCAACTGGGATTTATGAGCAAACATCATTATAGACGCTCTGTGAGTCTGCAGCAACAAAGGGCTCACAGAGTAGCCTTAATCAAACCACTGCCTGTGAGATGCAGTCTACATTCCTTCCCGCACACAGCAGTCAAAACAAGTCTGGCGGCAGGCCTTTGAAGAGTGGATTTTTCCATGCATAAATACTGACCTGAATTGGGAACCCAGATAAGTGCATGAGAGAAGACGACTGGCCCATCACTTCAGGACCACTCTCCATTCTGGACTGATTTGTCAACTACAGGAAAAGGTTGGGGAAAACGGTATCAGATAGAAAGTTGTGTTTAGTAATCGCCTTCTGATAAATGTCATATTTATTCCATCTGCACATTTTCCCTAGTCGACGCTGCAGGTGTTTGTATGTTTGCTATGAATACTGATAGGGATGGAATTTACGCAATATGTTGGAAAATGTATAATTTAATCCCAGTTACAGTATATGTTCAACCTGATCATGTCCAAACTGTCTGTTTCTCTTATAGTGTACAATGTAGGCATAGCCTACAACATGCAACATACACAACGTTTAGCCTCATCTTCCAAAAGCACAATGACTGTTCTGACAGGTCGAAATATTGGGTTGACTTCTGTTAACATAGAATAAGGAACAACACCAACCAATTCTATCAACACTAGCCTGGAAAACATATTTACATATACTGCCCTCTTATTCAAAGTATGAGCCTTACAGTATTTTAATGAGCCATATCTCCCTACCACTCATGTATTCTACTCACATCACAGACTATGTGAAGGTGAATCTGGGCCTGTATTCATAAAGTGTCTCAGAGTAGGAGGGCTGATCTAGGATCAGGTCCACCCCTGTCCATGTAATCTTACTCATTATGATCTAAAAAGGTCAAACTGATCAGCACACTTTCTGAATACGGGACCTGATGTTTAACATGCTGTTAAGCCAGGAGGATTAAGTTAAGCAAAGTAGACTACATACAAATATGTTTCGTCCTGGAGCAGTGCTAAGAGGACTCGCCAAGGCCTGGTAGAAACCATGAGGCTTAGTAAAGAGCAGCTCTTCCTCCTCCTCAAAATTTGATAGACTTTTTAAAAGGTCTGGAGGCAGAAGAGGGGAGCTCTTGTTGTCCTAGTGAGAGAATGAAGCAAAAAGGAGGGGAGAAAAAAATAAAAGAAAACAAAGGTAAGCCAGTAAGAAATAGGTTGGCAAAGGGATACGTTTTTCAAAGATAAAGCCCGTAAAGGTAGTAAAGAGAAGCCTGTAAAGGTAGTAAAGAGAAGCCCGTAAAGGTAGTAAAGAGAAGCCCGTAAAGGTAGTAAAGAGAAGCCCGTAAAGGTAGTAAAAAGATAGGCCTAGTTTCCCAAAGATATAGAAGACTTTAAATCAAGCCCTGTCCTCACGCTAGGTTACCAAAGGCATGGTTATGCCACATAAGCCCATACATTCCAGTTGGAGTTGTTACAAGCATAAAAATATTTGACACTAATATAACAGAGGCTGGTGACTGATCTTTCAACCATATATTATTTCAACATTCAAATTCCTTCCTATACAAGTCGATCACCTTGATAATTAGGAAATGAGGCCAAAACAGAAGGTGGGAGGAACCTCCTCTAGTGCCAAGTCAATGTGATGGCAGAGCATTATGTAATGCATAACATAAGAACAACATGGCTCCCCATTGGCTACTCTATCAAACAACAAGTTTGCTCAGTCCAATAACAGATCTTATAATCCTACATTGTTGACTTCATCTATCATGGGGTCCAGTAAGGAATGGTAGAGCCTTGGACTTACAGCTGGACTTTCCAAAGCCTACATACGTTAGTCCAACAGTCCACAAAAAGATAGACTGACAGTATCTGCCACAAACCCCAGGACTTCAAACCTAATTTTTATATGTTTCTCTGAGGGAGGGAGTCACAGACCCAATGGACTCCCATCCAATAGGTTTGCTTACATTTAGAGTCAAGATACCTACAGAAACATTCCAATAACATGTGACAATTAAATACCATACATATCCAATTGCAAATGCACTAAAGAAGTGTTAGGAAGAACAAGAGGGAAAAATAAAGAAATAGAAAATAAAGAGCATAAAAAGAACCCCATCTATCTACAGCCCCATCCATCTACAACCCACCTCTTCTCCTTAAACTCTCTATTCCCTCATTCACAGTTCTAGGTCTAGGTGGTTGAGGACATAGACAATATATCAGCCTAGTATATCATCTATCTAGTGTTCTATATCTATGGTTGAGGAGTTCAACAACACTCACCTCAAAGGGAGGTCCTCTGGGTGAGTTGTCCTGGTCTGGGTGGAAGACCCCTGGGGGCGGCCTTATGCCCATCCTCTCCCCCACCATCTGTCTGTTATCCCCCATGCGGTAGGGAGGCTCCCAGTAAAAATCCTGCATTTTCACATCCGGGTACTTCATCTTCTTGTCCAAGCTGTTCTGCTGCTGTGGTGGCTGCATGGGCATCTGCCCAGCCGTTTGCATGGGGTGTTGCTCGAAGAGCTTCAGGGGGTCCTGGGGTGGCATGCCGTAGTAGGGCTGCTTGACGGGCACCTGCATGGCCTGCATCTTCTGCATGGTGGGCTGGCCCTGGTGCTGGCCCCACATCTGGCCAGCCTGGTCAACCTGCATGTACTGTTGGTCAGCAGGAAAACAGGACACCTGTCATACATCTCCCTTTGCAATGCAAAACAGCATAGCTGCCTCTATAATAGACAAGCTCATGCATTTCTTTGAAGTGCATTTAAAATCACAACACACTTTACAGTAGAACAATATCACTCCTGTAAATAACAAATGTTCCTATCAAGAGACTGAACGATGCTGTCTCTTTCCAGTCCAGAACTATTGTGATCTATAATTTACCTGATGCATCCCTGGATGGTGAGGTGGGCTTTTGCCCAGCTGTACTGGCTGCACAGGCTTGGTGGGCGACTGCTGCTGTTGTTGTTGTTGGGCCAGAGCCTGGAGCTGCACCGACTGCTGCATGGCCTGCTGGGCCTGTGAGGGCTGCTGCTGGGGAGGACCCTGTTGGCCCTGGGGGGGCCCCTGGTTCATGGCCCCCGGCCCTGCTGGCCTCTGCTGGCTGTATGGAATGTGCGACGGCTTCCCGGCCTGGACTTGGACCTGCTGGGTCCCATAAAAAAAGTGGTCAATAATTTTTTTGTGTGATTGTTTTTTTGGTTCCAATCACACATTCATTTGTTTACACAAGGGTATATATGGCCAGTTTCCCAGACAGATTCAACCTACAGATTCTCCACTGAAAATGCTTTTGAGTGCAGGATTAGGTTTAATCTGTGTCTGGGAATCTTGCCCTTAGAGTTGAGCAGAATCTCTCCCTTTACCTGTTGGGCGCCAGGCTGCTGGGGCTGGGAGGCCGGCTGTAGGAACGGCCCGGAGACAGACATGCCCGTAGAGAAGGTGAAGCCGGGGTTCATGGAGAATGCCACGGGAGGAGGGATCACATAGGCCGGAGGGGGGAAACCTGAAAAGTTCAAGATCAAGTTAGTTTAATGAATTTACATGGCAGAATACAATTGAACTGCGAACAGTTTACACATAAAACATAAGAGGGTTATTCGCTACTCTTAGATCTAAAACTGTTCAATCTAGGTATTATGATCACTGTGAGAGGTGGTGCTGGTACCTGGTCGGCTGGGCAGAGGAGGGAAGGCTCCCGGGTGGTGGATAGGGATGAACTGGGAGGAGCAGGTAGTCTGGGTCTGAGGGACTGGAGTCTTTCTGGCCTCAGACACTGGTGTCCTCATCTCCAGCTGGGCTTTCACCTGCACCAAGACACAAACTCTGGGTCAGTAAGGTAGCAAAAACCCCAGTAAACATGTCTGCGTCCTAAATGGATCCCATAGGGCTCTGGTCAAAAGTGATGCACTATATAGGGAATAGGGTGCCATTTCGGACGCACACATACATACAATCACAGGATAGATCCCAACTTTAGAAAGAAAAACAATGCATTAGTTTGACCTGTTTCCCTGCGTCTGCAGCCTTCTCATGGCTGTTCTTCTTCACTTCACTCTTCCTCTTGCCGTCCCTCTTTTGCTCTCCTTTTCCCAGCACTCCGTTGCCTTTGCCGAAGTCCCTCCGTTCCTTCCCTGCCTCCTTCTGGTGCTGGTTGCGGCTGGGCTCCCTGCTCTGCTCCTGGGGCTTGATGTTCTCCTTGAAGGTCACCACGGGTCTCTCGCAGATCTCCAACACGCTGTTCTGGGTCTTGCCATTGGACAGGACTGACTTCAGGCCCATGTTGCCCTCGTTGGGGGTCTGCTCTCCATTGGAGGACTCCTGGAGCACCGGGGCATCCTTCTCCTGGGGCTCCTCGATGTCCAGCTCCTCAATGTCAGTGATGAACAACAGCAGACCATCGCTGAATTTGTACTGAATCAGCCTGGAATACACAGCACACCCACAGGCATTGTCACATAATGTTGCATCTTGTAGGCTATTCAAAGTAAGATGGAAACTACTGATATATTGGCACGTGGTAGTTTAGTTCATAATAGGCCTTTTCACACTGCATTGTTCTTAGTCCTGGGCTATCTTAGCCCCAGGCTAAGACTGGCCCTGGGCTAGCTTATCCTGTGTTCACACAAGCATTTGTTAACTAGTGGTTGGGAGTCGAATCCTCGACTCCTTGCTCGTCGACTCCCGGCATCGACTCCCATTTCTGGTTGTCAAGCGTCAATTTCCCTAGGAATCGACTCCTAAGATTCAGTATTTTTGCAATGGAGGAAACTACTTGCCAGTCTACTTCGAGAACAAACTCTCGCATCATTCACAGCAAAGAAAGAGCGAGCTAGCGTGGGAGGGAGAGATGGGAGGGGCACAGCCAGGCATAGGTAGGCACTAGGCATGTTGGTCACCATGCAGACAGTCAGAACTGTGCATCGATAATCAAAAGATGTAGGCAATGTCTCGTGAAAGTTCACTAAAGTAGGCTAAGCTATTCTACACGCAACAGACCGAAGACCGAACACACACCAGCGTTTTTCATAGCAAAGACAAAGAGCAGGCGAGACAGCGAGGGAGAGAGGATCGGGGCAGGCAGACGGTCGGAAACAGTGCGCATATCTTGGTTACCTGCATCTCGCAATGTCTTGTCTAGCGATGCCTCGTAAATTCACCAAAAGTATATTAAAGTATACTAGTTCCTACACATCACCTTGTATATTCAAACAAAATAGGCATTTTATAGGCTATATAGGCTAAGTTGCTGAGCAAATGGGCAAGATCATGCTCATGTCAGTCCTCTAGAAGGCAAATGTCTTCCTAGTAGGACTCTGCAATAATGAGGTGGTGTGTACGCATCCGTTTCAGCGCATTTTGGTAGTCGAGCAATAGTCGACCCCTACGACTCCAACCACAGGAGTCGGAGTCGACTCCAAAAATCCTGGAGTCGTGTAACAGTAGCTAAGTGAGCAGACGTTAGCCAGCCTGCATAGCAACCATTTTTGTTAGCCATAGCAACCAATGTTTTTTCACTAAATTATTTTGTCAGGTTTTTGTCCTCAGATGAGGATGAAATAGTATACATTTACTTATTAAAATACTGTGCAGAACGCATCACAGGCATATGCAAATTATGTGGAAGTGCAGCTTTTGTGATTGGACAGTGAAAACTCTATGCGTTGTTCTTGACCCCGTTTCACACTGGCTATTTTGGCACCGTGTTTCTGGGGCTAGCCCCGAAAAGTCGGTGCTAACCCTGCTCCGGAGCAGGGCCAGCTAGCCCTGGCCTAAGGTCAGTGCTAGCCCACTTTAGAATGTGCAAGTGTGAACACTCGCTTGGCTCTGGGCTAAAATCTCCCTTTGCCCAGGGCTAAGGTGCAGTGTGAAAATGCCTAATAAGTCAGTAGTAAAACAGCAGTGCGAAGGTAGAGAGAGACTCTGTCGCATCTTTGAAAAGCATGCCATTTTTCAAAGATAGAAACTTTTATATTGGTGGTACGGATGTGGTAGTTCATAAGTCTTTAAAACAGTGGGTAGATAGTTGAAGACTCACCCTGGCTGGTTGTCTGCCACCCATTTCCCCAGGCTGATGAGCCTCTGGTGACGGGCACGGACTGGCAGACCTTCCTTGTCCACAGCAACGCCCTGGTGGCCTTTAGTGAAGTCAAGGGTCCTGGGAAAGGGGTATACCAAAACAGACCAGGGTTCATACAAGAGAACATGGAACATGCTATGCACACAACCAGTCTATATGGAAGACAGGCTGAGACAAAAAGGGTAAGTACTGTATGTACCGTAGAGCTGGCCGGAGAGCCAGAAACCCCTGCAGTTCAAACTCTTCTGGAAGTGGAGTCACTGGAAAACAAATAAGGGATATTATATAGAGACAATCAAAAAATTAGAGTTCATCCACAAAATTAGAGCTCTAACCAAGAATGAGCAGAGTATCAAAGCAGAGATTTCAAATGGGCATTACTTGATGCATAGGAAACATCATCTTCCTTCGGTTGGAAACTGTTCAGAATGGACACCAGCCAAGGCCAAACACTGAGGTAAAATAAGAGCAAAATCTTAACTAAAATGCAGACAATACAAAAACACATTCAAAAGTATTTCTGCTATTGCTAAAATCTAAAAGAAAGGGTCCAAAACGAGTAAACAACACCAGACAAGCAGAATATATTAAACTAAAACATGACACCTGGAGGGCAAACGTTGACATTGAAAGAGAAAAACATACTACTGTCGTTTGTCCACAGCACTGTCCTGAAAAACTGTGGATCGCAGTTTGAGCCAGTCCAGAGACACCTTGATGGCCGGCAGTGGACATTCTCCCATGATCTCCTCTCCTCGGTTCTTATTCAGTAATGCTTGGCTACACATGATACCCAGAAATGACACTGTGTGAAAGGAAGAGGGCAATAAAATACCACCACAAGTAACCTGGCTCCTTGAATAATTCAAATTCTGTCATGCTAATTCGACAAAGAGTGGTGACATCTGAAAGAGTATGAGGTTGGGGAAAGCGTTCTTGAGATAACCTGCTAGTGGGGCCTTGAGAAAGCACCCTGCAGTTGATACAATTAAATCTAAGATGGATGTTGTCAAATCCATTATCAGTACTTCCAGATATTTAAATATAGAAAGTAACACAAACTAAAAACTGCATAACCACGAACAGGCATGTCAACCACAAGGTGAATTGTCTTATGCATATTGAGAGACAATTGGAGTTGGGGACATACTGAAGAGGCCGAGAAGTTGGAACCAGCCGATTTGATCGTCGGAGCTGAAGCTCAGGTTGTCTGCTTCGTTGCCAAAGTCCCTCAGTTGGTGCAGCTCAAACAGGTTAATAATCGTGATGTGGACCAGCTGCTGGGAGCTGAAGGCTTTCTGTAGAATCAGCCTCTGCAAAAAAATAAAAAATAAAAATTTAAGCTATTTTTATATAGAGTGGGGAAAAAAAGTATTTAGTCAGCCACCAATTGTGCAAGTTCTCCCACTTAAAAAGATGAGAGAGGCCTGTAATTTTCATCATAGGTACACGTCAACTATGACAGACAAAATGAGAAATAAAAATCCAGAAAATCACATTGTAGGATTTTTAATGAATTTATTTGCAAATTATGGTGGAAAATAAGTATTTGGTCACCTACAAACAAACAAGATTTCTGGCTCTCACAGACCTGTAACTTCTTCTTTAAGAGGCTCCTCTGTCCTCCACTCGTTACCTGTATTAATGGCACCTGTTTGAACTTGTTATCAGTATAAAAGACACCTGTCCACAACCTCAAACAGTCACACTCCAAACTCCACTATGGCCAAGACCAAAGAGCTGTCAAAGGACACCAGAAACAAAATTGTAGACCTGCACCAGGCTGGGAAGACTGAATCTGCAATAGGTAAGCAGCTTGGTTTGAAGAAATCAACTGTGGGAGCAATTATTAGGAAATGGAAGACATACAAGACCACTGATAATCTCCCTCGATCTGGGGCTCCACGCAAGATCTCACCCCGTGGGGTCAAAATGATCACAAGAACGGTGAGCAAAAATCACAGAACCACACGGGGGGACCTAGTGAATGACCTGCAGAGAGCTGGGACCAAAGTAACAAAGCCTACCATCAGTAACACACTACGCCGCCAGGGACTCAAATCCTGCAGTGCCAGACGTGTCCCCCTGCTTAAGCCAGGCCCGTCTGAAGTTTGCTAGAGTGCATTTGGATGATCCAGAAGAGGATTGGGAGAATGTCATATGGTCAGATGAAACCAAAATATAACTTTTTGGTAAAAACTCAACTCGTCGTGTTTGGAGGACAAAGAATGCTGAGTTGCATCCAAAGAACACCATACCTACTGTGAAGCATGGGGGTGGAAACATCATGCTTTGGGGCTGTTTTTCTGCAAAGGGACCAGGTCGACTGATCCGTGTAAAGGAAAGAATGAATGGGGCCATGTATCGTGAGATTTTGAGTGAAAACCTCCTTCCATCAGCAAGGGCATTGAAGATGAAACGTGGCTGGGTCTTTCAGCATGACAATGATCCCAAACACACCGCCGGGCAACGAAGGAGTGGCTTCGTAAGAAGCATTTCAAGGTCCTGGAGTGGCCTAGCCAGTCTCCAGATCTCAACCCCATAGAAAATCTTTGGAGGGAGCTGAAGGTCCGTGTTGCCCAGCGACAGCCCCAAAACATCACTGCTCTAGAGGAGATCTGCATGGAGGAATGGGCCAAAATACCAGCAACAGTGTGTGAAAACCTTGTGAAGACTTACAGAAAATGTTTGACCTGTGTCATTGCCAACAAAGGGTATATAACAAAGTATTGAGAAACTTTTGTTATTGACCAAATACTTATTTTCCACCATAATTTGCAAATAAATTCATTAAAAATCCTACAACGTGATTTTCTGGAATTTCTTTTCTCAATTTGTCTGTTATAGTTGACGTGTACCTATGATGAAAATTACAGGCCTCTCTCATCTTTTTAAGTGGGAGAACTTGCACAATTGGTGGCTGACTAAATACTTTTTTCCCCCCACTGTATGGAATTGGGGTAGGTTCAGACACTGTTTAAGCCTAGTCCTGGACTAAAAAGCTATTTCAATGTAGATTCTCCATTGATAATGCTTTGTAGTCCAGGACTAGGCTTAATCAGTGTCTGGGAAACCAGCCCATAGCTTGTTTAGTGCAGTACTGCAAAGACTCAGAGAAGGACATATCCAAGACTGCTCGATTCTTAGTTCACCTTCACAAAGTATGCAAGGATTTAAACTTTACTTTTTACTTTAAATCTTTACCTGAAACTGCTCTTCCAGCTTCTCCCTCAGGTTGTTGAGCTTCTCCAAACTCTTGCTCAGGTAAACGTGACCGTGGAACTTGATGAAGGCCTTGATGAAATCTGATACACTCCACTTTGTTTTGATCTCATCGCGGCTGAAGATAACAGACTGGGATTAAGCATGTATACAACAAGTTCAACTCTTTCTAAAGTCTACACACTGTAAACTAGGGATGGGCATGAGTAATCGAGTACTCGAACAGACGTCAAAACTCGATCTTTAACCTCTTAAGGATCTGACCCTTTTTTTCAATTTTTCGCCTAAAATGACATACCCAAATCTAACTACCTGTAGCTCAGGACCTGAAGCAAGGATATGCATATTATTGATACCATTTGAAAGGAAACATTGACGTTTGTGGAAATATGAAATTAATGTAGGAGAATATAACACATTGGATCTGGTGAAAGACAATACAAACAAAAGAACATGTGTTTTCTATTTTTTCATCATCTTTGAAATACAAGAGAAAGGCCACAATATAATATTGCAGTTTAGGCTCAATTTAGATTTTGGCCTCTAGATGGCAGCAGTGTGTGTGCAAAGTTTCAGATTGATCCAGTGAAGCATTGCAATGCTGGACTAATTTGTATCAAGTCTGCCCAAATGTGCCGAATTGGTCTATTGATACATTTTCAAGTACATAACTATAGAGAACATACAAATGATACAGTAATACAAAATGTAAGTTTGCACACTCCCAGGAATGTCATACATGATGGATCATTAGCTTATACACATCTAGATGGCCGGGCAGGTGGGTGTGGAGCCAGAGACAGCAGGGGTTCAAACTGTAGAATCCAGTTCCTACATTTGAATATAAATATGGTTTTTATCAAACAAAACTATGCTACATTTTAACTCTGGGACCCTTAGGATGACAAATCAGAGCAAGATTACTGAATGTAAGTACATTATTTACCTTCAGAGGTGAATGTATCAAACCAGTTGCCGTGATAAGTTCTGTTGTTGTGCACTCTCCTCAAACAATAGCATGGTATTTTTTCACTGTAATAGCTACTGCTACTGTAAATTGGACAGTGCAGTTAGATTAACAAGATTTTAAGCTTTCTGCCAATATAAGACATGTCTATGTCCTGGAAAGTTTGCTGTTACTTACAGTCATGCTAATCACATTAGCGCACGTTAGTTCAACCATCCCGTATACGGGACACCGATCCCGTAGAGATTACCCAGAGATTTTTTAAAAATCTAATACTGTAAAACTATTTGGTGGAATGTGCTGTGGCTGCCCAAATGTCTTGACGACAACGTTAATTTGCTTTGACTATAGTGTTCCATTTGTGTGTGTGCATGTGCGGGGCACAACAAAAAATAAACAATCATCACACAGTTCTTCTACCTAAATTCCCTTTCCCCTCAGTGTCTCCCTCACTCAATTGCGTTCCGACCACTCCCTCTACACACGCGTGCCAAGTGCACGCACAAGCTCCCGTTAGTCTTGCAGAAATAAATGCCTATGAAAACGTATCTAACTGATGGGATACACAAGCTACATTTCTTGCCAAATGACGTTAGTTTTATCACAAATTCAAAATGGACTGGTTGATTGATGTAGGAAACTATGTGTTCCAACAACGAGCTGCAGTTTTGTTTTTGCTTAGGATACTTTGCTAACTGGTAGTACCCCCCCTAAACATATACAGGTTCCACACTGAAAATATGCAAAAACAGTTTGATAAAGACAGAGCGTATTTTCATCAGAATCATTAAGGCTAGGCCTACTCGCCAAACTGATGTCATGGCCGTAATTTATCACCATACAGTGTTCAACATGGAATTGTTAATCCATTTAGAAAATTCAAAAGAACAGGCAGAATAAACTAAATCGAACGTCTGTATATCGAAAAGACTGATTTTGGTTTGTAACCCTGAGAAAATGGTATATCAACTCATTTCAAATGATCACTCTTTTAAGAACTGTTCCAGACACGAGATGTGCAACACTTCACACTGGCAACTTTTTTTAACCTCGAAAAATATTTGGTTATATTTTTTACTATAACATAGGTGTATCTTGACTGTGATAAGGGCTCGGGAAATAAGACCGTTTTGTATGCTAAATTAACACAAGGTATTGCCATTGCACAGCCATAGGCTTCTACAAGCAAGCACCACTGCTGAGGTTACTGCCTTTTTGAAGATTGTGTTCCATGATATAATACAACCAGTTGGTTGTAAATGTTTTGCATGTTAGCAATCAAGTTTTCAAGATATATGCGACTTTCAAAATACAGAATTCTGCATTTTGAAAGTTACATATCTTGAAAACTTGATTGGTGACATACAAAACATGTTGGGACTATATCAACAACGGACTAATGAAACAAATACCAAAATATTGTTTTTGGGTGGAGTTTTCCTTTAAATGGCACTAGTTGTTTTATTTAATGAATATATAATGGGGCAATTTAGCAATTAGGATTTGTTATCTGTAATTGTTATGATAAATTAAGCATTGTTGCGCACTGTTGGAATATAGATAACTGCGCACATTTTTTCAGAGTGTGGGCCTTGTATTCTAAAACTAGATTTTTTTATTTTAATTCGAGTGCTCTGAAAAACATTCTGCAAGTACTCGAACAGTCAAAACATTCCAAATGCTCATCCCTACTCTAAACCAGCTGGGTGACATCAACACCTGTTAAGAAGGAAATCAAACTGCTCATTAGTCCCTTCCCAAATGATGTTTGATAAATGTGGGAAAATAGATACAGCTAAGCATAACACCTTTTGAAAAGAGCGGTTGAAATTAGGCTACAATAAACACACTCAACAATACCTTTCAATAGCTTTAGCGAGAGCTTTCTGCAGGTTGGTGGAGGCTGCAGGGAATGGGAACTTGACGGCGATGCTCCTGCAGTAGTAGAATATCGTTGTGAGGTGGTCCCCTTTAGAGGAGGCCAGGATGGCCAGCTGATTGTAAGGCTGACCTGTTGGAGAGGAGAGAGACATTGGGACATCAGTGAAATTAACAGGTTGACAGAAGATTTAATATCCTGAAATTATTTTCTTGTCAGGTGAAGTTTTGGAAGTTGCAAAGAAGTACATTGATGCTCTGTGTACAGGTAAACAAATACTGTACATGAAAACTTTTGTAAGTACTTACCATTTGAGGGGACAAGTTGAGCAGCGTGTCTGTAATAGGACTCTGCCTGGCTGGTTTGGTTACGATATCGTGCTTGAAGGGGGGGAAAGCAGATAAGCAAAACCGCTCAAAGCACTGCTTGGGTGCCTGATAAAAATATTGACCTCAAAATGATCTGCCCAGTGATATTATTTTGTAGTGAGAGTGCGAAAACACTCACCAATGTCTCCAAGGTGGACAAGACAATGCTGGCAGATATAAGAGCAAGAGCTGGGTTGGGGTTTTACAATGGTGCTGGGGTTGGTCTGTTTATTGCTGATAATTCCAAGCTGAGATGATTTCACACGGCATGGCAAGTCCACGTTGAACACAGTACACAGCTCCTGTAGTAACTGTTAGAGGAAAGGATCAAGTCAAGTTACTAATAGTTGATGCGTTTTGCTTTATCCGTCATTTCGACGTTTGAGAGATTCAAACATCATTTCAAGCATCATTTGAATTTCTGATGAACATACTTATGTCAATATGATTAACTGCTTGCTTAATACATTCTAGACCTATATCTGCCGAGCTGGAAAATAAGGTTTGGCCAAAACCTAAGATTTTTCAAAAACGTTAGGCTATATTCTAGTTGCAACTTACTTGTGTGTAAAATCCACTAGCTGCCTCGAGAAACAGGGACAGATTGGCCTGCACCTCACTTCTATTGGGGTTGGCTCTGTTCTTGGCTTGACTCTGTAGTGTTGTTATTTGATTCTTAAAAGCATGGTTCCAGCTGAAAAATGAGGTGAGAAAATCAAAGTATACTTTCTTGTTTCAGAGTTTAATCAAACGGCTGATGGTAATCCATCTAATTCCAACAATACAATAGTTGTATTGTGCTTGAGAGCAAATTGATTCACTCCACATTTATTACCAGAGGTGGGACCAAGTCACTATCATTCGAGTCACAAGCAAGTCTTAAGTCACAAGGTCCAAGTCTCAAGTTGAGTCCCAAGTAGAGCAAGTCAAGTCCAGTCACAAGTTTTTTCAAGTCAAGTCAAGTAAAATAAATATATATACATGCAATGACTTGTTAAAATACAAATATTGGGCTATTTATTGAGGCTACCAGACAGCCCTTTTCATTATTGTCTACAAAATATTTTGATTATGTAATAATTTTAACAACAAATTCCAAATGCATAAGTAAATCCATTTCAAGCAATTCCATACCAAAAGACCAGTAGGCCTATGCTAGCAGTAATTGTTGCTTGATGACCCATTTCTGGAGAGACTGCAAAGTAAACATTTAACATTCTTGATCAGCAAACAATTTTTCGAGCTGCATATTTATGGCAATCCTCTCTCCTTACCATCTGACAATACCACTGCACTCGATCTTATAGCTGTACAGCAAATCAGCAATCTGTTCGCTAGCTCAGTGATTCTCAAACTTTGACCCCTCCCCCGGGTAGCCCCTTTCTTCCTCAACAATATCTTAATAAATTCACCAGAATGTAACATATTCATCCCATAATATTGAAGGCAGTGCAATGTTACAACTATCTTCAGACATAGTCAGTAGCCACCTGGCTATATGAAAATGATCAATGAAATTGGCAGGTAGCCTAACGTTACTGTTCTGGCAAAGAAGTGTCTGTAGTGGATTGCAAACTTTTATATAACGTTTAAATGGATAATACAAACGTAGGCCTCCTCTGTTTTTGACAAGCAAAACCAGAGAAAATAAAACAAATGCTTTCTGGAGACTAATCTGGATATGCGCACTTGCCTTTGCACGCTAACGCTGATGAATGGTCATTGGTCAACAATCAAGACTTGCAATTTTTTGGTACTGAAAATTAGAGGTTTTTTATACAATAATTTGATGCAATACCGTAGGCCTACGCTAGAAACCTGATAAAATACGCAAAGGTATAAATATAAAATAAAAATGGTATGTACAGTGCATTCGGAAAGTACTCAGACCACTTGACTTTTTCTACATTTTGTTACGTTACAGCCTTATTCTAAAATTGATTAATTTGTTTTTTTTTCACTCATCAATCTACACACAATACCCCACAATGACAAAGCAAAAACAGGTTTTTAGAAATTTTAGAAATGTATAAATAAATAAAAACATAAATATTACATAAGTATTCAGACCGTTTACTCAGTACTTTGTTGAAACACCTTTGGCAGCCTTACAGCCTAGAGTCTTCTTGGGTATGATGCTACAAGCTTGGCACACCTGTATTTGGGGAGTTTCTCCCATTCTTCTCTGCAGATCCTCTCAAGCTCTGTCAGGTTGGATGGGGAGCATCACTATTACAGCTATTTTCAGGTCTCTCCAGAGATGTTCGATCGGGTTCAAGTCCGGGCTCTGGCTGGGCCACTCAAGGACATTCAGAGACTTGTCCCAAAGCCACTCCTGCGTTGTCCTGTTGGAAGGTGAACCTTCGCCCCAGTCTGAGGTCCTGAGCGCTCTGGAGCAGGTTTTCATCAAGGATCTCTGTACTTTGCTCTGTTCAGCTTTCCCTAGATCCTGATTAGTCTCCCAGTCCCTGCCCTGAAAAACATCGCCACAGCATGAGGCTGCCACCACCATGCTTCACAGTAGGGATGGTGCCAGGTTTCCTCCAGATCCTTGGCATTCAGGCCAAAGAGTTCAATATTGGTTTCATACGACCAGAGAATCTTGTTTCTCATGGTCAGAGTCCTTTAGGTGCCAAGCGGGCTGTCATGTTCCATTTACTGAGGAGTGGCTTCCGTCTGGCCACTCTACCATAAAGGCCTGATTGGTGGAGTGCTGCAGAGATTGTTGTCCTTCTGGAAGGTTCTCCCATCTCCACAGAGGAACTCTGGAGCTCTGTCAGAGTGACCATCAGGTTCTTGGTCAACTCCATGACCAAGGCCCTTCTCCCCCGATTGCGCAGTTTGGCCGGGCGGCCAGCTGTAGGAAGAGTCTTGGTGGTTCCAAACATCTTCCATTTAAGAATGATGGAGGCCACTGTGTTCTTGGGGACCTTCAATGCTGTAGAAATGTTTTGGTACCCTTTCCCAGATCTGTGCCGACACAATCCTGTCTCGCAGCTCTACGGACAATTCCTTCGACCTCATGGCTTGCATTTTGCTCTGACATGCACTGTCAACTGTGGGACCTTATATTAGACAGGTGTGTGCCTTTCCAAATCATGTCCAATTAATTGAATTTACCACAAGTGGACTCCAAGTTGTAGAAACATCTCAAGGATAATCAATGGAAACAGGATGCACCTGAGCTCAATTTTGAGTCTCATAGCAAAGGGTCTGAATAATTATGTAAATAAGGTATTTCTGTTTTTATTTTTAATAAATTTGCACACACAAAAAAATACTGTTTTCGCTTTGTCATTATGGGATATTGTGTGTAGATTGATGAGGACATTGTTTTTATTTAATCCATTTTAGAATAAGGCTGTAACGTAACAAAATGTGGAAAAAGGGAAAGGGTCTGAATACTTTCCGAATGCACTGTATGGCAATGGTCAATTTGCATATAGGCCTACTGCAGCACTGATTGGTTATGGCGCACTGGTCTGTGTAGAGTACGGGCCTGAGTCATGCCTGTCAATAGTTTTGCATAGCTCGTATTTTTTCGGTATGTTGCCTTGAAAGTGGCTAATATTGCGTTGATTCGATCAGAATTCCAACAGTAAAGGGAAATGTTTATAGTGTTAACAGGGAAAACTCTAGAAAAGTTTAGTGAAGTTCAATCTTGTGCTCCTCTGCGGGGGCTAATATTTCTTCGCGCAGCAGTCCCGGGTGAGCTGCGCACAGGTTAGAGGGAACATTGGTCTCAAGTCAATGTTGTGTACGATGTTAAGTTATTTTATATCAAGTAGTCTCAAGTCATCAAATGTGTGACTCAAGTCCAAATTGTGACTTGAGTCCACACTTCTGGTTATTACTAATCTACTTTCTTTACAGTCGTCTTGCAATCTTACAAATGTAAAATCCAGTTATACGGTCATTCAACTAGAGTGATAACTACTGGACTAAAGAGGGTTTTGATGTAAGGGCAAATGGGTCAAATGACTCAACAGGAATACGTAACACAACATACTTCAGTGACCTTCGAGATGAATTTCAGAAAGAAGACACCAAAACATTTTTTTCCGTTATAAAATTAGGACCATCTTATTGTTAGGAAGGGAGGCTAAGATCCCTAGACCTAACAAGAGTAGCGATAGTAGTAGGCTGCCTAATCGGTTTCATTACATAACCAATTTAAAGTAGACTGGGGCTTACAGATCTTGCTCCACTTTCTTGTCCAAAGCATACTCCAGGTCAGTCACCAGCATCTTCTGGTACAAGTCCTGAAGAGCCTGCCTTGAAGTCCAGACCTCTGCTGCACCAAGCTTAGAATCTAGGGGAAAGGAGGACATTATGGGCACTCCTCTCACTTATCTTTTATACACTTCTAATGGATTAAATCAAATCACATTTTATTCGTCACGTGCTTCGTAAACGACAGGTGTGGACTAGTAGTGAAATGCTAGTCCAGACCTGTTGCAGAGAAATAAAATAATAGAAAAGTAAAACACGTAACAAAAGATACACAATCAGTAACGATAACTTGGCTATATACAAGGGGTACCAGTACCGAGTCTATGTGCAGGGGTACAAAGTAATTGAGGTAGATACAGTGTGTACCTATAAATAGGAATAAAGTGACAGATAGTAAACAGTAGCAGCAGTGTATGTGATGAGTCAAAAAAGTTTTGGCAAAAAGTGTCAATGCAAATAGTTAGATAGTTAACCAAATAGCTACCCCAACGAACTATTTAGCAGTCTTATGGCTTGTGGATAGAAGCTGTTCAGTGTCCTGTTGGTTCCAGACTTGGTGCATCCGTTCCGCTTGCCATGCGGTAGCAGATAGAACAGCCTGACTTCGGTGGCTGGAGTCTGACACCGCCTGCTATAGAGGACCTGGATGGCAAGGAGTGCGGCCCCAGTGATGTACTGGGCTGTACGCACTACCCTTTGTAGCGCCTTGCGGTCGGATGCCAAGCAGTTGCCATACCAAGCGGTGATGCAGCCAGTCAAGATGCTCAATTGTGCAGCTGTAGAACTTGAGGATCTGAGCCTCAAGGCCCATTCTGAGGGCCCATGACAAATCTTTTCAGCCTCCTGAGGGGGAAGAGGAGTTGTCGTGCCCTCTTCGCGACTGTGTTGGTGTGTTTGGACCATGATAGATCTTTAGCGATGAGGACATCGAGGAACATGAAGCTCTCGCCCCGCTCCACTACAGCCCCGCTGATGTGAATGGGGGCGTGCTCGGCCCTCCATTTCCTGTAGTCCACGATCAGCTCATTTGTCTTGCTGACGTTGAGGGAGAGGTTGTTATCCTGGTACCACACTGCCAGGTCTCTGACCTCCTCCCAATAGGCCGTTTTATCGTCGTCAGTGGTCAGGCCTACCACCGTTGTGTCGTCGGCAAACTTAATGACGGTGTTGGAGTCGTGTGCGGCCACGCAGTCATGGGTGAACAGGGAGTACAGGAGGGGACTAAGCATGCACCCGAGGGGCTCCCGTGTTGAGAGTCAGCGTGGCGGATGTGTTGTTGCCTACCCTCACCACCTGGGGCCGTCCCGACAGGAAGTCCAGAATCCAGTTGAAGCAGGTGTTGTTCTAGTGGTGTGCGGGTCAGCTGTTTGTTCACCCGCACCTGCCCACAATTGCTAATAACCTAGCCGCAATCGCCCAACTTTATGTGATAAAGGGAAAATCTGACGCTCGTACTAGAACCCAACCTACTAAACTCATAAATCAACAGAATTTATGCTTTAATCTAGTTAACTTTTGTAAAGTTCCCTCCATCATCTCTGCTTCTTTCGTGGAGCAAAGATGTTTAGCGACCGGCGAGAAAATGCAAATAACAAAAAAATTTAATTACAATTTTCTGTGCAAAATCAGTTTGACCTTTTGTAAGGAAATAGAAAGCTGTGAAAACAAGACAATATGTTTCTGATAAGATTTCAGTTTGGCTTGGATGCATATTTTATCTGGTTGAAAAATACTATCAGCTTTTGATGCTGATAAAGATAGCAACTCTACAGGCAGTATCTAACTGCATTCGCATTCTCTCAAAATGCTGAAAGAAATCATGTCTCCACACGAGTCAAAATTGTGCCTGCATACAGTAATGATTCATCATTTTACTGAAAGAAATGCTTAATTCTGCAGGAGTTAATATTAAGGCTATGTGAAAGGTTATAGACCTTCAGTTTCCATTTAACCATCTGAACAGTAGGCTAGAGTTCCCTTGATGTGGCATGGGTCTATTTGAAATCCCCGTTTTGTGACTGTCAAATTTGTATAGCGCCTCTCAACCATCACACATAACATAGCCGGCACTGCTATCATCCTCTTTTACCACTTCACCAAAATCTTTCACAAACATTACTTTTCTGGCCCTCTCTTCTCCTTATTTTCAACTTTCCATTTCGCAGTTATTCTCTTATTGAATTAAACTTAACAATACAGAGACATGTCCTTTTTGCATCCATGGATATAACTGCGGGGACTGCGGGTCAACCCACGCATCACTAAGGTGTTCAGTTCCAGGGTTCAAAAGCAGCATTCTCACGTAGGTGATAGGGTTGGACGATGTCTGGAATGACAACTCGTCCCATCGACCTGTCCAAACATTGTTGATATACGATTGTATCATACATCTTTTACCCGGGGCTGGAGCGAGTTAGCAACGCAGTAAACGATCTGATCAGAGTCTAATCATTAGACTACAATGTGGAAATCATGTTAACAATATTGTATTTCCTTGTGTGCAAATAAATAAATAAATATAAACCTATCATATGGTGATATGTGGTACCGATAACTTGGAATGGTGATTTGGAACCAAACATTGTAGGCCAACAGTGTGATAAGAGACCCTTTCAATGGTGATTTTGGACAATTTCAACTGAGATCAAGTGCGCATGTTCACCATAGAAGACATCACTGGGCAGTCTTCTTGGGAAAGCTAAGCAAACAGTCACACTCAGCGCGCAACAGCGGGCCAGCGCAGAACTCACATCCTACCTACTCGAAGATGTAATCAGAGGAGATGATGACCCACTGGCATGGTGGAGAGGGAATGAGGGTCGCTTTCCACTCTTGGCCAACATCGCCGTCAAATGCATCTGTGTAAAAAGCGTTCCGTCTGAATGCGTTTTCAGTAGGCAATATTGTTACCCCACTCCGCAGTCTATTAAAGCCAGAAAAGGTGAACATGCTTGTGTTCCTTGCCAGAAACCTTTAGATAGGTTAACATATAATGAAAATAAAAATAGTCTGAATGGTTCTTCATTGCAAGCCAGACAACTGAGTGTCCGCTGCAAAAGGCAAATGATCATCTGACATTGGGCAGGTGAGCGAGAGAAATGTTCTGACATTATGCACAGCTTTTGCCACTTTCCACTCTGTCTACAATCTACATTGTAGGCCTACACTTGTATTATGTTAATAGTAGGCTAAGTAGTCTACTTACCTACCACATATTTATTGAAAAAGGCAAATAGGAATAGGTAGGTCATTTGGCATGTCACCCGACTCCAGACATGTTAAAATTGTTTTAACTATCGCCTGTAAAAAATACAAATATATATAAACTATCATCTGTCACATAAGGATGCCGTCGCCATTGACGATACCTGTCAAACATCGTTGATTTCCAAATATATCGTAATATCTCCCAACCCTAGTAGGTGTTCCTTTTGTCCAAATGGGACAGGGCAGGGTGGAGTGCAATAGAGATTGCGTCATCTATGAATCTGTTGGGGCGGTATGCGAATTGGAGTGGGTCCAAGGTGTCTAGGATGATAATAATAATAATATAATAATAATTGGTTATTTGGCAGACGCTCTTATCCAGAGCGACTTACAGGAGCAATTAGGGTTAAGTGCCTTGCTCAAGGGCACATCGACAGATTTTTCACCTAGTCGGCTCGGGGATTAGAACCAGCGACCTTTCGGTTACTGGCACAACGCTCTTACCCACTAGGCTACCTGCCGCCCATGATGGTGTTGATGTGAGCCATGACCAGCCTTTCAAAGCATTTCACTGAGTGCTACGGGGCGATAGTCAATTAGACAGGTTGCCTTAATGTTCTTGGGCACAGAGAGTATGGTGGTCTGCTTGAAACTGGTATTACAGACTGGGTCAGGGAGAGGTTGAAAATGCCAGTGAAGACACTTGCCAGCTGGTCAGCGCATGCTCCGAGTACGCGTCTTGGTAATACATCTGGCCCTGCGGCCTTGTGAATGTTGACCTGTTTAAAAAAGGTCTTACTCACATCAGCTACGGAGAGCGTGGTCACAGTCGTCCATAACAGCTGGTGCTCTCAGGCATGGCTCAGCGTTGCTTGCCTCGAAGCGAGCATAGAAGGCATTTAGCTCGTCTGGTAGGCTCACGTCACTGGGCAGCTAGCGGTTGGGTTTCCCTTTGTAATCCGTGATAGTTTGCGAGCCCTGCCACATTTGACGAGTGCCAGAGCCGGTTTAGTAGGATTCGATCTTAGTCCTGTATTGATGCTTTGCCTGTTTGATGGGCGTAGCAGGATTTCTTATAAGCGTCTGGGTTAGTGGACCACTCCTTGAAAGCGGCAGCTCTAGCCTTTAGCTTAGTGCGGATGTTGCCTGTAATCTAAGGTTTCTGGTTGGGGAATGTACGTACGGTCATTGTGGGGACGGCTTATTGCACTTATTAATGAAGCTGGTGACTGATGGGGTAAACTCCTCAATGCCATCAAATGAGTTCCGGAACATATTCCAGTCTGTGCTAGCGAAACAGTCCTGTAGCTTAGCATCCGCTAATGAGCGGGTCACTGGTAATTCCTGTTTGAGTTTTTACTTGTAAGCAGGAATCAGGAGGATAGAGTAATGGTCAGATTTGCCAAATGGAGGGCGCGGGAGAGCTTTGTATGCGTCTCTGTGTGTGGAGTAAATGTGATCTAGAGTTTTTGCGCCTCTAGTTGCACAGGTGACATGCTGGTAAAAATTAGGTAAGATGGATTTTAGTTTTCCTGCATTAAAATCACCGGCCACTAGGAGCACCACCTCTGGATGAGCATTTTCTTGTTTTCTTCTGACCCTATACAGCTCGTTGAGTGTGTTCTTTGTGCCAGCATAGGATATTACAGTTCTTCAGGTCCCATTGATAGTATTGTCTCGTATGGAGCTCGTCCAGTTTGATCTCCAGTGACGTACATTCACCAATAGAACAAAGGGTGGAGGGGGTTTATTTACTCGCCACGTAGCTTCATCAGGGTGCCCGAACGTCGGCCTCTCTATCGCAGTCTCTTTCTCTACCGAGTGTTGGGGATTAGGGCCTGGTCTGAGCCGTATGTCCTGTGCAACCGACTAGTTGAAGTAATCCAAATTGAGGTTAGTGATCGCTGTTCTGATGTACAGAAGCTATTTTCAGTAATAGGAAAAAAAGTTACATAAAAAAAGCAGAATTTGTCAGATCAACGCAAAAAAAAAAAAATAATAGCTGAATTGGTCTGGAGCCACTATACATTCCAGCGCCATTACATCTCTCATTATCAAGTAGGCTAAACCACTACAATGAGATTATATTTCTAAGGGCAAAACATCCTTCATCAAATAGACCCCCAACATTTGATTTTCAACCAAGTGAAACTAGGCCTATTCATAGATATTAGGGCTGTCCCCAACAACAACAAAATATTGGTTGACCGAGTCGTCTGTTCTTTCGACCAATCGATTGGTCCAAATTTGAAAATGTGTATTTTTCCATATTTAAACAATCCTATGTGTTTTAATCAAATCAACTATATGCTCCCTGCTGCAGCGACCACCACAGAACATCAACAGTATTTATGGCGCTGTCGCGCATTCCAGGTGAAGCTGGGTTGAGAGAATGTCAAGAGTGTGCAAAGCTGTCATCAAAAATGAATATGCAATGTCTGTCCCAGGTCTGGGAATTATCAACTTCCAAAACATTACAGAAAAGAAAAAACAAAGATCAGAAATTTCCAAATGAATAAGAGACCATAATATCAGCAAAAATAATATTGTCTGCAATGCATAGCATCTAGTAATAAGGGGTTGTGGGTTAAAACAAAGGAGGAACCCCAAAGGTGAGGTGTGAAACATACCTGTCATGTCAGCCTTCAGGGCCTCTGCCTGCCTGCTCGGGTATAAACAAATAACAGAAGAAGCCGAGCTAAGTAAATCAATACAGACCCACAGAGAGACAGCCTACCTTGATGCCTTGCATAAACCACAGGGAATTAAGATCAGTAGTATAAACAAAGTATTGTATTGCACATTTAAAAAGATGAACAAATAAAAACTAAAGGGGATTAAAGACAGGGTGTTTGAGTCCTCTGCCACTGACTCCTCAATTTAATAAAACATTTAACAGGAGATTGTATTCTTTTGACATGCTGGAAAGAGATAGGCTAAAAACTACAGCAACTATGAATTTGAAGGGAAACTGAGCACAATTTGCCAGGAAATATAAATTGTCCTCTTATGCAATAGCCTACTTCTCACTATAGGGTATTCCATTGCGTCAATAGACTCAAACACAGCTTTATTGGATTGCTGTGCTTTCAAATTAGACATTATTACTGGTATCTCGTCAAATAATCAATATTGGCCATATATTGACGTTACTGTCGTTGTTATCCTGATATATTCCATAATGTAGCTCAATGGTCGGGCTAGAAAATAAGAAGAAAAATAGACAGGGCTCGCCCTACTAGTGTGGCGGGTGCAGTATTTCTGTTCGTTTGCTTGCCAAATCACGATTTGTTATGACATCCCAATATGAGCAACAACCATATATTCGCTATTCCCCTCTGATATAACGAAGTAGCTGCATACGTTCATTAAAACAGCAAATGATTGGTTTCATTTCGTTACACATGCACAGTGAAATGTCAATCTAGCAAGCTCGCGCTCAAACAGGCCTAACTGGAATGCATGTTTACCAAATTTCATCTAGCAATAGCCAACGATTGTCACCAGTCGCTGGATAACAACGTTAGCTTTCCATAGACTAGAGAAGGTGCACCTTTGGTTATATTTGGCTTAATGACTTTACTTGTTTGATTTAAAACATCCCTGCATGGTTAATCCAATAACACTCAGCTGGGAAGGTAGCTAACGTAACCTAACGTTTTACTAATGCCAAGGCCCATTTAGCTAGCCATGTTTTGAATATTGTTAGCAAGTAATGTGGACAGAAAGGTTCACTGCAGTGACTTGCTGGAAATAGTAGCTTGCTTCCAGAAATCACGAATGGGCGAAACCTCTTTAAAATGTGTTTGTTAGCACATTGAACTAATGGTAGATATCCGGACTCAGTCAGACATCCATTATTAACTCAACTAGAAACGACATGCCCAGCACAGCAGGCTAGCTAACTAATGTTAGCTACCAAACAAGGGCAGGGGCGCTGGGTAAGCTATGGTTTGCCATTATTAGGCGAGTTAGTTAACGCGCTCGAGAACTAGTTAGTTAGTTATGTAGTTAGCTAGTAAATTATCTAGCTAGTTAGCTACCAATTCATTTTGTTCACGACACATGACAAACGTTAGCTTTTTATTTCGCTAGGAAAATACCCACAGTGGTTAGTGTGGTTCGCAAACCTGTTATCGTATCGAACTAGTTTAGCTAGTAAGTTAAAGCTAACTAGTCATCCTAGTTAACTGTATACATTAGCTAGTGGTAACAAACAGCCATAGCTCTCTATAGTTAGATACCTAGTAAAATAACTGGCCCTCAGTCACACTTTTCGAACATGCTCAGCTTGGCTTCTTGTTGTGCGTTGCTAGCTAACTAAGCTAGCATGCCAACTTACGGCGATAGCACAAATACGATTTGAAGCACTAGGTAAGAAACAACACCATTTCAAAAATGTTTTTTTAAATACATTAATTTCACATTCACCGTAAGTATTGGCCGCAGAGGTTCATCCTGCCCGATAGGGGTCTTTAGACAACGATTGGTCCAGAAGCAAGAGGTACTCCCGGCGCCATATTGTTCGTCACTAGCAGAGCCACCGGCCCAGTGTACACACGAAGATAGAGGGTGCTGTGGCAAGGATAGGGGATAAAATAAGACGTCCCACTCACACGTTTTACCATTGAAAAAGTTGTCACAGTTCGGGTCTGCTTAAGGATGGGTCAAGGGGGAGGGATCCTGAGAGGAGTGGTGTGAGTAGTTGATCTGTACCAGTACAGAGGGATAGGCCAACAAGTGGTATATGTTTCAGTAAGATTTTATTTTTTAGCATTTATAGCAATGATTATCAACTGTACTGCAGTGATGGAACGTAAGGCACAGAAAATGGAGGTTGTGGTGGCAGCTGCAGAGAGGTATTTGGGTGTGCGAGACTTCAGAAGAGTTACAGGGTGTGTTAAGTGGTGGTGTCCCATCCTTTCAGGTTGTTGACCTGAGGTAGGACTAAATAGATTTAGAGTAGGGTGGTGTTATTATTGTTATTATTATTTAATTTTTTGTGAGTGTAGTGTTAGATGGTAGGGTATTTATTTTTTTATTTTTTCAAGCAAAGTATAAGGGAGTTGTACTCCAGTCTAGTAGGTGGCGGTAATGCAACATTTATTGGATGCCAACCGCCGTTAAACCTCATCGAAGAAGAAGAAAAGCAGAAGAAGGTCTGCTTAAGGGGTGGCAGCTGGGTCTGACCTGCTTAGTTCATTGACTAAATATGAACCAGATAAAATGAGCGAGTTGAATGTTTCGCTTTCTCATCCTTCTCTGGTTGTAATTTGCGCGTTGATGAGCCGCACACGTTATGGTTTGCCAGCTTTGTTTCAAGCAAGCCAGTGGGCATGCTTCGCGGTCACACACTGATCTACAATAATATATACAGTCTGACCTCATTGCCTTGGTCAGGATAAGGAATATGATCAAAATTAATAGGTTACTAGAATGGAATCACCCAGACAATTGACAGTTCCATTGTCTATTTAACAAGCTGAGTCCATTTTTTATGCATCATTGCATTAAAGATCCAGACCTCTTGGCAGATATAACTATGCTCGTTTACAACAGGGAGGTTGCAATACTGCACAAGCCAACGCCAATTAAAAAAGGGGTATGTCCAACAAAGGCAGCGGGATTATCCCCCACCTCTCCCTTTAAGAGTGTGCTCCAAGTCTCAGCTCCTTACCTGTATAAAAGACACCTGGGAGCCAGAAATCTTTCTGATTGAGAGGGGTCAAATACGTATTTCCCTCATTGAAATGCAAATCAATTTATAACATTTTTGACATGCGTTTTTCTGGATTTTGTTGTTATTCTGTCTCTCACTGTTCAAATAAACCTACCATTAAATTTATAGACTGATAATTTCTTTGTCAGTGGGCAAACGTACAAAATCAGCAGGGGATGAAATACTTTTTTCCCTCACTGTATAACCAATTAACATAAGCTCAATTAGTAATACAAATCTTCTGACAAAATAGTATTTTAGAGTTCAGTACATTCAGTAGGTGTTGACACATCTCCTTCATCTATACATGTAGAAATAGGACACCGACGATAGAAACTGTGATACAATTGGAAGAGCCCAGGCCAGAACGTGCTGGTAATCTTGGCTGTTTTTTCTTGTAAATACTTGTTTAGTTTTATTACGAACATTTTAATATTTTTCTAGTGATTTACTTGCCGCACAAAGTCTATAATAAAAGCCAATGTATGTAGCCTACCCATTGTTTTAAATTGTATTGTACAATCATACATGTTCAGATTTCCAGTGCTGTGAGTGCCTTTGGTCCTGTGCCTTTAATATAGAGGGCAGTGACGCTCTGTATCCTGCGAGGAGACTGGGATACTGCCGCATCCAAATGAACCTTACCTCTCTCTGCGGTCGCTAACAGTAAAACAAAGGAGAACAAATCGGTAGTTGCAGAAAATAAACTCATATCCAGTCATATCATGACGGAGAACACTAAAACGCACGTTATATTGCTGTCATGTGGAAGTTTTAACCCCATCACTAAAGGACACATTCATATGTTTGGTAAGCATTACCTACGCGCTGTTCTGTATATTTTGAAGATATGTTTTGTGCTCCAGATGTTGTGGGTAGGAGATATGTTTAAGAATGGCAAGGCGTTTAGGAGTCTAGGTTAGCATGGAAATTAACCTATATATCAGCATTATAATGTTAGAATTGCGTGGTGTTGTTGGGTTGATGTTTTGCCATAGACCTTTATTGGTATTCGCTGTCCATGAGGGAGGTGCTGAAATGGGCTACGGCCTCAGTGATGGAAATGTGATTATGTCAGAATGAAGTTAATGGTCTAATCATTGTAATTTCAGTTGGGGGTCTTTATTTCACTCTCTGTTTTTGAACACTACGTATGAATGACATTCATTAACAACAGAACCATTACATCTACAGCTTTAGATTATCCTATACAACTATATTGAGCGCACAGTATGTATCATTTCAGTGTAGCCTACGTAGGTGTATGCTGCATAGGCTGACTAGCCCTGAAAACGACAGCAAATGGACTTGAAAGAGCAGGCTAGGCTAGTTTGAGATATAAATACAGCATGTATACGGATGTGGAGCAACTGGACACAAGGGGCCTATTCAGGATGTTTGGGCATTGGTTGCCTGATAGCAGATACTGCGTCACTCATAATGAATGAGAAATCGTATCTCAAATCATAATAGCATACAATCTTTCTGTGCAGCCGATCAATAATGTAAAATAATTAGCTAAAACACAACTGGTATTCACCAATGAATGGAAATGCAGCAAAATGACAAGAAAACACATAGGCAAATCTATATCTCATAACTAAATATTTTCTCCTTTTTGACTTTATTGTTGCCCTGTATATCCCTTCTTTTTCATGTTCATTGACTGCTGACATACAATTTGAATAGTTAATGAAGGCAAACGCATTGTTGTCTTTGCCTTAACTGTTGTCAGTTTTCAACTGACATTTAATAACATTAAATAACTATTTCACCATGGCTTATCACTAAGGAAAATATTAGAGTTTTCTTGTTACCTGAAACATTACTGATTCTACACACAATTCAGTAATTGCACAATGCTACAATTAGGGAGATCACATTTCAACAGCCAGCCAAATGCATCAGTATATTGATGAAAACAATCACAGTAGAACTAGTAAAGTACTGTATTTTATAATACACATAAACTATCTTGTCCACCAATATATAGTAATGTCTATATGCTATAAAAATGAATGCACCTCTAAAGGAGGCAAACAATTTATATAAAAGGGAGTTAAATTACTGTCATCCAAAATCAGGAATAGGAGGGGGTGCACCATAGGCTAGTAACTTCAAAATGACTAAATCCTAAGAGTCATTAGAATAGAGTGAGTGAAATCATTATGCTGCAGCAGTAGTGAGTAAACCTGGAATATCATGAGGCAGAGGGAAAAAGCATCCATGTTTCCATGACCTATTTTTCCAAACCACCTCTCTGCATGCCTTGCTTGCAGTGGCTGTTATAGAAAAAGGAAAGTACTCTAGCTGCACATGAGTGGAATGGAAACTCCCCACAGTGAGCCCTTCTGACTCATAAAGGGATTACATGAAACAACCGAAAGTGAAGAAGCAAACAAATGCATTTATCATGGACTAAGACTACTGAATAAAATACTTGTGGGTGGTGTCAGATCATCATACATTTCGATATTGATTCTATCAATCTATGTTGTTAAGAAGGATTGCAATTCTCTTGAGATGGTAATGGTGGAGGGCATGAAGCTCATTAATACCTAATTCAAAAGTCTTCACTAGTAGAACCCTTAGGTATGTTCCATATGGCACCCTACTCCATATATAGTGCATTACACTCTTAACACCTTTGTCCAAATGGCACCCTATTCCATATATAGTGCACTACACTTATAACACCTTTTTTTCTATCTAGAACCTATAAGGGTTCTTCGGCTATCCCAAAGGTAAACCCTTTGAAGAACCCTTTTTGGTTCCAGGTAGAACCCTTTTGGGTTCCAGGTAGAACCCTTTTGGGTTTCATGTAGAACCCTCTGTGTAAAGGGTTCATGGAACCAAAATTGTTCTTCCTGGACCCAAAAAGGGTTCTTCAAAGGGTTCTCCCTTTGGACAGCCAATTAACCCTTTTAGATTCGAAATAGCACCTTCTTTTCTAAGAGTGTACCCACTCTTCCTTAATAAATAATGCATATTTTTATGACTTTACATCTGTAATGGCTCTGGTCAATTTACACAGGAACTGTACATCACACACTTTGAGCTGAGCTGATGACTTGCAACACATAGGCTCCAGTAGCTTTCCACATTCACATAAAGGCTTGAAGAGGGCTGAAACAATGAGGTTCTCTGTTGGTGGCATGCAGGCAGTAACTCCACAACGACAACAGAATGAATAGATGAATGCTTGCCCTGTGGTCGAAACAAAAAGTCCTCATCAATCAACTTCAATTTGAAAAAGGCTGAAAAAGCTTCTGGAATTCTTTGATCAGTTTCCCTGGAGATGAACTGTAATAATTGTAATTTGCACGGATCCACTGGCGAGTCAGACTTCATTTACTGTAACTAAGTAAAATATTCAGCAACACATCAGGTTGATTCACAATAGTGCCCTGTGGAAAACAATTTATTCATGATTGAATGACAACACCGTTATAGACTGTTTATTACAAGCAGAAATTCAGTGACCAAACTTCTCATGACAGAATTGGAAACATTTAGCTGATGGCAGACAATAAGACACAGGTTACCTGGTTAAAACTGTAATGTTGTGCACACTATGAACTATGATAAGTATGTTTACAAGTATGTACTGCGTCTGCTTTACAGAGAAAGCCAGAGAATACCTGCACAAAACAGGGAAGTTCATTGTGATTGGGGGCATCATCTCTCCTGTACATGACTCCTATGGAAAACCGGTACGAAATTATTTGATATCTACGAAGTGGATTTGTTTGAGTAACTAACAAACAACCACCTCAACCAATGATCTGATTTGATTGACAGGAGTACAATTTAGAGCAAATTAACTGGTGGTTATTTTTATGAATGAGTGATCGCTTTGGGTGGTCCTCCTGTGTAGGTGTTGTTGCTGCATTCAGATTATATAAGCCACCTCTAATACTATCGTCATCTATTCTCCTGAGCCATTTCTGGAATAAATTAAAAGCTTGTCCCAGTTTCTCTCTCTATAAGAAACAGAAAACATGAATAATAAATGTAAGAGAAATGCTGTTTCAGTCAGATCATGAATCTTCTGTGCATTTTTTTCATCACTGTGTCTCTAGCATGAATGAGGATTGGATTAGTATGTTATCATTGTTGTGGTTGCACAAATGATTTACATCAGTTATAGACTGTAATCTTCAGCCATTTTCCACAAATCTATATTCCTCATAGATAAAACATGTAAAACCAGTCGATTACCATGCAGAGGCACGCAATAGAGAGAATGAACACAATGTCTGCATCCCAAATGGCACCCTATTCCCCAAATATTGCACTATATAGGAAATAGGGTGTGATTTGGGATGCACACAACGAACACAATGGCAGCAGCTTATTGATCCCCTGTGTGTTCACAGGGTCTGGTCCCCAGCAGACATCGTCTCACCATGTGTCAACTGGCAGTCCAGTCCTCTGACTGGATCAGGTGAGTCAGTGGATATATCCGTTCAGAACAACAAGACTGCGTACCAAATGGCACCCTATTCCCTACATTGTGCACTACTTTTGACAAGAACCCAATGGGCATGGTCAAAAGTTGTGCACTATAAAGGGGATACTGTGCCATTTGGGACACAGTCCAAGTGAATCTTGAATGGCAGTAAGTATCTTGAATGGACTCTATTAGTCCCATGAGACAGGATGTGTTTCTGGCAATGTCATTAACAAGACACAGTGTGAGGTATTTAGCAGATGTGCAATATCATCAGTTCTATTATCCTACTAATGAGAAGGATAGAGATCAGGGCCCGTATTCATAATCTAAAAGTAGTAGGAATGCTGATCTAGGATCAGTTTTGCCTTTTAGATTATGATGAATAGACAGGGGGGGACCTGATCCTAGATCAGTACTTCTTCTCTGAGGCGTTTTATGAATACAGGCCCAGAAGTACACAGCTGTTCATCTATCATGTGTTATTTTCCTGCAGAGTGGATCCCTGGGAGTGCTACCAGGACACATGGCAGACTACGTGCAGTGTGCTGGAACATCATCGTGACCTCATGAAGGTAAGCCAGGCCAACTCAGGGAATAACGACTGGTTACGGTTACTCAGACCACACTGTATTGCATGAGCTGTACATTCGGCAGTGAAGGATAATATCAAGAGCAATTTGATAAAAAATTTGGTAGTTCAGAGAGAAGAGAGTTCAAGGTAGCCTACACTAAATGCCTCAGACTTAGCTACTGTGTATGGAATGTATTCATAGATGATGTATTAATGCACGGCCCACTGGCTAGTTGACGTGTGTGGTGGAAGTATTTATAAGGACTAAGAGCAATTTGAACTGTTTTTATAAATGACCCGTACCTTTACTGTATGCTGGGATTGTTTCCACGGCAACTAAATATTATGTTATTTTCAAACATCTGCTGTAGAATCAGCCTGGTATCAGCAGAAAAGCATCAATCTGGCTTATGTGAATACATTGCATTCACTCGGGGGGGAAGATTAGTGTCACAATATTGATGCCTAGAGTTACGCATCAGATACATGATGCCTAAGTGAATACATTGCATTCAATGGGGGGAAGATTAGTGTCACAATATTGATGCCTAGAGTTACGCATCAGATACATGATGCCTAAGTGAATACATTGCATTCAATGGGAAAAAGATTAGTGTCACAATATTGATGCCTAGAGTTACGCATCAGATACATGATGCCTAAGTGAATACATTGCATTCAATGGGGGGAAGATTAGTGTCACAATATTGATGCCTAGAGATACGCTTCAGGGTCTTGATCCCTAAGTGAATACATTGCATTCAATGAGATTGATGCATAGAAATGCATCAAGTAGTTGACACATAAATCAATTGCATTCATGTCTTTGTCATTTAGCAGACGCTCTTATCCAGAGCGACTTACAGTTAGTGAGGCATACATTATTTTTTTATTTTTCATACTGGCCCCCCGTGGGAATCGAACCCACAACCCTGGCGTTGCAAACGCCATGCTCTACCAACTGAGCTACATCCCTGCCGGCCATTCCCTCCCCTACTCTGGACGACGCTGGGCCAATTGTGCGCCGCCCTCTTCTCTCTCTCTTCCCTCCCGCCCTCCCTCCTCCCTCCCTCCCTCCCTCCCTCCCTCTCTTTGCCTCCCTCTGCCTCTCTCTCTACCTCATCTTTATCCCCTTTCCTTTTCTTCTCACCCCTCCCATTCTTTCACCCCCTCCACCCTCTACCCTTCCCTCCCTCTCTCTCTCTCTTCTCTCCCTCATTCTCTCTCTCGCTCTCCTTCCCCCTCTATCTATCTCTATTCTATAATCCCCCCTCTATATAGCAAAAAAGTTGGTGCTAAATTTGAAATGTGTAATTTGGTGAAAGACTCAGACAGACAGACACACTCACAGACAGACGGACAGACAGACAGACAGACAGACAGGCAGACAGACAGACAGACAGACAGACAGACAGACAGACAGACAGACAGACAGACAGACAGACAGACAGACAGACAGACAGACAGACAGACAGACAGACAGACAGACAGACAGACAGACAGACAGACAGACAGACAGACAGACAGACAGACAGACAGACAGACAGACAGACAGACAGACAGACAGACAGACAGACAGACAAACAGAGGTCCTCTAGTATTGCAAGACCATTGTGTCCAATGGAGGTCCAAAATAATTTTGGGCCGATTGACTTCAAATTTCATATGCCGGGTCATAACAGTCGCCGGTCACAAATGTGTAAAATTCCTAGAGATAAGGTGCTTTTGACATCATTAGAATGATTAAGTCTAGAAACACAATTCACATATGGGATCGTTCAGCAGACACTCCCGATGAACGCAAGCCTACACCTGACCATGTGAAATTAACTCTTCACAGTGAAAACATTTTTCCATAGAAAAACATTACGTACAGCCATTACATAACCATGACGCCCCCGTGGACTGCGATTGAGCTAGCTAACCATCCTTGCAGACAACCCATCGTGACTTTACAGGGATGCCTTGTGATGAGGTTCAGCTTCCTGTGGCAACGGGAAGTGGCTTAATTCATCCTCAAGATGGTCCTTCATTCTCACCCTGCAGTTACACAAAAACACTGGATTCCATCCTCTGTGAAACGGTCAGTTCTTAACGTCAAAGCTTGAAACTGGGGCATTGAAACTGGGGCAAGTGACCCCAGGAGGCCTTCTGACTCATAAAGGGATTACATGAAACAACCGAAAGTGAAGAAGCAAACAAATGCATTTATCATGGACTAAGACTACTGAATAAAATACTTGTGGGTGGTGTCAGATCGTCATACATTTCGATATTGATTCTATCAATCTATGTTGTTAAGAAGGATTGCGATTCTCTTGAGATGGTAATGGTGGAGGGCATGAAGCTCATTAATACCTAATTCAAAAGTCTTCACTAGTAGAACCCTTAGGTATGTTCCATATGGCACCCTACTCCATATATAGTGCATTACACTCTTAACACCTTTGTCCAAATGGCACCCTATTCCATATATAGTGCATTACACTCTTAACACCTTTTTTTCTATCTAGAACCTAAAAGGGTTCTTCGGCTATCCCAAAGGTAAACCCTTTGAAGAACCCTTTTTGGTTCCAGGTAGAACCCTTTTGGGTTTCAGGTAGAACCCTCTGTGTAAAGAGAGAGAGCGAAGGGGGGGGGGGTGGGGGGAGTTGGGGGATAGGGAAAGAGAGGAGAGAGAGAGAGGAAAATGATAAATAGAAGGGAGAGAGGAGGGGGTGAAAGAAGGAGAGGGAGAGCAAAGAGAAGGATGGGGGATATAAGGAGGTAGAGAGAGAGACAGAGGGAGGCAAATAGAGGGAGGGAGGGAGGGTTGGTGAATAGAGAGAGAGAGTGATAGATAGAGGGAGAGAAAGATAGCAAGAGGAAGGGAGGGGGAGAGAGAAGAGAGAGAGATGGAGAGGGGGATTACAGAATAGATAGAGAGAGAGAGAGAGAGAGAGGGGAGGGAGAGAGAGAGGAGGGTGAGAGGGTGGAGGGGTGAAAGAAGGGAGAGAGAGAGAGAGAGAGAGCGCACTTTGGCGCTTATCTCTAGGCATCAATATTATGACACTAATCTTCCCCCAATTTAACATAATGAATGCACATACTCGTTATGTTTCTTGATGTGTCACTTTTTGCAAAAACGTACCAGATTGACACTTTTCAATTACATCATGTTGGTAGTATGTGACAAATCCAATCCTTCCATCAGAATGTGGGCAATCTGTTTGTGCTGCTGACCTAAGCTGGATCAAATTCCCTGGGACTACAAGTGTCAATTATGGTGTTTTCCTGTCCACAGAGAGTCACAGGGTGTATTCTATCCAATGTGAACACACCGTCCACAACTCCAGTGATCGGCCAACCACAGAATAAGACTCAGACTGCCATCTATCAGAACCACAACACAATAAACAACAAGCCCATTGCCAGTGAGTGATTGTGTATATATACAAACGTATTTGAGATAAAAATGTATGCCATTTGGATTAGGATGAGAATCAAGGTCTAATTCCTTGAAAATCTGCAATATAATTTATTGTTGATGAAAAAGAGGAAACGTTGTTATAATGTACAGGGAAATTAATTGTCTGCTCTGTAAATATTTTTCAATGGATGTAATTTGCCGCTAGAAAATGTCTGATGTTTTCTTCCATATTAAGATAAAGGCGAAAGAAACGCACACCTATTTAGGCGAGGTGCTGGCTGACGGCGTAAAACACTTGAAAAAGAAAAGGAAAGCCGGACACTCTAGGAGCTCAGATGCAATAATTTAATATCCTAATAACCAACGTTTCGACAGACAAGCTGTCTTCATCAGGGTATAATATTATACGTTGGTTATTAGAATATTACATTATTGCATCTGAGCTCCTAGAGTGTGCGGCTTTCCTTTTCTTTTACTGATGTTTTCTTCCATATACCTAAACAGTTAAGCTGTGGGGGAAGATGAGTGAGAGCTTGGGCAAAATTTGCTGTGTTCGCCCCCACATTGACCGTTTCACCTTTGTAGGTAAGTAGGCTACACAAGCAACTTCCTGAAAAACATACAATTCTAAGTGTATAGTAAGGTCACGATTGATTAATGAAATTATAACCTTGTATCATTTTTTATTTTATCTCAAAAGATGAAAATGCCAACCTTGGCACTGCAATGCGATATGAGGAAATTGGTGAGTTAACACTCTTTTGTATGTCTCCATAAGATTTATATATTACCAATATTGCATACAGTCTGTATATCGTCAGAATACAAAAGCTTTTGCTTAGGTCATTAGATTTTCCCTTAACGACCCATAATAACTTCATTATCGAATCATTGAAAAGGAAGTTATCTTATCCAACTCTTTGTTTATTGGGTGTCTAATTTCTGTCTTCCTCTCTATTGTCCAGAGTTGCGCATCTTGCTCCTATGTGGCAGTGATCTTCTGGAGTCATTCTGCATCCCTGGCCTATGGAAAGACAGTGATGTAAGCCCTCTCACTCTTTCTCTTACCCATCTTCTTAGGTCTGTTGTGAAAAATAATTGTATTTCTTTGCATAGTATATATACCTGCCTAATGGCATGCGCTAAAGTTCTATTAAAGCAAACATAGTCAGACCTGTAGAGGTCAAAGGGAACACTGCAAGACGAATAGTTTTGAATAATGACGACATTTTAATCTATCCAGTGTCCACTTAGAGTCATGAATGCAAATGATTTGATACCCTAATGAGCATAATGTTGCATTCGAGATACTTTACCAAAACTATTACAGTCACCCATTTCATTAGCATTGGAAGGTAATACTGCAATGTGTCATACAAATGGTTTGCAGATGGAGGTGATTGTGGGAGACTTTGGGATTGTTGTTGTGCCTCGGGACGGAGTTGATACAGAGAGGATAATGAACCATTCCTCTGTGCTGCGCAAGTACAAGGTAGAATCTACATTATGAGCCTATGAGTCATGAGCTTGGTGAAAAGTGGAAAACCAATAAGCTTGATAATGTAATCTATTAAAAGCGTATTATGTTAATGTATTAACATCAACTCTGAACCACATAAAATTATAAATGTCAATTTATTAATTCTATAACGTGTAAAACTTTTTTTTCCAGGATAACATCACTGTAGTAAAAGACGATGCCAACCACCCAATGTCCATTGTCAGTTCAACCAAGAGCAGGTTAGTGTGAATTGTAAACTGGGTGGTTCGAGCCCTGAATGCTGATTGGCTGACAGCCGTGGTATATCAGTATACCACAGGGATGACAAAACAATTTTTTTTTTTTTTTACTGCTCTAATTACATTGGTAACCAGTTTATAATAGCAATAGGCACCTCGGGGGTCATGCCTAAGAACAGCCCTTAGCCGTGGTATATTGGCCATATACCACACCCCCTCATGCCTTATTGCTTAATTATAATTGATCTACCATCATTGGGCCTCCATTAGGAATATTTAATAAATAATGATGGACTGTTCTTTATTATTATTGTCTCTTTTTCACTCTGGAAAAGTTTGGTTATTTTTCACAAATATGGATGTCTCTTAATGTACCACTTCGGTTGCTGTTTAGTGGCTCTTGGGTGTAACCAAAACGTTTGCTAAACATTAGGGGGCAGTTTCCCGAACACAGATTAAGCCTAGTCCTAGACTAAAAAGCTATTTCAATGTAGATTCTCCATTAAGCTTGCTTTTTAGTCCAGGACTAGGCTTAGTCTGTGTCCAAGAAACCGCACCTAGAGGTTGAACTAAGCTGTTCCCATAGAACATTCTAATCATTGTAATTCTATGGTTGTTCCCTTCCCTCAGACTGGCCCTGCAGCACGGTGACGGCCATGTGGTGGACTACCTGAACCAGCCAGTCATCGACTACATCCTGCAGAGTCAGCTCTACATCAATGCTTCTGGATAGGAACTACTGCTTTGGCCTGCTGGCATATTGTCCCAGTCTGTCTTTCATGTGAAACGTATACTCCTCTTGAGCTAGTGCTTTTCCATTTAAAGATATCCATGTCCCTTCTTACTGTATCATAGTGACCCATCTGACCTGTGGATGTACAGCGAGGTGCCTGAGAGCTGTGTGTACGTGTGGACCACCTTCACAACTGACTTTGTGTAAGCTGCGCCGGCCGGGTGGGATAGAGAGGGGGATGGGGTTTTGGGTTGTGTCCCAAGTAGCATAATTTTCCCTATTGTGCACTACTTTAGACCTTGCCAACAATAGTGCACTTTATAGGGAATAGGGTGAAATTTAGGATGCAGCCTTGACATCATGAAGAGAGTGTGCAGAGATTGTAACCTATTGCATTTAGGCCTTTGCTGTTGATTTAAATCTCTCCGTTTTTAGACTGCATGCTTAGAAAGTTTCTGTTCTGACATGAGTACTTACTCATGTCGTAGATATGATATGTTGTGAAAGTGTTTGCAAAAAAACGAACATATAGTGGGTACCCACCCCTCACTTCATTTTCTATTCACTCTAAATCTACTGTATGTACAGAAGTATCTGTATTGATGTATCTGCGATTGCATATCAATGCCTAAATGTTTGGTCTTCAGTGGGCATTCATGCAAAATGTACATCTGTTTGCACATAAGAGAATGATTTGTACATTGATTTCTTTTTGTGTGCAAAGGATTTTACAAGTTTCTTCTGCTTGCCACTGGGAAAATGACCACGACTCCCAAAACAAATGCAATTAACCTGTTTCTTACTTTGTGCTATGTAGCTAGCTGCTCAAGATTCTTTTAAATATTGAGGAAAAAAACAACCGCACAAACTACAGAACTGCATTTCATGTGCCATGGGGATGAATTCACATATGCAAGTCTCTCCCTCTCCTTGCACTTAACACTCTGTCATAATAACATCAATCTGAAATAAATGTGCTCTAATGTTGTACTGCAAAGGAAGTGGGGATATAGCCTTTGATCAGTAGTTTCTTACTAAAACTTCTCATGGTCAGGGCCAAGACACTTTAGACAGTTTAGTTTAATGAGCATTGAGTGTAACCATTGCTTTATACAGTCTTACTGCAAGGAAGGGTAAATGAGTGTGCACATTTTGGTTTAATAAGTGGTTTTAATTGTGACCAAAGCATCTTGCATACATATTTACAGTAGCTTTGTATGTGTAAATTTGGCTAAGATTATTAGGTTATTCAATTTTAATAGCAAGGAAGCAAAAGCAAAATACATTCCACTATTTCCGGAAATGTCATGGTTCATGATTTTTAAGAAATAGACACACAAGTGCTAGTTGTCCATATAGTAATGTCATTCTCCAGCCTTGTGGAGAGCATAGAAGCCTGACATGATGCAAGACTATCAATAGACAATTTTCAAGTCGTGTCGAAAGTAATATTACATTTTATCTGGAATGGCCAGAAAACGTTAAAACAGGCATATTTACATAACGAACATGAGTTGGAGGGTTAAAACTATTGAATATTAAAGAATTAAACCTCTCACTTAAAAAGACTGAAAATGATATCTAAATCCAAACTGGTTTTTGAGCAGGCTACATTTGACAATGGAACCCTGTTTAAAGGCATACAGAGTTGGTTACAATTCCAATTTCATCCTCCAGAAGAGGCAGAACAAATATTACAGAAAATAATATGGCTAAACTCCAGTGTACTGATAGAGGAAAGACAAGGTTTATGAATGACATTGTAAATAAGGACAGTCAAATTTTGTCACACAAGCAAGTAATTAACAAAGGTGTATGGAGATGTATGCTCAATACAAAAGTATAACCAACTCATCGCAGCTCTGACATAAAAATGGATGTGGCAATTACTCATAAGAGAAAGGGATGAATTAGTTTGTCTGCTGCCAATCAAAAACCATGCATGGCTTAAAATGACTAGTATAAATTGTATCAGTTTAACTTAAGGTCGAGAGGTTTGACTATACCGCATAAAATTCAAGATAGTTGGGAACAGATTTTTGATGTTCCAATACCACGTCATTGGGTTTATGAACTGATATATAAAACAACATTTGACACATCAATCTGTTCTTTTCAATTTAAACTATTATATAAATTCTTGCCACAAAAATAATGTTCACTATAAGGGGCATTGAACAGTCAGCCCTGTGCAGACTGCAACAAAGAAACAGAATCAACAGATCATTTATTTTTGTACTGTGCTTCGGTGGCTCGCTTTTGGAGTCAGGTCCAGGAGTGGTTGCTGAGTCATAATGTCTGTGTTCAGATGGACCTACAAACAGTACTGTTAGGAGATCTGAAAAACCACGATCAATCAATGGGAAATATGATTATATGCTTAGGTAAAGTATTTATTTTTAGGGCAATCGTGGTAGAAATGGTACAAATAGAGAAACAGTAAAATAGAAGGATGTATTGCAAAAGGAAATAGTAAAATGGTAATATACGTGGGAAAGATGGGTTCGTCTGTGGACATCTGAGGGGTGGAATTAAGATCAGAAGGATTGGTTGATTTGACGATGCACTTGGAGTCCAGTACAAATAGTAGGAGGCTATAAAAATGATGCAAGTAATGTTATTTTATAGACTAATCGGTCTGCTAGTTTCATAGCTGATTCCAAAAAAGACTATCAGTAAGAGCGTTGTGCCAGTAACCGAAAGGTCGCTGGTTCTAATCCCTGAGCCGACTAGGTGAAAAATCTGTCGATGTGCCCTTGAGCAAGGCACTTAACCCTAATTGTTCCTGTAAGTCGCTCTGGATAAGAGCATCTGCTAAATGACTAAAATGTAAATGTAAAATGTACACAGTGTAAGATGCTCCAGACTCACAACATTGCTTCTTTATGTGTGCTCCAAATGTAATACATGATGTACAAACTGAACTGGGTCCAATATCCCTTCAAGCTGATGGTCTTTATACATGCATCCCTTGAGTCTTTCTATCAAACACATCTCAGCAGGGTACTCCTTTACATACACAACATCAGTTCCTTTGTATTCTTCAAAGACTGGTTTAGATAAACAAGATGTAGTGGAAAATCTGATATGAAAAAGATGCATTGTCGTGGTCCTAGTTATTATGGGCCAATTTTAGTATACTATAGGTTTCATAGAACCTGAGGCTTTAATTCGAGCTGAGTGGGTTTAGATGACTTATAGATATAATATCAAGAGACGTTTGATTGATATTTTATTCTGTTCATTGATTTATTTGGTAAGTAGTCCTGAAAAATGATGTTTGGGGGAATCCTATGTAATATGAGCTACAATTGCTGGGTTGGAAATTATTTGTATGTTCTCATCTTCAACTGTGGACTAACTGGACTGACACAATATAACATCTACTCTGAGTCAATCAATACCTCCATAATAAACCAAGTGTGTAACAATAGATATTTTGTATTTTAGTAAGTCTCTCAGTTGAAGAGAAAAAGAAGGATACGTGAAACACATTCACATTAATTGACATTCATTCAATGTGTTTGTGTTGCATTAAGTGGCACCTGGTTTGTATTGTTAAGAAAGGAATAAATATTGCAGTTTATTTTACAGAATACAACAGAAAATACATTGTTTTCAACACTTACTAGATCACTGAAAATATTGCTTCTATTGAGTCTGAAACTTCACAGAAAACATTTTTTTAAATACATTTAGTTTAACACACATTTTTCCTCACACATAATACCATAACACATTCAGAGTTATTTGCCAAAAACGTAGGCATCCCAAATGGCACCCTTCTCCCTATATAGGGCCCTTCTGCACTATATAGGAAATAGGGTACCATTTGGGACGTAACCTTAGATCTCTGAATAGGTGGGGATTAAGGTCTCTCAATAGGTGGGGAGTTGAAGCAGCCCTTAGGGATGTTGGCGTGGATGTCCTCCAGGTTCCTGATGTCGTCCAGGATCATATCAATATCTAGGTTGAGGCCAGACAACCTGGCCCTCTGGCCGGCTTCCTTCTCCTCCAGGTCCTGAAGCCGAGGCCGGAGCTGCTGGTTGACCTGGCCACGAGCACTGGCGATGGACTGCTCCAACTCACCCAGCCTCTCCTCGTCCACACTGCCTGGCTCACCTGTTAGGAGAGGAGAGGAGAGGAGAGGACCAATGGTCAGCACCAGCTTAAATCATAATGTCATAAAACAGAGGTAATATTAAGATAGGATGGTGAGTGAAATTAGACAAAAACACAAGTGGTTTTGTTTTGTGTGAGGTTAACTGATTGTAGTTGTTGGGGGAACTTACCGATCATGCTCAGGAGGTTATTGATGGCCAGGAGTGTTTCTCCCACTGCATCTCTAGTATGCTTGGCATTGATGTAGGCACCAGTTCCTCCCATTAAAGCCTGAGGGAAAGAACATTACAAAGTATTACAAACATTACAGACCTTTAATTTGTGTGTGTACTGGAGTTTCACATGAATCCTTTACATTGACACAGGTTTGTTAAGGTATAACATATTATGTCTGACGGCATCACACTAAAACGGACCTCTGCAGCTCTGTCTCTCTGTCCCTCAGCGTTGGCCCTCTCTGCCGCCACTTTGGAAACAGTGGCTACCGCCTGGTTCTTCAGATCCTGCACGTCCCCTTTCAGCTTGGTGGCGTCCTTCAGTAGATCAGCGGGAGCTACTGGTAAAGAGCCGGACATTCCCTGCAGACAACAAGAAACAGTCAAATTAGCTCATTTTGAAGTTTCCATAAGAGCTTTGTAACAAATGTGGAATCACGCCTGGTAGTCTAAAATTGTAGTATTTTGGTTGTGAATAGGTCATGTCTGGAATTGAATGGGCTCATATGCATAAGTGATTCAAGACATTAACCTCATTGTTTTTTCCAACTGACATTTTCCTTCTACAGACTCTTGCTAAAAGCACAAGCTGTGGATTAGCATATGAACTCCAGTTGGATATTTCCATTGAAAGGAAAGAGTCTGTTGGTTAGGGTACCTCCAGTTGAGAGACCACAGCTTCCAGGCTGCTGACGGTGCCCAGTGCATCATTGTAGTCTCCAGACACACTGCCTATGATGAATAAGGTCTCTGAGTTGTCGCCAACAGCTTGCTGAATGGTGGCATTGATGCCAGGGAGTCTCTTTATGGCCTCGTCCGCCAAAGCCTTGTTCTTGCTGATCTGGCCGTCAAACCCTGTAGGATACAAGAGATTTAGACATAACCATCAGTGTTTTATGGCAGGTGTATCCATAGTGTATCAGTATCTAGATATCTTTTTTTGTTATACAGTTTTAAATATATTTGCTATATTTGCTATGTTGTAGATACTATGTAATAAATACAGTTGAAGTCGGAAGTTTACATACACCTTAGCCAAATACATTTAAGCTCAGTTTTTCACAATTCCTGACATTTAATCCTAGTAAAAATTCCCTGTCTTAGGTCAGTTAGGATCACCACTTTATTTTAAGAATGTGACATGTCAGAATAATAGTAGAGAGAATGATTTATTTCAGCTTTTATTTATTTCTTACATTCCCAGTGGGTCAGAAGATTACATACACTCAATTAGTATTTGGTAGCATTGCCTTTAAATTGTTTAACTTGGGTCAAACGTTTCGGGTAGCCTTCCACAAGCTTCCCACAATAAGTTGGGTGAATTTTGGCCCATTCCTCCTGACAGAGTTGGTGTAACTGAATCAGGTTTGTAGGCCTCCTTGCTCGCACACGCTTTTTCAGTTCTGCCCACAAATGTTCTATAGGATTGAGGTCAGGGCTTTGTGATGGCCACTCCAATACCTTGACTTTGTTGTCCTTAAGCCATTTTGCCACAACTTTGGAAGTATGCTTGGTGTCATTGTCCATTTGGAAGACCCATTTGCGACCAAGCTTTAACTTCCTGACTTTTTCCTCCAAACATAACGATGGTCATAATGGCCAAACAGTTCTATTTTTGTTTCATCAGACCAGAGGACATTTCTCAAAAAAGTACGATCTTTGTCCCCAGGTGCAGTTGCAAACCGTAGTCTGGCTTTTTTATGGCGGTTTTGGAGCAGTGGCTTCTTCCTTGCTGAACGGCCTTTCAGGTTATGTCGATATAGGACTCATTTTACTGTGGACATAGATACTTTTGTACTTGTTTCCTTCAGCATCTTCACAAGGTCCTTTGCTGTTGTTCTGGGATTGATTTGCACTTTTCGCACCAAAGTACGTTCATCTCTAGGAGACAGAACGCGTCTCCTTCCTGAGCTTTATGACGGCTGCGTGGTCCCATGGTGTTTATACTTGCGTACTATTGTTTGTACAGATGAACGTGGTACCTTCAGGCGTTTGGAAATTGCTCCCAAGGATGAATCAGACTTGTGGAGGTCTACAAAAATAATTCTAAGGTCTTGGCTGATTTCTTTTGATTTTCCCATGATGTCAAGCAAAGAGGCACTGAGTTTGAAGGTAGGCCTTGAAATACATCCACAGGTACACCTCCAATTGACTCAAATGATGTCAATTAGCCTATCAGAAGCTTCTAAAGCCATTACATCATTTTCTGGAATTTTCCAAGCTGTTTAAAGGCACAGTCAACTTACTGTATGTAAACTTCTGACCCACTGGAATTGTGATACAGTGAATTTTAAGTGAAATAATCTGTCTGTAAACAATTGTTGGAAAAAGTACTTGTGTCATGCACAAAGTAGATGTCCTAACCGACTTGCCAAAACTATAGTTTGTTAACAAGAAATTTGTGGAGTGGCTGAAAAACAAGTTTTAATGACTCCAACCTAAGTGTATGTAAACTTCCGACTTCAACTGTATGTGCTTTTTAGATGAGAGAATCGTTGTATTTGGTGCATGTTAATGATTAACTTACACCTGCTGTAACTGCCTGTAGTGCTGTTGAACTTCATTATTCATTCAACTGAGAAATATAAACTCTGAGATATAATTACAGTTACTGTGTGTCTGTGCTTTTCTAATATGTGGGCCGGCCTTGTCACATAATATGCAGATAGTTTATTAATATTTATACTGTGTTGTAGTAGGAATAAGACATATAGAAATGTGAAAGTCTTGTCATACCTCTGAGCATCTCCAGTGCGCCATCCACCCCATCAATGTTATCTGTGATATCCTTCAGGGCCAGTTCTGTGTCAGCCTTTGCTGCATTCGCTCTGGTAAGGAGTTGGTCATATTCCTGTACGAGAGAAATACCAACAATCAACATCGTGCCAGTTATTACCATTCATAAGGGTTAGTGAAGTCATTAGCTAATTCTACACTATTGAAATACTTCAGTTGGATAATCTATCAGCGAATTTCAGACGTTGCAGGAAAATAGTTCTCAGAAACCTTTGAAGTTGGAATATAAGATATCATATACTACCAATCCTACACAGAATGTTTTCTAAAAGCTGATGAGTGAATAGTGAAAGGCCACTAGTGTACCTGTTGAGCTGCCTTCCCCTGGACCAGGAGGTCCTCTACTGCAGCCTTGTCCTCCTGGGTGTCCTCTTGTAGCGCCTGGTACCCTGTGAGGTTCTCCTCCACCCGTTCTCTCAGGCCATCCAATTTAGCCGCCACACTGTCAATGTCCTTTTGCCAGAAACAGAAGCTCAGTCAGACTCAGTGTGTTGTGCAAGTGTAATTACACACGCACACAAATCTGTGGAGACCTGCTCTAGATTCCTCACCAGCCAGGTTTTAATTCGATCTCCTCCCCCTCTTTGCATTTTCTGCTGACTCATGTCCTTGATCGTTAATTGCTTTGTTATGTTTAAATGTAACTTAGCAAGGAAACAATTTAGAGATCTCGCTTTACAAACATGCTTTGAGACAGGTTCAGGTGCCAATGGTTAGACACAATGATTTCATAATGTTCATAGTGAAAGGTGTTGAAATTGAATGCTCTTTTCAGCTCTCTAGGACACAAGTACATTCTGTCCCTCATATTCCAGGACACAGACACTGTATATCTATCAATATTTGCCTATTATGATTTTTAAGATATCTCAGAAGACTTGACCTGAGAGTAGTCACCAAATAGAGACCAGAGAAATGAGCCTGCTGAGAGGCCTGTTCTGCTCAATACCTTGAGAGGACCAGGGATGTTCAGCTCCAGGGAGGCTATCTGCTGCAGAGTGTCAGCCGCCATCCTGCTCTCGTCTTGGGCAGAGCTGCTTAGGCGAGTGGCCAGGCTCTCCATGGCCTTCACCTGGGCTGAGTTCTCATCATACCTGACCAGAGGAAAACCAAATATAACAAATATCAATATAACAACAACAGTTCATCAATTATGTTATTTTGCAGAACATTACATGGCTGGTAGTAGAGGATATATCCTCTACTGTATTTTGACTGGAGATTGACATGAGTTTCTTACTTGGTTTTGAGATCACTGATAAGCTCCCTGATCTTGTTTTCCCCTGTCATGACAGATCTCATGAGTGCCAGGGACTTCTCTGACTCTGCAAGGGCACTGTTTGCTGCCTTCTCCACTGTCCCCGCTTTGCTCTGGTGTCTAATAAACAGTTACAACATAGAGTCATCCATAGCACGACAAGTCATTTTCTGACATGGGATTCTCCAGTCTGTATGAATGGGACATGGAGGGGTGCAGTACTCACTTTTCAGCCAGGCCTGTTGCTCTCTGAACCAGAGTAGAGAGGCTGTCTGTGTCCGCTTCTGCCTCACTTAAAGGGAACTCCTAACATTGGGAATCATTAACAAGCATACATTTAGACATATTTGTCTCTCCTTACTCTCTCCTTGTTTGATGACAATCACATCAGTAACAAAAGTAGAAAACTACTTTACTACTGTATAACTCACAGCTTGTTTGATGTTGAGTCTTGCCTCTTCTAGTTTGCGCCGCACATCATTAATGAGCGTCTGAACATCAGAGACCTGTCGTTGGTACTTCTGGTCCTGCAGCTTTATGTTGTTGATGGTGTTGGAGATCGCCTGGATGTCTCTGCCTTCACTCAGCTGGGTTGTACTGATGTCTGAGAGCCGGGCCTGTAAGTCTTTCTCTGATTCTATTCAATAGAACAAAACAAAACAAGCCACCAACATGAGATCTTTGCACTTTACGTATAAACCAAATGCTTCACAAACTGAATGTGAGATACATTTGGGTGTGACAGAGATGCAGTGCATGGACGGTGCTTCACATTGTTTCAGATGCCTGACAACCATCCTGAATGGTATTAATATATGTTGACTAATTAGAAAATGAGTGATCCTTTGATCCTTTAAGTATCTACGATGTATAACTATTATGAATGACTTACCAGAGAGTGTCTGTGCATTTCTCTGCAGGTCTGTGACTATGTCCTGTGCTGCTCTGATGGCTCTCTCCATCTGGGCGTTGTTCACTGGCAGACTGGCACTCTCCTTGCCCGTAAACAGAGTTTCTATCTCCCGCAGTTTACGAGTGTACCCCTCCATCTGTGACACATTACCCAACGGGATAGGAAAGCTTTAAATAGAGCTTATGAAAGGTTATTCTCTGGTGATAGATGAAACAATAGCTGGCTCGAGGCCAGCACTCACACAATATCTGAGTCTAGATTGGTGAGATTAATTAAAGGTTAACAAAAAAAACTATTTTTTTACCTCTGCAATACTATACTGTAGGCCTACATAGTACATCCAAAATATGTAATTGGAGGCAAAGTGTGAGATGGAGCAGTAGATTCAAACCCTGAAAGGTATTCGTTATGATAGAGAAATAACTTCATAGGTTAACTGTTGTGTTTGAATACTTCAACTAGTCCTCCTTTTAATTCCTCCTCCCACACTACAGCCTGAGGGGAGGGAGAGGGAGCACCCCAAATGTCACCCTCTTCCCTATTTAGTGCACTACTTTTGACCTGGGCCCTTGGGCTCGGGTCAAAATTAGTGCACTATACAGTATATGGAATTGGGTGCCATTTGGGACACACTTTTCATCCTAGTTCACAGGAAGCGTAGGCAGTGCCAGAGAGAATACACCCCGACACAAATCTTTCATTTACCTGTCAAGTACTTTCCCCTCGCAGGTAGAGGTAGTATATTTACTGAGAGGACCATATGAAGAAATGTTCTTGCAAAAATACTAATGCCAGATCACAACTTGCAAGAAGACACTCTAAACCTCTTCCTCTCGTAACAAAATCCTTGTACAGCTATTCCTTCATTAACCCACTAAGCTTTAAGGATGTTGAATCAGCGACAGGGTGAGCACAGTGAAGCCAGAACAAATATCACAGCCAGTAGCTTTATTTCTGGTCCAGTTATTGTGTCTGCGTCTCAAATGGAATCCTATTCCCTATATAGGCTAGTGTATTACTTTTGACCAAGGTCTGCATATAGGGAATAGGGTGCCATTTGGGATGTACACAGTGCTGCCATTTAATCATTGGAGAGAGCACTGTGACATGTTTGACCTGAATGGAAAAAGGAGACATTGATAAAATAATCCCAGTGGATCTTACCTTGGTCTTGACAGGGTTGAAGCAGGAGGGACATGCAGAACGCTGGCACTTCAGACCCTCAAAGCCTTCTCTGCATGAACACTGGCCGTTGTCACTGCATTTGTTGTACAGAGAGCCCTGGAAATTGCAGCCACAAGCTAGAACGCAAAATGAAAAACAGTTGTTAGAATGTATATAAAACTGCAGACAATATTTGACTGTTAGAATCTAAAGGAGGAGCTATGTGCCTCGTGTCTATGTGTGAAAGAGCTGGATTTGGGGAGCAAACAAGGTGCTGTCCTTACGTTTGCATGCCTCTGATGGCATGCTGTGGTGATAGCCATCCACACATTTCTCACAGAAGAAGCCAGTGGTATGACTCAGACATTTCAGGCACGCCCCTGTCTGCGGGTCACAGCTACGGACAGTGTTGGGGTCCACGTGCCCGTTGCACTGGCAGCGCTGGCAAGGCCTCTGGACGCCATTTTCCCCCAAGGGATTGCCATAGAAACCATCCTGGCAGGTGTGGCAACGTGAGCCTATTGAGAGTAAGGAGGGAGGAAGAGGTACAATATGAAATATAAAATCAAATATGCAAATAGCTGACATTGAATGATGAATGCCCTAGTACTCTATCCCATCTAACAGCCATAGTCTGTGGCTGTGGTTGTGTCCCAATTGACACCCCTATTCCCTATATAGTGCACTACTTTGTGACAGTGACTCACCAGTGGTGCCAGGTGGACAGAGGTCACACTTGACCCTCGTGGTTCCTGGGCTCACAGAGCAGGCAGCTCCATTGGGACAGGGACACTTCAGACAGGAGCGTGGCTGGGCAGGGTCATTATAATACCCCAGCTGGCAGGTCTGGCGACCAGGGGTCTCATCTGCAGAGTAACAGTCTCCTGTGGAACGGCACAACACAAAATCACACACACACACTTTCATCAAGACATTATTTGTCCTGCATTACATTTTTTTCATTATATATGAACATTGTATTTTCAAGCATTGATTTGAATGTCCATAACTTATCCAGGGAAGGGTATATTACAAAATGAGGTTTGTCCTGATGAAAATCAATCAAATCTCATCATTAATAGCAACATAACAAAATATATTAACACAAACATACAGCAACACTTGGACAAAGTTAAACGTCACCAACCTGTTTCAGAGTCACATCTTCCTCCTCTACAGCTGCAGGGCTCACAGGAGCTGTATGGACCTTTGCTTGGGGAACTTCTCTTATACCCTGCAGCACACCTCTCACAGAACTGGCCCTCGTATCCTGCTGGGCAGTTACAGTTCTGGACCCAGGCAGCAGGGGTACCGGCCCCCTGACGGGCAGACTCCATACGAACGTTGTCAAGGTAACCACGCCCTGCAAAGGACAATAAGGTATTGAGTTTTATTGAGTGATTGACAAGAGATGAAGAGAAGGCGATGTGTTGAGGATGTCTACCATTTTTGATAATTGACTTAGAAAGATTACATAATAAAAATATAAATAAACTACTGAAATAAACTCGATATAAAACTGTTCCAAAGCACTTATTTACAATCAGGAATGACTCCAAGGATCTGTTTATGCAAAACAGTAACCAATCTCATCGTCTGAGTCATTCAAAAATAAACACTCACCATTTTCCCCAAATGTCCCACGGATTTTGATGGCAGTCAGATTCTGGAGGAGTTTTTGAAACTGGAAAGATGAAAGGAGGGGGCTCCATTTACTGCTCTGTTGCTCATCTAGTCTGAGAATGAAAGACACAGCAAGCAATGTTTACCCAAGACGTGCACAGATTCATAAAGCATGAGGGAACATCAGCATTATGCTTATGGGTTTCACAGTCACACAGTACACCACCATGTCCTTATTACTGTAATTATTCCTGTAATTACATTGTATCTATTGTAATTATTCATTGTTACACTGTATATTTAGCTTATTATGAATATGAGAATAAATATGGAAACATATGTATTTACGGAAGCAAAAACCAGTGTTGTTACTGTACTACGATTATGGTCACGATGAAGTGGTTTATGGTGCAGTTTGTTGTGAGACAGGATTGGATTTGACCAATTAGAGATAGGCTGCTTGCCAACCAGCCATTTACCCTTCATTGTAATTCATTTGAATCAGACAAGCAGATGACCCTCTGGCTTACTAACTGTTATCAAGCAAATACATTCAATCAGTGTGAGATAAACATTGACCCCTTCACACTCCACAGCCACAATGTGAAATTGTCTATAATGTGTTTCTCAATTGTTATGTCTTTGGCATAATAATAATAATAATAATAATATGCCATTTAGCAGACGCTTTTATCCAAAGCGACTTACAGTCATGCGTGCATACATTTTTGTGTATGGGTGGTCCCGGGGACGAACCCACTACCTTGGCGTTACAAGCGCCGTGCTCTACCAGCTGAGCTACAGAGGACCACATCTATCTCACTATTCACACCTGCCTACTTATCTCCTGCAGATCAAATTATGTTTGTACCTGCCCTGAGACAGACGGTTTCCAATCAGTCGGTACACTTGGTACCCCCATAGCTGTGTGTTGGACACAACTTGACTTTTTCCACATTTTGTTGTGTTACATTTTGAATGTCACTGATCTACACATAATAGCCCATAATGTTAAAATGGAATTTTGTTTTTTGAAATTAAAAAAAATGCATTAAAAATGAACAATTGAAATTTCTTGAGTCAATAAATATTCAACCCTTTTGTTATGGCAAGCCTAAATAAGTTCAGGAGTAAGAATGTGCTTAACAAGTCACATTATAAGTTGCGTGGACTAACCCATCTCTGTACCCCACACATACAATTATCTGTAACTTCCCTAAGTCGAGCAATGAATTTGAAGCACAGATTCAACCACAAAGAGCAGGGAGGTGTTGCTATGGTTTGCAAAGAAGTGCACCTATTGCTAGATGGATAATAAATAAATAAAACAGACATTGAATATCCCTTTGAGCATGGTCCAGTTATTAATTTTACACTTTGGATGGTGTGTCTCCTGAGTGGCGCAGTGGTCTAAGGCACTGCATCGCAGTGCTAACTGTGCCACTAGAGATCCTGGTTCGAATCCAGGCTCTGTCGCAGCCGGCCGCGACCGGGAGACTCATGGGCGGCGCACAATTGGCCCAGCGTCGTCCAGGGTAGGGGAGGGAATGGCCGGCAGGGATGTAGCTCAGTTGATAGAGCATGGCGTTTGCAACGCCAGGGTTGTGGGTTTGATTCCCACGGGGGGCCAGTATAAAAAAATATATGTATTCACTAACTGTAAGTCGCTCTGGATAAGAGCGTCTGCTAAATGACTAAAATGTAAATGTATCAATACACACAGCCACTATAAAGATACAGGTGCACTTCCTAAATAAGTTGCTGGAGTGGAAGGAAACTGCTCAGGGATTTCACCATGAGGCCAATGGTGATTTAAAACAGTTACACAGTTTAATGGCCGTGATAGGAGATAACTGAGGATGGATCAACAACATTGTAGTTACTCCACAATACTAACCTAAATGACTCCACAATACTAACATAAATGACTGAGTGAAAATAAGGAAGCCTGTACAAAATAAAAATATTCCAAAACATGCATCCTGTTTGCAATAAGGTACTAAAGTAATACTGCAAAAAATGTGGCAAAGAAATATACTTTTTTGTCCTGAATATAAAGCGTTATGTTTGGGGAAATTCCAACACAACATATCACAGAGTACCACTCGTCATATTTTCAAGAATGGTGGTGGCTGCATCATGTTATGGGTATGCTTGTCATCGGCAAGGGATAGAGAGTTTTTTTTAGGATAAAAATAAACAGAATAGAGCTAAGCACATGCAAAATCTTAGAGGAAAACCTGGTTCAGTATGCTTTCCAACAGACACTGGGAGACAAATTCACCTTTCAGCAGGACAATAACCTAAAACACAAAACCAAAATATACACTGGAGTTGCTTACCAAGATGACATTGAATGTTCCTGAGTGGCGTAGTTACAGTTTTGACTTAAATCGGCTTGAAAATCTATGGCAAGACTTGAAAATGGCTGTCTAGCAATGATCAACAACCAACTTGACAGAGCTTGACAATTTTTTAAAAGAAAAATGGGCAAATATTGTACAATCCAGGTGTTTAAAGCTCTTAGAGACTTACCCAGACTCACAGCTTTAATCGCTGCCAATGGGTGATTATAACATGTATTGACTCAGGGCCTTGAATACTTATCTAATCAAGATATATTAGTGTTTTCTTTTCCATAAATTCAAAATATATAAAAAATGTTTCTTCCACTTTGATATTACAGAGTATTTTGTGTAGATCGTTGGTAGAAAATGACAATTCAATCCATTTTAATCCCACTTTGTAACACAACTAAATGTGAAAAAAGTCAAAGGATGTGAAAAATGCTAGAATCAAGCTTATCTGTCTAGCAAGGTGCTCTGCCTGATTCCCACCTGAATGTGTAGGTGATCTTCTGTCCACAGGGGACGATGGTCCTCAGGTCTCCCAGGGAAGCTGCCACTCTCAGCCCAGATCCCTCCAGCACCACATCAGCCGTGGACGGGTGGCGAACCCCTCGGTCCAGCCTCAGGGAGAAGGATATGTTCTGACCGTAGCTCAGCTCCTGGTTTCCCAGGTAAGAGTCTAGCCATCACAAAATAAAACAGAGCGCAAGATCATTTTAGTATCATAATAATTGATGAATGGTAACTTTAAACCCATTACAGTCCAAGCCCTGTCTAAGAGAGAATGCCAAGAGTGTGCAAAGTTGTCATCAAGGCAAAGGGTGGCTATTTGAAGAATCTCAAATATAAAATATATTTTGATTTGTTTAAAAAATTTTTGCTTGATTCCATATGTTTTATATCATAGTTTTGATGTCTTCACTATTATTCTACAATGCAGAAAATAGTAAAAATAAAGAAAAACCCTTGAATGAGTAGGTGTGTCCAAACATTTGCGGAAGGACAACACCGGCGGATGAGACGCATCCAATGCAAAAAAAGATATCTCTAGCTTAAATGGACCAATTTTTATGGGGATTTTTGTATTATGCTAATTTGATTTCCGCGGGGGCGCAGACATCGACTCTAGGGGGTTATTATTAAGGAAGCATGTGATGTAACATATACACTACATGACCAAAAGTATGTGGACACCTGCTCGTCGAACATGTCATTGCATAATCATGGGCATTAATATGGAGTTGGTCCCCCCTTTGCTGCTATAACAGCCTCCACTCTTCTGGGAAGGCTTTCCACTAGATGTTGGAACATTGCTACGTGGACTTGCTTTCATTCAGCGACAAGATCATTAGTGAGGTTGGGCACTGATGTTGAGCGATTATGTCTGTCTTGCAGTCAGCGTTCCAATTCATCCCAAGGTGTTCGATGGGGTTGAGGTCATTTCTGTATGGACCTCGCTTTGTGCATGGGGGCATTGTCATGCTGAAACAGGAAAGGGCCTTCCCCAAACTATTGCCACAAAGTTGGAAGCACAGAATCGTCTAAAATCTAATTGTGTGCTGTAGCGTTAAGATTTCCCTTCACTGGAACTAAGGGGCCTAGCCCGAACCATGAAAAACAGCCCCAGACCATTATTCCTCCTCCATCAGACTTTACAGTTGGCACTACGCATTGGGGCAGGTAGCATTCTCCTGGCATGCGCCAAACCCAGATTAATCCGTCGGACTGCCAGATGGTGAAGCGTGATTCATCACTCCAGAGAACGCGTTTCCACTGCTCCAGAGTCCAATGGCGGCGAGCACCACTCCAGCCGACGCTTGGCATTGGTGATCTTAGGCTTGTGTGCCACTTGAGTGCGGCTGCTCGGCCATGGAAACCCATTTAATGAAGCTCCTGACAAACAGTTATTGTGCTGATGCTGCTTTTAGAGGCAGTTTGCTTCCAGAGGCAGTTTGGAACTCGGTAGTGAGTGTTGCAACTGAGGACAGACGATTTTTACATGCTATTGGCTTCAGCACTCAGTGGTCCCGATCTGTGATCTTGTGTGGCCTACCACTTCGCAGCTGAGCCGTTGCTGCTCCTAGACTTTTCCACTTCACAATATTAGCACTTACAGTTGACCGGGGCAGCTCTAGCAGGGCAGAAATTTGACGAACTGACTTGTTGGAAAGGTGGCATCCTATGACGGTGCTATGTTGAAAGTCACTGAGCTCTTCAGTAAGGCCATTCTACTGCCAATGTTTGTCTATGGAGATTGCATGGCTGTGTGCTCGATTTTATACACCTGTCAGCAACACGTGTGGCTGAAATAGCCGAATCCACTAATTTGAAGGGGTGTCCACATACTTTTGTATATATATTTTAGTTCGATATTTGTTGGAACGAAAGGTAAAGTTTCTCCAAAAATAAGAGGGTACAGAAGTCAGGACTAATAGCGGAGAGCAGGGAGCACTCACCAGGGGCATAGAGGTAAGCAGGCATGATGTCTTTGGAGATGACCTCAATGTCTTTGTGAGTGGGGGACCAGCGGAAGTGGACTTGGGATGGGGTCACACCATGAGCTGTGGCCGCTCGCCACCCCTCAGGCCCTGAAAAACAGAAGATTCACACACATTTAATAACTTAAAATGAAGTATATTTCAGGTGTTTATTTTATGTTTCGATCAAGCGTATGGGTGTTAACTTACCATTGTCGAATGTTGAGGTGATTGTGTGGACTGAGTAGCCCTTTGCTGGGGAGCACTGAGACGAGTGTCCATAGCAAAAGCAAGGTAGCGATTGAGCTGTCACTGAATTGTCAGTGAGCTGACCACTGCATAAGAAAAACATGAACACACATTTGAATTAGTCAATAATTAGTCAATCTTTATTCTAAAATTCAATAACGAAAAGCGAGGCAATACAGTAGATCCTTTTGAAGTCCTCTCAGTCCTTTCATTTTATGCCCCTATAATTCCATTGTTGTACTTAACAAACAGTACAATGCAGGTGAATGTAAAATGTATTTTACCTGTTAGCACAGCCATTTGAGCTGATAGGTGTTCCATTGGGGCATCGGTCACATTTCTCCCCCTGTGCACCCGCTCTACAGCTGCAATGTCCTTTACTGTCACAGTGTGAGCCTACGGAACCTGGAAGAAACCACATAGACACCAAACATCACCTCACAACCTAGACATCTGGGAAGCCATTATCAAATACACCAGGGACCTTATTCATAAAGAGTCTCAGAGTAGGAGTGCTGAACTAGGATCTGTTCCATGAAATCTTATTATTATGAAATCTCATTATGATCTAAAAGGCTAAACTGATCCTAGATGTGCAGACACTTTTGAATATGGGCCCAGGTATGGTTTTCATTTCATGTTCTGGTCACTCACCTATAGGGCTGCAGTTACATGGCAGACACCTGTCTCCTGCCCTCTGGTGGTGGAATCCCTCCTTGCACCTCTCACAATGCCTTCCCTCTGTGTTGTCTTGGCAGTCCACACAATGGAGGCCCCCAGAGTCAGGCAGGCAATAACGTGACTTTCCATTGCATTCACAGATGTCTGCTACAGGGGTGACATACACATTGTTAGGACATTTGTGAGCACTGTGTTTTAGATGAGATCCAATCTTTTCTAGAATCATAAAAACATAAATCTGAGTATATTTGTCAGCCTATGGGATAAGCAGTCTGCCCCTCATAAATTCCCTTGAACACCATGAAGTTAGCTATTGCCCTTTGACAGTCACATAAAATGTGAAAATGTTTTGTTATGTAGGCTACCATCTTTATACAATCTAAGGGGGGGTTGGCAGTAGCACAGCCTCAGTCTTTTCTCACAGTGATGTAAACTACTGTCAGCAGGCCCAGATCTCATAATACCTTGCTCCCACTGTGGGCAACACCATGTTTGCAATCGAGCAAATGTCTGTTTGATTGCTATGGTAATGGTTTGTATCATCATAGCAAACCCATACTGCCACAATCATTTGACAACCATTTTCCCAAGCATAAGCTATCCTGAGGATATCATGTTCTCATTTCACACACTAAATGATCACTTTGAGGAGTTCCTGTGGTTATGACAGGCTTCTGCATGTAGCCGTTTTTGTCGATTGGGTAATATGGAAAGGTACACAGAGCTCAGAACCTCATGTCGTCATGCCCTAAGAGGAGATAGACTTTACCCATTATCACGAGTCATTGGCTGCGTCCCAAATGGCACCCTATTCCTATTTAGTGCACTACTTTTGGGCAGGGCCCATAGTAGTGCACAGTATGGGGAATAGGGTGCCATTTGGGACAGAGATATCAGTAATGCAGTGATTCAGGGACTCCAGGTCGATATGGTTGCCCAAAGGCTTAACAAAACTCACCTCAGCAACTCCAGGACTTAATACCTATATCTGCCCCACCTTATCACCTCACCACACAGTAAGGATCAATAGAAAGTGTTGATGATTTACTCTCTTCGCCAAGAGTACCACAAATAAACATATCCACTTTCACATCAAGATCTACTGTGAGACCTTCATAGACTATAGAGGCTCTGTAGTATTATCATGTTTCATGTAAACACAAACCCCTTTCTCCTAAAAGCATACCTGTATTAAATATCATTAGATTAAATGTGCCATTTTAATATCTACTACTATAGCTACAGAGACAGAATACACAAATACAGGTATACGGGAATACAACAAGTGCTGCAGGTAGGCCAATTAGCTAAGATAGTGTTTTGTAGGGTATCTGCTATCCTCTTGAGTCTGAAAGAAGTCAAATAATTATAAATGCATGTCCCCAATATCGAAAGCAACAACCTATTTAAGGATGATGATGCCTGATTATGTGCAGAAATATCTAAAATAATTTAGCACAGAGGGATTTTGAATTTTGAATAATTAATTATTACATTATTTAAGGCTAGCAGAGAGGAAAGATTAAAAGGTAGTAGACACTCACATCCTCCATAGCTGTAGGTTCCTTGGACAGACAACCAGGTACAAATAGAAAGTCCACACAGAAATATCCAACTGCTCTTCATGGTCGCAGAAACTCTAATAGGAATGAAGTACATCAATATTCTCATATAAGAAGAATCAAATTAATGGGCTTATCAGGCTGGCTACACCTGATGCTTCTGCCCAAGATACCCAGGTGAGCTTCTTTTAACACCTCTCATGTGGTAGGCTGTGGCACGTCTCAGCTGGAAGGTTACTCACTTGTGATTCAGCGCCAACACACTGGCTGTGCCCACTGTCTCACAGGAAATGTCTGGTTCTGTATCACTACTGTGGACATTGTCAAGACGTGAATAAAGGGGAGTGTTGTTTGATGCAGCATGAAATAGACAGTCACTCGCTCAAGGTTATTAAATACATTTTTACACCCGCTTTACAATTCAGTAGACATACTCTGAAAGAAAATGTCCTGAATGTGAATCAAAGTGATTCTACCTGGATTATAATGCTTGTGTATTTTCACCTTTTCAGCAAAAGCATAATTACTAATAATCTCAAACCAAAATATCTAACGTAGGTAATTGTTGCCAATTACTTTGACGGGTTTGGTATTGTTCTGCTGATGATTATAACTGAGTAGCCAAGAACATCCTGAGAAAGAACCTGTAAAAACTACTATAAAACAAATTATAAACAGGGTAGTTTGGGTCCTGGATGCGGATATGACATAAAAATACTTGTTTACAGTTTTATTTATGTTGGTAACCAGTAGATAATAGCAATAAGGCACCTCTGGAGTTTGTGGTATATGGCCAAAATACCACACCCCCTCGGGCCTTTTTGCTTAAATCTAATGAGGCACCTACTACAAACCAACAGTTGAAGCTATACATTTCTTCAATAATGTGTTCAATGGTTTTCAATAAAAGGCTCAACTTGATTGCTTTTTTTTATCCAGGAAGTCCCATTGAGGTCAGAAAACCTATTTTATATGGGAGACGTGGGAACTGTTCAATACAATGTCTATAATCTGCCAGGGTCTGTTTTATTTGGAATTTGTTCCTGAGCAACAGCACTTTGGAGAGACAACATTCCCTGAAGTAATAATAGCTTTTTTCATCTTCTCAAATGGTTGGCAGTTTATTTGCCAATCCACAATGAGAATGATTCACCCACTTTGTGTCTGAGCATATGGACAGTATTGTTTGGCTTTGGTTGGGGAACACCCTGTAAAACAGTTAAGCATAATAACACGACAAAAAGGGACCCTAGTCAGTTACAGGTGAAAAAAATGAAATACAAATTAAAAATTAATTTCACATATCATGCTGTATACAGTATTTAATAATATTTGTTCAATTCACAAGGCTACTTTTTAGTCACCTGTTCAACCAATCTGATATTTCTATTTTGCCTCCTTGGAAACAACTTTCCATGATTGAAATATTGTACAGATTCACTGAATGTATCTTTCACTGTTCTATTGCCACACCCTTGGTATCAGACATGTGGCCAGACAAACAGCAATAGACACATCCTTCAGCGATGAGTAGATACCTGATAAGAAAAAAAAGGTGCCTAAAGGCTAAGAGTTTTGTACTGTTTGCAAATGGCTGCCACACCCTTATAGTGTCATGCTCTGACATGGTGTGTGCACTAGTCATACACACACACACACTCACATACACACACAGATGGAACCGCGCCCTAAAAGCCACACCATTCCCGACACGCACAGGCCCCTGTCAACACCACATCCTCAGCTAATACACACACAAACATACAGAAGCTGTATGTACAAAAATAACTCTAAAGGAAAACATGTAGACGACACATACAAGAAAGCAGTTAGATAGATATTTCTTAGCAGTTAGATAGACATTTCTTATCTGTGCAGTGACACATTAAGACGGTGTCAATTCAATGTTGAATTGTGTCATTCAAACACATCAATAAACACTTAAGAACAATTAAGAACACCATTTAAAAACAAAGAAGTAGCAGAGATAGTGCTATGACCTGGTCTGAAACCTGACTGGTGTACATTTAGAATACATTTCGTAGTTCAGAAGGACCTAAGTTGAGTATTTACAAAGGATTCTAGAATTTCTGCTAGGCAAGAGTTTGAAAATGGGGCGATAATTATTTAGGTCACACGGGTCACCACCTTTGTGAAACCTTTGTGAAGGGGGAGTATATGAGCTGCCTTCCAGACCCTATGGATTGTACCAGAAATAATTGTATTCAAATAATTGAATCCGACATGGTTATACTCAAGTCAGAAATAGTGGTCCCGGCTACAAGAGCCAACCGCGACTTGAGATAAGCTTTGCCAGTGACAGGCCGTAACCGAGCTAGTCGGAGCTACCCGGGGCTAGCCTGCTAACGTTAGCTCCAGGATCCAGCCAACACGGTGTGTTAAGAACAGCACTAGCACCATTGCCCTAAACTAAAACACTTAAAACAAATGTGTTTTAAAAAGTATAAAACACAGAAGCACTCTATCGCCACTCTCGGTTTCCTACTTCCTAGTCACGTGACAAACCAATACGGTGAACCCAACATTGAAATTCAGAGGAAATAATGTCCTTTTCGAACACACCCCTGAAAATGTGGGTCAAGTCCTGGCTGATGAACTCATTTGGAGGGTGAACGAGGGGATTTTTCTGAATCTTTTTTTGGGATCATGAATGCAGTAGCTGAAAATAAGTGTTGCATCTCATTTTGAGAACACACTGGCATGTTTCACTGCACAGACAAGAAACATTGTGGCATCTATAGGCATTCATTCAAAGTTCATATTTTTGTGCATAACAGTTGCTGAGATGCATCTTCCATTTATTTTAATGTACTTTCAAGACTATCATCAAATCAATAATGATTTATAAAACAGTGTTTCACAATCAACACAAGGCAGAAAATCCAACCATAACATAACTGGGTTGTTCTGCCAATTAAGTGCCTTTTTAGTGTAACTTAGTGAAAAACTTGATTTCACATAATTCTAACATTGTCATAAAGAGCAAATGTTCAACTTAGTAAAAAAACACATTTTCCCATCTCAAGAGGTTAAATACAAAATGACCATATTGCCTATTAAGTTCCAAATAAAGTAACAGGGTTGACAACTTTATCTTAAATCAGCCATTAAGCCCCTTGTGACAGGGGGGATGGAAGCTTGTGTGCAACAGAATACAAAATTCACCAAAAATAAATATATTGTTAAACCATTTCTAGCATGTCCATCTATGTGTAATAGGGTTGACGTGATATGCTCGACCCACAAAACACCAGAAAATGGCCAAAAGAGTAGAACCAGCTAGTCTTTATTCATATTAAAAATCTGATTTATAGAATGTTCCATGTAGTCTATTGTAAAGGGGACTTTATTTAATATAACAGGCTTTTAAAATGCAATATTTGTGCACGTCTACATATTTTTTTTTTTTAAAGGCACTCATTTCATGGAACGACCCAACTAATAAACTGAAACATATTGTCCCGCATGTCCTAAAGACTAAATAACCTCACGATAAAACGACATTGCGGAGTAGATGAATGAGAAACACTGTGATATTTCTGCAAATGCAATGTACAGAACACTGAGGCAGCATGACACTCAATTCAATCACACATCAACTGAAGAGTTCCCGTAATTATTTTTTATTATTTCAATATTACGATTGAATTTACAGGCAAATGGGTAACAAGCTGGGTTCTCAGGTCCTTACAAATGAAATGTTTCAGTGAATAGGTGCCTTGTATTGTATTGTACGACAGAATCAAAACAGAACAGAAGATGCCCTCCATAGCCAAAAGACCACAAAAAGATTGTGCAACACATACATATCATCTACTGGAACAAAATAATACAAATACTTGAGACATTATAAATTAGAAATACTGTTTTATACATCAAACAGTATGTGCTGCACATCCATCCACAGCAGTGTGGTGACCTGGAGGAGTAATAGAGGGTAACGATGGTTCACTGCAGAGGAGATCATTTTAGTCCCTGCCACATCATCTATAACATTTTGCAAAAACTTAGCTAAACATAACTATCAAACAGATAACATGATAGAAGGCTAAGGAAAGGAGTGAGTATAGGTGTATTGAGGATATGAGCGATGTTGAATGGGAACTGGGAAGGACGAGTAGTTTCAAGGTTATAACCTATATATTTACTGTATGGCTGGCTGACTGATGTTCTGGACCCGTCGACAAAATCCCTGCTGTTCTACTGAAATGTAAGGACACCATGTAGTGAACGTTTGAGGAGACGAGTGCATGTCTGAAATGTAAGGACACCATGTAGTGAATGTTTGAGGAGACGAGTGCATGTCTGAAATGTAAGGACACCATGTAGTGAACGTTTGAGGAGACGAGTGCATGTCTGAAATGTAAGGACACCATGTAGTGAATGTTTGAGGAGACGAGTGCATGTCTGAAATGTAATGTAATGTGTGCGATAAACGTGACACCCTTATTTAGGGACTAAGTGATGTGAATATTACGATCACATATTAAGGCACAAAACACTAATAAAAAATGGTTAACTAGCAACTTGTGACCAAGCTTATTTTCTTGGACAAGCATATAAATTCAGTAAAATGCAACGTTAGGCTTAATGTAGACAGATGGCTTCTTTAGGGCCATCCCTTACACATACAAAAGGCAAGTCCTGATCAAGGGTAAAGGTTCTTGTTATAAAAGCATTAATCAATTAACTTGGTGACCACCCACTGAGAAGTAAATACAAATGAATAATGGCAGAGCTATGAGGCAACAACACTGAGCCATGTATACAAGCAAGCATATTATACCACAGAACTTATCATATATATTTATATATTATGTGGAGGTTTCAGTTGATTGTTTTTGTGATAGAACCTATACGAGGTGGCTGTTGGGTCTTGGGTTTAACAATCAGCCAGCCCTGAATCATTTAAGCATATATTTACACAAATAACAATTCCTCACTCTATATCATAATAAAAAACATTCACACAAAAATATAACATTTGAAATCATTATTAGCACCAGTGTATCAGATAAAGTCTTGCTACGCAAACGTACAAAGTTGCATAGTGTAGAATTTTGCCTTGTAGTGTAGAATGTTAATGTGTGATTTGCAGCAAACCTGTACTAAGCAGCAGCTTCGGGAGGAAAAAACACTCAAAAATCAAGTGTTAAAATAAATGATTTAAATGATATTTAACCATGATGTTTCGCTGGGCGGTAGAGGCCTGTCTCAACTGGCAAACATATCAGAGCCATTTTAAAGACCCACTAGCTGGTTTCATTCAACAGCTTTTCAGTTGTGCATGTGGAACAGAATGTGTAGTAGTGTTGAATACTGTAAAAATGTATAATAACAGGAATACTTTCTCCATGCAAGACATGTAGCTTTGGGAGCGAATGGAGGCAAATCAAACAGAAACTTGAGGATTCCTTCACGGTTTGTTTTTTAAAACAAAATGGTTGATAACACAGAGGATGGCACATATGTATTGAAAGTTGCTCAATACCTATAGCAAAACAAATCTCTCACAGACAAACCATTCCCAACATGCCCTTGCGTCTAGAATGATGGGTAAGGATAACTTGTTTGATACCATATCAAATAAAAAAAGGTTTATAATATGAGACAGACCCATCTGAAAAGGCTGAGGACATTTTTCCTTGTTTTCTCTGTTGGGGTGATTTAGGTTGTGATTCCTCTTCATAGTAGTGTAGGAACAGTCTGGAGGTGGTGCAGTCATGTGGGTTTTCATTACTCTGGAGCGAGGTATGCCACCTCTCCTAACCGGCTGCACCTAAGGAGAATGGATGCACGGTTTTTGTCGACCGCCCTTAGTTCATTTCACGTTCTGCTGCTTATACTCTTCCCTCTTGCTTTCTTTAAAAACATGAAACAAACAAAAGACCAAAAAATACAAACTGTTTTGGTAAAAAGGTGGCATTCTGTCCGAGTGTTAGATGTGGGAAGGAGTGGTACAGACGGGATATGAGGAAGGGTACAGGGGTTGGGATAGAGGGTGGGGATAGAGGGTGTTAAGGCCGCTCTAGGGATGGGGTGTTGAAGCAGCCGTCGGGTAACGTGTTCTTGATGTCGTTGAGGTTGGCGATGTCAGACTGGATCTCCCTGATCTGCCTGTCGTAGTCAGTGATCATCTCCTCCTGGCTCTTGGCCACGTCGTTCAGCTCCACCAGCTTGCGGTCCAGGTCGCTGTTCGCCATCTTGTCCTTGGCCTGCTTCAGCGACCCCTCAATCAAGCCCAGCTTGCTCAGGTCCACCTTGTCAATGTTGCCTGAAAAGGAAATGAGGAGGTGTAAGCTTTAGCTCAATGATTTAAGACTGTCAGTACAGCCATTTTGACTTGTGCAAGTAAAACCCTGACTGATGGAATATTGTTTGGTTACACACGATGCACAAGCCAGAAACAATGACAGAACAGAATCACAAGACAATTATATCCCTGCTTGTATTCTTACACCTACAGAAATAACCAGTTTGCTAAATCAAATACCACTCACCCAGTGACTTAAGCAGGTCGTTGATGGTGTTGAGAACGGTCCTGACAGCGCTCTTGGCTTTCCGGGCATTGTCCTCAGCTTCCTTCGCATTGTCTGATGCCTGAAATACCAAAACAACATAGTTGACATGTCAGAGTCAGGATTCCAGACCACAACGAAGATAGTTGTAAATCAATAAACACTTATGAGGTCCTTTAACCTTCAGTAGCTTGCTCATCCACTTCCTATTGCTTATTGTTTAATCTCATTGTCTCTAAATAACTTTGACAAGGACTATACACATTTTGCAACTCCAGCTCTGTGTAGACTGCTTCTATGCACAAACACTCAGAGCTCTTAGGGCTGATTTCCAACCCAAAGAGATCTTCTAGGAATTCCTAAGTATTGGGTTCCTAAGATTATGAGAATCTAATGATATCAGTGGATGTAAACAACAGAGCCCCAGACACAGAGTATTCATCCCAAATGGTACCATATTCCCCTATATAGTACACTACTTCTGGTCAAAAGTAGTGCACTACACAGAGTGCCATTTGGGATGCGCCAAGACAGACACGCACCATGCTAGCCATCATCATGTCCTGGTCAGCCTCAGCCTTCTTCTTGGCCAACTCTGCCTCTGCTGCACTCAGCTGGTCCATCATGCCATTGACCTCCCCATCCAGCTTCATGGTGTCCTCAAAGGCCTTCTCTGCATCCGCCTTGGTCTTAGCAGAGCCCTGTGGGGTCCACAGGCAGAGGGGGACAGAGAAGGATTAGTGATGTTGACAATTTGAAAGTAGGTATATAATTTATTATAGGTTTAATCGTTTATTATGTGAAACATCAGATGAGAGGGGGACATAGAGGGTTTATTATTTTATGTGAAACATCACATTAAATCATCACAAAAACAAATCAACAAAACATTTAATCTACTGAGACACCATTTATAGACACTTTATATCAAGAGCCACCATTGATTTTGGCCCTGCCATTTCAGGACTGTAGCATAAACAATGGTAATATCATGTATCTAGCTATAATATAATGTACCTTCTGCACAGCGCTGGCTATCTTCTCGGCCTCCTCCGCCTTGCTCTTGGCCTCCTTTGCGTCTGCCGCTGCGTTGCCTAGCGCCCCCTCAGCCTGCTTGGTCTTCTCATTGGCTGCAGCAATGGTGGCGTTGATCTCTGGGATTCTCTTCATGGCGTTCTCAGCTGCCGTCTTGTTGTCGTTCACCCTCTTGTCAAAGTCTGTGTTGACAATGTAGAAGGGCAATGAGAAGACAGATCGATTACGTATCTAATATGGGATAAAAAATACTGGTGACTCACTATGGGGCAGAGAGGGACCCTTCCCTGGCCTCTCTACCAGTCCTGTTCCTACGTACCTCTCAGATTTCCCAGAATGTCTTGGGCCTCCTGATAGGTGGACCTCCCCTTCTTGGCAGCCTCCTCAGCCAGCGCCTTGGCAGCATCAGCACGAGCCAGCAACTGATCTGCAGTCTGCAGGGACAGACAGAGAGAGAGAGATGGGGAATCTGTCATCAGTCCGGAGTAAAGTGAAGTTGCCCCTAGACAATGATCTTGGGTCAGTTTCCCCACAGGATGTTATGGGTAGGATTGGGGGAAGGGAAGCTGATACTAGATTTGTACCTATGGGAAACTTCAGGCTGGAGCCATCAGTACCATTGGGATGAACTGTTAACATGTCCAACAAAAACAGAAAACCCCCCATGGCTCTACAGCGCGACCAAATACTTTGCTGTATGACCTGGAATTTTAGTTTGGGAGCACCAGTGTGACCAAAAGAAAATCCAATAATAAAAGCAATGCGTAACAATATTTCGCCGCAACACTTGCTTCCAGTTCCCGGGCCACACTCACCAAGCCCTGCCCACCGTTACTGAAGCAGGCAGCACACAGTTCCTCCATGCTGTTATTCTCTCAGCATGCTGTCAATTCATGCACTCAACATATTCTTCTAAAACATGAACGATGCTGCATTCCATGTTTTCTCTATTATACTATTACGCCCTGCTCACATTGGCAGATTGAAGTGACTCACATTTTTTGCCATATCCGATTCTAATCTGTTCTTTTTCTTGCAGTCTGGACAAAAAGCACATGGAATCGGATATTTCAAGCCACCTTCGTAGGTGGTTTGAAGTCAGATACAAATCCGATTCCCGGTCAAATCTCAAGTGGTTTTTAGACTGTTATTTGGCATATCTTGTTGCTTGCTAGCTACTCTGTTGACAGTTTGAGGTAGCTAACTAGCTTGTTAATTATTTACAAACAAATTAGTGAATGCGCTAGAAAGCTAAACAGCTACCTAGCTAGCTAGTTGACTGCTGTGGCCAACCGAAAAGGACTCGTTTTAAAGTTGGATAACCTTATCCTTTGAGGCTTTGAACATTCAAAGCAACTGGGAAACGTGGCAGGCTTTGTTGTCACCTTAGCTTGCTATATCGCAAGAAAAATCTCAATATTTGGATGACAAATCGCAGTAATAAGTTTAGTTTAGTAGTATGTTTTTGCCCACATTGTGCAGCCCTACTAACAACTTGCCAACTTTCACAGTATATACACACATTTGGTGTCACAGAAAGAAAATAAAATTGATATCTTCTTCAGGATATGTGCTTCAAAAGTAAGTAGGATTCATATAGGCCCAATGTAGGCTGTATCTCAATCAATAAAATAAAATAAATGTACGTGGCGCTCCTAACTTTTCTTAGTTAGTAGCGCCAGTGCTACCAATGAAACATGTTAATTTAGAGCCCTGCATATTACTCAATTCATTTGAATAATTCAGGATTTACGGCTTGCTCATTATCACTATACTTAGTGGCTGAACGAGTGAGGAGGCCCATAAATACTGTTGTAATTCGTCACATATGCAATGTGGTCATTTTCTATTTAATGAGGCATGCTAAAGCTAACCCCAGCTTTTTCAATGGGGAAACCATCACCTTACAAGGTATACATGCGAGGCATAGATCACATGTTGACGTTGGTCTATTTAGAGCAAAGGTTATAGACACAAGAAAGAAAGAGAAAGTAAAGGTAGTGTTGCGAAATTCTAGTAACGTTCCCAAAATTCCCAGGGGCCTCATTTATAAACGTTGCGCACGTACAAAACATGCATCCGCCAGTTTTCATGCAAAAGATGGCATTTATAAAAACTGAACTTCACGTGAGAATGTGCTTAACTCCTCGCAAATATCTAATGGCTGAAGTATTGTATTGCAAGCAGGCAAGTAAGTAGGCATATTTTGTGCAAATGGGGGATGTGATGACACGCTACAGCGAAAATCTGTTTTATTTTTGGAATCTAAAATAATTAAGACCTATTTCCTATTTCTTTTATTTTCATAACGATTGCAGAATAAATTCCTCACCTTTTCTGGCCGTGATTGGTTCATATTCCCGTACAAATCTCTCATTTAAATTGGGCCTAGTAGCCAAGTACATAGATAGGCTATATGTATTTCAAGTTTCGCTGTATGCGATCCAATAGGCAGTGTGGTTTATAATAGGCTGCACAGTCAAATTTAACAGTTGAACAGGCAGTTGATCTTTTACATTGAAGTATGTATGCTACCACTGTAAGTAAGCTACTGCAATTACACTGAAAATATAAACGCAACATGTAAAGTGTTGGTCCCATGTTTCATGAGCTGAAATAAAAGATCCCAGAAATGTTCCATACACACAAAAAGCTTATTTCAAGTTGTGCACAAATGTGTTTACATCCCTGTTAGTGAGCATTTCTCCTTTGCCAAGATAATCCATCCACCTGACAGGTGTGGCATATCAATAAGCTGATTAAACAGCAGTAGGTCCAACCAGCCTCACAACTTACTCAACATTGTCAGGAGAGCACCAAACAAAAGACAATGACTAAATTGACAAAACTCATCAATGGAATGAAATAAACAAGAAACGCGTTTCTCACAAGTGTAGCATAGGTTGTGCACTCTGCAAACAATGTGTCCACTCCGACAATGACAATAGAAAGACTGGAATAATAATATTGAATGCATTAACAGAAATTACCGTAACCAAAGTAACAAACATTGTAGATTAGAAATTATAGGTAAATGTACTACTGATGATATATGTAATGGGGAATTGATATACACTAACAATCAAACGCAAACAATTAGAACAATGAAGTTATGAATGTGCACAAATTGGCGGGAGAAAGCGCATTCTGGAGAGAGAAGTGCTATACAGAGCCCTCCGCATTGTAAAACAATTTGGGAGGTGCATGGCGATGCGGTACAGAGCTTGATTTGGCCTCTGCATGCCTCTGGAGGCTCCACAATTGCGTCACACCCTCCAAATGGAGCCTCCGACCACATTTTCGGATCAAGCACAAATTGGCTTTTAGTTTAGGCCTCCGCAATGGATTAGTTCACTGAGATGGGTGCAAATATATATATATTTGTTACTGCTCGACTAAAACAATCTTAGTTAACCAACGCCTAACGACCAAACAATCGACCAGTCGACTAATTGGGGTCTGCCCTACTATTGATGAATAAAATATTTAACAACAATTAGTATTTTGCATAGAAGTGTGGGCAGTGGCATTTACTTTTAAATTGTTTCAAATATACAATCAATCTTGCAGAACGCGCGGACAGTGTATGGCATGCATGTTTAGCTTGAAAAAGTCACTGCAAAATATCCAAACATTCTGCCCACACCTCTACAGAAATGTTATAAAATTTGCCATTGCTCTTTCTTTTAGAAACCACCGTGGCCTAATTCCAATAGTTCAAAGTTACACAGCAAATAATGGGGCGTTATCAGCACTTTTATTTCCATGACTGATCAAAACTGGTTTTCTCATGGCTCTCTCTTGTCCCTTTGCAGCAGACATACGCTGAGCAACATGTTTGGAACATCGAATCACAATAAAATCACAGTACCGAATCGCAATATACATTGTATCGGCACCTAAGTATCGGGATCATATCATATCGCAAGGTCCCTGGCAATTCCCAGCCTTAGTGAATGGAGGGTGTTTTTCAGGCGGAGGTATAATGCTTGTTCACTCGCGCTCAGTTTTAGGATGGGTCGTATTTATAACGGGAAACATGCGTATGTGAAACGTAAGTATTCCTTTCATAAATGGTGCACGCAGATATTTAGTGTGACATTTACAAAATTGTTATGAGGCCCCTGGTTTTCCAGATATCCTGGTTGGAAGATTCCTGGAATCAGGCTGGAATAAGCAGGAAATCAGGGAATCCTCCAACTGGGATTTCTGGAAGCCTGGGAATTTGGGAAAGTTATCAAAATTTTGCAACCCTAAGTAATGGTCTCCTGTCCTACCTGCTGCTCAGTCTTTCCCTTCTCCAGCAGCTTGCGGACCTCAGTCTCCTTCCCTTTCAGGTCGTCCCTCAGGTCATTGTACTCCTTCTCGGTCTTGTCAATCAGCTTGTCCAGGTCTGACGCCTCCTTCTTGATCTTGCTCGCTTCATCCTGTAATCAGAAGTCAAGGTAAGTTATCCTTCAAGACTTGGAAACGACTTCAGTAATGTCCTGATGGCCATTAACATTAAAATGTTTACATTTTAGTCATTTAGCAGACGCTCTTATCCATACTGGTCCCCCGTGGGAATCGAACCCACAACCCTGGCGTTGCAAGCGCCATGCTCTACCAACTGAGCTACACGGGACTGTATGTCTTGTGATACACAAACCCTTTCAATGAATCTGGAGAGTATCCTGTCACTCATTCGAGACTGGGAACATATTCCAAAGGGTTGTTTCATCAATGAAGAGACTCCTGTTGACGGTGCCTGCGTCCCAAATGACATCCTATTCCCTTTCTAGCGCACACATTTTGACCAGTAGTGCACTATTTTAGGAGGGTTACAGTCACTTCATGTAACTGACCTCCAGTGATTTGGTGTTGAAGGGTGGCAGGCTGGTCAGGTTAGCGTAGATCTTCAGGGCTTTGTCGCCTGCCTCCTCTGCCTCAGCATGCACCTTGTTGGCCTGTTTCTCCAGGTTCTTAGCCAGGTCCTTTGCTTCATTGTACCTGAGAAGGTGAACATGACAGTTCCGATTATAAAACTGGTGAGGGGATTTGAACCTGTACTAGCTTATGACATGTTCAGGACAGAATCAATGTTTGATCCTGAAATGTGATTTATTTTGATTTAGAAAATAAAGGAGGAATCATCATAGAAAAGTGCTGTTGCTGACAGTGACATACTTCCTGTTGAGCTCGTCAATGTCTTGGTTGGTCTTGCCCTCGCCATCTAGAGTCTTCGTCAGCAGGTTGAGAGCCTTGGTGGACGTGTCGTTGGCATCCTTGGCGATCTTCTCGATTTGATCCGCATCCATTTTATGTCTACAGAGGTAACAGGATGAGGCTTATATTTTTCATAGACTACGGGACGGGGCTTCTTGCAGCTCGAGAAAAATAAGATCAAAAGTGGTGATAGTGTTCACACGCCCAAGAATATACGTTTTTCTTATGATCTACCAATTATATTGATTTAATTTAAGCAATTCTTATTTAATTTTTTTGCATGTTCCACATTTTTCAGCCAAGAATAGCACATCCCAGACCACAGGGTGGATTGTATGGGGCAATACATTTCAGAGAACAACAATTGTTTCATCATTGTAGCAGTTCTTACTTGTCGGCCAGATTGCGAGCTTCCTCTGCCAGAAGAGTCATGTTGTTAGGATCTGCAGTGTTTGAGGGTGTTTTGATGTCCTGGGCGAGAAAAATAATAATGTATGAAATCAATGAACCCCCGTTATAATTATTTTTCATGCAGGAGGACATTGTTCATTGTGCTACGGGAACAGATAAGGACTGGGGGTTTGTGCCACAAAAATAGACAAATAACATTATGCGGTGAGATCAAGCGATGGTGTTCCAAGCATAGAGATCCTACCATACATAATTGTATTATTTGTTTTATACAATATTCTACCATATATGATCCGTTTTTAGAATGAAAGTGTTAATTTTTTTGTCATGTTGCTAGGATGCTAATGTCCATTCTAGGGATTAAATATGTAATTATATTGTTCCAAGCAGCATGACAAAAAAAGGAAAACTTTCATTCTAGAAACTGATCATATATGGTAAAATATTGGACGAATATTGTATAAAACAAATAATTTCTCAAAATGATCATTAGGGGATGACCGACCAGTTTGCTGATGGCCTCCTTGGCCTTATCCAGTTCTTCGCGGGCGCGGTCGACCAGGTTCTCAGCGTCTCGGACCCGGTTGTGGGCTTTGTCGGCCTGGGTTCCCGTGTTGTCCACAGTGTTCCTGATGTTCTGCAGACGGTTCCACTGAGTGGTCAGAGTGTTGTTCAGGTTTCCCAGGCGCTCCAGCAGGCCTTTGTCTACATCTGAAAATATAGAACAAGAAGGTAATAAAAGTAAATTCTACATTATCCTCTGATCCAGCACCTGGGACAAGGTTTTATGGATGTGTGTATACCAACCCACTACATAACTGAAAACAGCATTCACAACTCACATTCCTGAATCATTTGATTTAACTCTACTGGGATAGAACAGCATTCTTTCAAGTTAATTACGCTGAATACATCTTTAAAAATGTTAAATGGACATAAGGGCCTTGTACCCTTTCTTGTCTAATTCTAGTTGTTTCAAGCTAGTGAGACCTACTTAAAAATATAAAAACATTTTTTTAATTGATATTTTTTTTATTTTACCTTTATTTAACTAGGCAAGTCAGTTAAAAACAAAGTCTAATTTACAATGACGGCCTACCTAAAGGCAAAATACCTCCTGCTGGGATGGGGGCTGGGATTAAAAATATAGGACAAAACACACCAACAACATAGCATGGCAGCAACACATGACAACACAGCATGGTAGCAACACCACATGACAACAACATGGTAGCAACACAACACGGCAGCAGCACAACATGGTAGCAGCGCAAACATTATTGGGCACAGACAACAGCACAAAGGCAAGAAGGTAGAGACAACAATACATCACGCGAAGCAGCCAGAACTGTCAGTAAGAGTGTCCATGATTGAGTCTTTGAATGAAGAGATGGAGATAAAACATATTTAGAGTCTTGTACCTTTGCTGGTCTGAGCCTCCTCCAGCAGGTCCATGATGGCTTTCTCTGCCTGCTTCAGACGGTCCTCAAAGGCCTTGTCACTGACAGTCTCTGACGTGGAGCCCAGGTTGTCAATCAAAGTCTGCAGGTCATGCAGCTTCTGTCTCTGCTGGTTCACCTATGTAAGAGTAAAACCATAAGGGTTAGTGCGGTTGCCTATGCAGCTATACAGACATGTCAAGCACACAACTTTACTTAATATTGAAACAAATATTTGGACAGAGACAGTGAAGAGAGACAGGAAAGGAAGGAGGAGAGTTGGTGTGCTAGAACTAAACTTTATTTACAAAAATAATCAACTGACAAAAACAACACCAAGAGTCTTTACCTTGTCTCTGACGAGAGAGTAACAAGATGGACACTGCTGGCAGCCGGGAGTAGAACGGTTGTAGAAGTAGTTCTCCTCACACATGTCACACCTGGCTCCCACGAAGCCGGGGCGGCACTCGCAACGGCCACCGTCCTTACATTGTGTCGTGGAGGAGCCCTCTGGGTCGCAGTCGCACGCTGAAGTAGAGGAAGAAGAGAGATGAGAAACTAAGCAAAATTAAAGAGGCTCGTAAAACATGAGTGTGATTCCAGAGTGGAGGTTTGAATGACAAATACAGAGGGGAGTCTTCAGGTTAGAATGATATTCTCTTCCCATCAGACAGTATCACAAACTCCACACGTGATATAGTAACGCACAGTTTCTTAAAACTGCATTGTTGGTTAAGGGCTTGTAAGTAAGCATTTCACTGTAAGGTCTACACCTGTTGTATTCGGCGCATGTGGCAAATAACATTTGATTTGATTTGATTTGCAAGCCATAATATGAAACGTTGTAAGAGTTTAATCAAAATAGTAGAGGATAGAGAAAGAAGAAAAAGTATGTTAGACATACGTTTGCAGCCAGACGATCCGAATCCAAAGAAGTTGACCTCGCAGTGTTCACAGCTCTGACCGGTGACGCCGGGCTGGCATTCACACTGACCGGAACTGATGTCACACTGACCATTGGTGGACCCAATAGGATTGCAGTTGCATCTGTCACGACACCAAAAGAAAATCAAGGCATATTACAACTTAGCTGTGAAACATAGCCGTGAACACAATCAGACAAGATAGAGCTTCATATAATAGGTAGGCAGTCATATTTATTGGTCTTTATTTTTGTATCAAATGTGAGAAATAAAATAAAAATTAGATTATACATTTATTTGTCTTTTCTACAAGGGAGTACCTTATTGACTACTCATAAATACTTCTACTAAAAGCTGTAAAGAGTGAAGGTCTCCAGAGTGGGTACTAACCGTACACAACCTGTTCCGCTCTGCAGGTTGAAGAAGCCAGGCTCACAGGCACTGCAGTCCCTGTTGGTGACGTTTGGGAGACACGGGCACTGGCCTGTGACCTGTAGACAGCTTGTCTGTCTGTCCACTGTGCCATACGGAGAGCAGGAGCAAGCTGGGGACAGGAGAGACAAGAGAAACCCATGACTACCACTGTGAGCATCAGTGATCTCTGTATAGTATGTGGAACTGAACTGTACACAGGATAGAATGGAATAGAATACTTTGTCTATTTGGGGACAGGAGGGAGGAGAGAGAGACCCATTATCACCGAGGAACACATCAGTCAACATCAGTCATATCTGTACAGTATGTGGAACTCAACTTTACACACACATACGTTGACCCACACGTCATGCTGGACATTTTCTCATCTTACGTTTGCACTTGTCGTTGGGGTTGGTGGCCAGAGGGTTTCCATAGAAGCCATCTTTGCAGCGGTCGCAGAAGAAGCCGTCTGTGTTGTAGATACACTTGAGGCACTCCCCGGTCTCTCTGTCACAGTTGCCCACAGCGTTGGGGTCGATGTTGTTGCTACACTTACAGGCCCGACACACCCTCACCGGCCCGTTCTCCCCCAGGGGGTCTCCGAAGAAACCGTCATCACACAGCTCACAGCGCTTGCCTGGGGAAAGATGCAATTCATAGTTTGGATTACGTGATTAAGAATATATTTGAATATCTAATAAAAGGTGCCATACCTACAACTTCTGAACCGAATTGAGAAATAAGTACATACAATAAACACAATTTGGAACATTAATGTTTTTATCCATTTACAAAGTTTAAGTTTGGTTTATTTTACGGAAACAAATCCTGTTTATCATCTGTTAATAGAAAGAAAATGGTTCAGGCCACCTTTATGTCTGTATTGGATTATGGGGATGTTATTTCCATGCATGCTGCAGCATCCACACATAAACCCTTGGATGCTGTATATCATTGTGCCCTTAGGTTCATTACTGGTTCTGGTTTTAAAACTCACCACTGTTCCTTATATCTAGAAGTAGGTTGGGCCTCTAACCGCCAGAAGAGAGCAGCATTTTATGTTATTTATCTATAAAGCGTTAATGCAAAAACTTCCAATGTATCTGATATCTCTAATCTCTTATAGAATTACTAATTATAAAACTAGGTCAATGAATTACATTACACTTCTGATCCCCCCAGTTTCTAAACAGATTGGAAAATGCTCCTTCAGTTATGTTGCACCTTATATGTGGAACAATTTACAAAAAAGTCTTAGAATGGATGTTCTAGTGCCTCTTAGACAATTCAAAAAATCTATTTCTGACCTTTTAAATGTTAATTGTGATTGTTTTTCTTAATGCGTATATGTCTTGTGTCTGTGTATTTGTATGTGTTTTTTTTTTTTTGTATTGTAAACAGGGCTCTACTGCAAATGAGACCTTGGTCTCAGTTGATCCCCTGTATAAATAAAATTATTTAAAAAATAATAATAAACATTACTTAGTCTTGAATTGTGATTAATAGTAAATAATTAAAACAGTATTTTCGACTTTCAAAACTATCTACAGACTATTCCAAACAGTTGATTAGAACCTGTGGTTCTGAAGCTGGAGACTCTTATCTCCCTCAATAACTTTAAGCATCAGTTGTCAGAGCACCTTACCGATCACTGCACCTGTACACAGCCCATCTGAAATTAGCCCACCCAACTACCTCATCCCTATATTGTTATTTATTTTGCTCTTTTGCACCCCAGTATCTCTATTTGCACATCATCTCTTGCACATCTAGCATTCCAGTGTTAATACTATTGTAATTATTCTGCACTATAGCCTATTTATTGCCTTACCTCCATAACTTGCTACATTTGCACACACTGTATATATATTTTCTGTTGTATTTCTGACTTTATGTTTTTTTACCCCATATGTAACTCTGTGTTGTTTTTATTGCACTACTTTGCTTTATCTTGGCCAGGTCGCAGTTGTAAATGAGAACCTGTTCTCAACTGGCTTACCTGGTTAAATAAAGGTGAAATAAAATAAAAATAAAAACATCTGCAAAGTCTCGTCTGTAAAGCCTATTGTCGGTTTCCATCCCAGATTATTTACATGTTTATTTAAAAAAATTAAATCACAATAAAAAAGGATTACCTGTGGTTCCTGTGGGACAGTTGGTGCAGACAACCTCCTTGGTCTTGGGCACGACAGCACAAGTGGATCCTCCGGGACAGGGGCAGGGCTTGCAGTCACTGGAACTCCCCACAGTGGAATCTCCATAGTAACCATCTTTACACCTCTCACAACTGAGCCCAGCTGTGTTGTGTTTGCAGTCACACATCCCTTCAAACAGACATCAAACACACACGTCATGTCTCTGATTCAGAGGGGTTGGGTTAAGCGCGGAAGACACATTTCGGGTGAATGCGTTCAGTTGTGGAACTGACTAGGTATCCCCTGTTCCCTTTCCCTAGCTGCCACCAGGGGGGAGTCTAAGACTGATGAGAGTTTAAAGGGCCCCACTATTTTATATCCAGACAACTTTCAATAGTAGATGAGGAGAGAGTAGGCTGCCTTTCAGTCATGTTTTAAACCATTGGGCACACAGACAAACCTCTTTATAGTGTTATTACTGGCTGATGTTGGTATGATCTGTTACTCCATGTTCTGTTCAATTATAACAAGGACCTTTAAAATGTTGAATCTTCCACTGTTCCAAACACAGACACATTTAGCCATAGCAGATAGAACCCCAGGTGGCTCCTGGCTGGGTCATATACCCAACCAGTCATGTGGTGATTGAGCACTCGTCTCCAACCTCTACTCCTTGTTGTTTCCCTATGGGCCCCGCTCTACAGTAGTGCACTATATAGGGAATAGGGTCATTAGGGACTCAGCCAGTCATTGTCATCTCACTGACCTGTGTCGGGTTTGCACGTGACACTGTGTCCGTTACAGTTGCAGGCGTCACAGGAACTGAAGGGCCCCAGGTCTGGTCTGCTCCTCCTGTATCCCAGGGCGCACCCCTCACAGTGCTGTCCCATGTAGCCCTGAGGGCAGGTACACTTCTCTACCCAGCGTGCCGGGGTCCCGGGACCTCTCCTCGCCGTGATCAGAGTCACATCGTCAAGGTAACCAGCACCTGGGGAACGATGAGCATTGATTAGATGTCTGCATCTTGTCTTGAGAAAGGCCACTAAGCTGAAATGTTGACATGGAATCAAAGATACAGACCACCAACATTCTTGTCTCCCAGCTTTTCATTTTCATTTCATTGATTAGGCCTCACTGGTCATGTCTAAAGTATTGAGGTAAGTGACTATTACTATGTTTTTGTCCTTAGAGTTATCTGGATATTTGTTCTGAGAGGATCTGATGACTTCAATAACAGGGGAAACATCACCATGTGGTGTCTTTAGGGGAAATGAGAAAGATACAGCCTTAACCTGAGCACTAATATTATGACTAGATTGGAGTTTCAACATCCTCTCTGTGATTAGCTGAGAGATGTCCTCAGAACTGATAAAAGCATATGAAATCCAAGCTTATCAGTTCGCTTGACCCTACTTACTCGCAGCTTGTCATGGTCCAATCCTACAGATACTACTGTAGGCTTGGGCCCGTATTCATAAAGTGTCTCTAAGTAAGAGTGCTGATCTAGGATCCGTTTTTTGCCCTTTAAATCATAATACATATGATCATATGTACAGGGGAAACATGATCATAGATCAGTCCTCCTACTCTGAGATGCTTTGTGAATACAGGCCCTGAACCAGGATGTATGGTTTACATAGTGAAATGAGGTGAGGCGGGGCGGAAGAGTGGGTGCATACTTCTCTCGCTGTAGGTGCCACGGATCTTGATGGACGTCAGATTGTGCAGGAGCTTCTGGAACTCAGAGTGAGGGAGGGTGGGCCTCCAGGGGTAGTCTGTGCTGTCGTGGAGCCTGACAGAAAAAAAACAGAACACAGTTGGTGGGGCATTCACAACATCAGATAACATAAGACAACTTTATGCATTTGATTTCTATGTGACAATTTCTAAATTATGTTATTACCACAGAATAGGTGGTAAAAAGCCAACTTTCATACTACAAATGATTCACTTTTGTTGTGCTGGTATTCTACATCTGTAGGTTACGGCTGCATGATTTCCACCCACCTGAACACAAACGTCTGCATGTTCTCCCCAGGATAGGCATTTCCCTGAGCAATGAGAGGCACAGCCACTCTGAGGCCAGCCCCCTCCAGTACCACATCTTCAGCCGAGAGGCGTGTGTCTCTCCTGTCCACCCGGAAGTTCAGGGTGAGGTTCTGGCCATAACTCAGCAGCTGATTGCCCAGGAACCTCTCTACAGTAACAAGATAAGAAAATACTTGTTAGGATCACTTCAATGAAGTCACCACAATTTAGATAAAACACCATCTCCCATAGGTCTTTGGGGCAATCAGTTTCCCCATAGGCTCATGCCAATGAAGTCTTCTTCACCACAGTTTAAAAATAAAAGTCCCTCTTTCTCAAGAACAGTATTTGAGTTAGTGTCAGTCACACAGTACCTGGAGCCACAAAGTACATGGGGAAGTAGTCCTCAGAGATGAGAGAGATCTCCTCTCCACCAGCGGACCACTGGACTGAAACACTGGAGCCGTCACGCTGCTGGCCTGTCCACTGCTCATCATCTAGGAACAGGTTTCATGTTTGTTACATTCAATTCTAACAAGGCATATCTTTACATCACAACTACCTCTGAATGTTCCTAATCTTAACAGTGATATTTGCGTACTTCCTGAATATTTCTAGAAACTTACTCCAGCTTTTATTTATTTTTTGACTAATAAAGTAAGTAAGCCTGGTCTGAGCCCATAATGAAAAGGTGAGTATGGGCTCACCTCTGTGGAAGGTGGAGGAGACGGTGTCGATGCTGTAGCCTTCTGCGCTGTCACACACAGAGGAGTGCTGGAAGCAGAAGCACGGAGTGCAACCCTGCGGGTTCTGGGGGTCCAGGTTGAAGTAGCCCAGCTTACACCTGAAATAAACCACATTAGCCATTTAACATCAACTTCCATTAAAAATTATATTAGTATGGGTAAGTCTATCGGCAAATATGAGATAAAGTCAGCATATACTGTAGTAAATTCATTTCATTACGTGAAAATCATTCGTTAACTGTATGAAACTGAGGTAAAATGGGGCTTTAGGCTTGGAAATGTGAAAGTATTGACATTCAGTTTGAGGCGTAGGCTATATTCTATAATGAGTCCCATATTGCCTTTCGAGTGAAATGCGCTGACACCTTAATCGAATGACAGCCGTTGGAGAATGACAATTTAGACAGACAAACACTGGTCTGTAATTTTAGCCACTTGTTGTGAGTGACCATGCAGCATCTGACGAACTGGATGTGTCCAAAATGGCACCCTATTCCCCATATAGTGCACTACTTTTGACCAGGCCCCATTTAGGGAATAGGGTACCATTTGGGACGCATCCACACTTGGGGGATTATTCATACCATCTGTGGCCCAGCTGGGTCGCTGGGAGGAATGTTACACCCACCAGTGTCTGTGGAGCCAGGGCTGTGGAGCGAAAAGGTGCCGTTGTTGGGGGTGGGGGAGCGGGGGTTAGGTGGTGGCCATTCCACAAAGGCAGAGAGAAGAGTGTCTCAGGCAGGCAGCAGACAAGGCAGTGGTGACTGGCTGGGTGGCTGGACTTGGGAGAAGCCATAGAAGGCCTGGCTGCCAGTCTGTCTCAGTGGGGAGGAGTGAGCTATCTATGGGTTATTTTTTTCTCCTTCGCTGCTAGGGGAGCCATGCTGCCTGCCTAATTCAATTTTACAAACATACAGAGCATTCTTTCACTGAGAGAGGGGCATTCTCCTGTGTGTCAGGGGCTGCTTTTAAACATCTGTGGTTTAACCTAAGAATGTCATAACAGAAGAGGAGCTGAAATGCTGCAATTAATCTTTAACAGTTTCCCTCCACAATAAACGATACCGTAAACTGTGTTACACTCGCTGAATGGAGCCAACTGATATTTCACTGCCAAAGTGACAGTCTTTTGTAACCCTGTTTAATTCTAAACCTATAAAAATTCAACAATTCCCAGACAAAGACATTCCTAACTGAAAAGCCACCTTGTTAGAGTGTATTTTTGGTATAAGGAAATAATGTGTGTGTACTGTGCCTCTCTTTGTGTGTGTTACTGTGTGTGGGTGTGAGTCTGTGTGTGTGTGTCTGTGTAATGAATCCCTGTGGCGGAGAGAGCGGGTGGGTCTGACCTGTCACAGTTGAAGCCCTCCACGTTGTCCTTGCACTGGCAACGGCCTGTCTGGACATCACACTCCTGTGTGCTTCCGGAAGGGTTACAGGAGCAGGGTCTGGACAGAAGAGGGGTGGGGGAGGGGAAGGGAAGGGAGAAGAACAGCCATTCACATAAACAGCATGGGTCTGATAGCAACCATCTAAAGCAAGCCTGCTGCGAGCCTGTTTATCTAAATGGACCTGGCACACAACTCTGAAACGCGTCCCAAATGGTATGCTATTCCCTATATAGTGCACTACTTTGACCAGAGCCCTGGTCAAATGTAGTGCACTATATAGGGAGTAGGGTGCCATTTGGGATACACCCTAAGATAGCCCGCCTCCATATCACTCCCAAATAAACACATTAAGAGCAAACAATAAATAAATCAGAACAAACCATAACAAAACATTAAGATTGTTTGATCTGGAGCAATGCAAATATAAATATCACAAATAGCAAGAGTGAGTGGCTTGGTGGTGTATACCTGCAGCCTGCTTCGGTCAAGGTGTGGAAGCCAGGTTGACAGCGGTCACACTTGTCCCCCATCACACCTGGTTTACAGCTGCAGCGTCCTGTGTTGTCACACTGAGTAGCCAGAGAGCCTGGCAGTAGAGAGGAAGAAGATGCACAGATCAACATCAGTTCATCATTTCAACACACTGTTACACACATGCGGACAATCATTGTTTAACAGCCCTGGTGGTGTCCACGTCGCATGTGTTTTGTGGTGGTTTTCAAGGGTAGCATATGTGGTTATAGAGCAGAGGAATTATGAAACTTAACATACTGGTGTCAACAACAGCTTTAACCTATTAAGACTTGCGGTTTGTCTCTCAAACCAATAAAATGTTAACCCACAGCACTACAAAACACAGACTGCCTTCATCCTGTATATTGTTTTACCCAATAGAAAGCGGCATCGCATTAGCGGAAACCAAGACTGTTCTCAGGGCAGGCCTGGTTGTAGCTAGATATGTTCAAGTCATGTCTGGGACAATTTTGCATTTTAGCCAACCCTAGCATAATTCTCCTAATCTGCCACTTTCATTTTCCTAACCTGCCTTGCTAATTCTCCTAACCTACTGCATAAACTCTCCTAACCTGCTACGAAAAGTAACATCTGCCTGTCAAAACAGGCAGACTTGCCCTGAGAACAGTCTTGGTTTCCACTAATGCGATACAGCCAACAGAAACCGTAAGTATTTAATGATACATTAAGACTTAAGGTTCGTTGCTCAATCCAATATATGACAACATGGGCAGTAACTTCACAACAAAGCCTGGCTTCATACTGTACGTATCTTCCTACCCTAATAGAAACACTAAGTCTGCGACCCAAATGGCACCCTATTTCCTAAATAGTGCACTGTAGGGCTCTGGTCAAAAGTAGTGCACTATATAGGGAATAGGATACCATTTGGGACACAGACATCTTTTTACCCCAATAGAAACTGTAAATATGCAATGGTATAGTCCAGACACTCACCCACTGGGTTGCAGCTGCAGGGCAGGCAGCGGTTGCCAGATCTGTCTCTGTAGTGGTTGTCCAGGCAGCGCTCGCAGTTAGGCCCGTCTGTGTTGTCGACACAGTTGCGACAGTGTCCTCCGTGGCCGGTGGCGCGGTACAGCTCAGGGTCAAAGTAGCACTCTGCACTCTTGCCATTACAGTTGCACGCTGGGACCACCAGAAAAAGTAGATATTAGCTTATCTCATACAAATGTATAGGACAATGTGTGGGTGGGATCAATGTATGTGTACATGGGGAGGGAACAGTAGAACTACAGACTAATATGATTTTAAACCTCTGGATTTAAGAGTGGTAAAAGCTAAAAGCACATTTTCCATACCAGGCTTTGGTAAACTAGCCATTAGTTTATCCCATACAGTTTTAAGGACAATGCATGGATGGGTTCAATGTAGAGGTACTTACTGTATATGGGGAAGGAGGTGGTAGGACTACATAGTAATGTGATTGAACGCAAATATCATCCTGAATCTTCCCTGCAGTTAAGGGTGGGTCATTTCATTTGGTACATTTTCCATATCAGGGGTACTTTTCCCTAAGTGGTCTGCTGGCAAAATTTGGTCTTAGGAGACAGATTATGTGGCCTGGAGCAGAATGAGGCGGTGTGGGCGTGAGAAGTGTGGTGTGGACTGTTCTGAACAGGATTAGTCATGCATTTGCGGTATGATATGAATGTCTGCCTGGCCTGGCCTGCACAGAAACGGGAAGGATCTCTTGCTATGGGACTTATGCAGACACTCATCTCTTAGGTAGTGTCCCAAATGACATCCTATTCACTATGTAGTGCACTACTTTTGACCGGCCCATGACCAGGGCCCATAGGACTCTGGTCAAAAGTAGAGCACTACATAGGGAATAGGGTGCCATTTGGGACAGCATGGGACTGACTTACGCAGACACTCGTTAGGGTTATTGGCTGTAGCTCTCCTCCAGGGACGGTCGTTGTAGAACGGCTTGCACACATTGCAGTCATCACCCTCTGTGTTGTGCTTGCAGTTGCAAACCGGCTTGCTGAAGCCGTAGTTTTTCACACACTCACTCGCATGTCCGTTGCACTTGCACCTGGAACAGCGGAGAACAGTGGAGTCTGTTAGTCATCATGAGAGTTACAATGCACAATTCAAACATCTGGGCCGTATTCACAAAGTGTCTCAGAGTAGAAGGATCAGGTGCCCGCTGTCTATGTCATCGTATTCATTAAACTGATCCTAGATCAGCACTCCTACTCTGAGACGCTTTATGAACATGGGCCTTGACCAGTGGACCTTTGCACTGGTCTTAGAGGACCAGACCGTAAGCATAAAATGGAACTCCGTTTTTAATTAATGGATGTGATTACTTGGTTAAGCAGTCTAATAGTCCAACCATACTGTATATCAGTGGCACTTATTTTCAGTGCAATCATATCAGTCAATCGCCTTAGAGTGAAAGCTATTTTAAGTCGATAACTTGTCAGCACAGGATAGTAGCATGATTACAGTGTTTCCTCTTTATTCATTTAGAAGCGTTGCCCCGCCATTTTGGCTTAATTGCCAAAATCTCACACTATCCCTTTAAGATCAGAGTGTCAAGTTACAATGTATATTGCTAGCAATCAGAGTGAACAGTGGCACGAATGAGAGCACAGCCACCGCTTGCTCCTAATCTCCCTACAGGGGAAACACTGGATTATATTTACAGTCATCTACAAATAGGTGTTCATCAATCCACATTAGCATGACAGATAGCAGCAAACTTTGACGTCAACGTTGACTCCAATTTGCTATAGCAAGTCACTTTACGACATGTATAGAACGGTCTTCATTTTGATAAATCATACTGTATATTCTATCAAATCAAATGTTATTTATCACATGCCCCGAATACAACTGGTGTAGGTAGACTTTACAGTGAAATGCTTGCTTACGAACCTTTCCCAACAATAGTTTAAAAAAGAGGAATAAAATAAGATACAGAAGAAAGACGGTATATACAGGGAGTACCAGTATCAGATCAATGTGCAGGGGTACGAGGTACTTGAGATAGATATGTACATGACAGCAGGGTAAAGTAACTAGGCATCCAGATAGATAATAATAACAGTAAAATACAGCACAGCGTAGCAGCAGCAAATGATGTGTAAAAGTGTGTGTGCGTGTTTGTGTTGTGTGTGTGTGCGTATGTAGTGTTTGAATGTGTGAGGGATTTGTGTGGGAGTGACAGTGAAGTGTGTGTGAGTGTGTATATGGTGTGTATATAAAGTCTAGTGAGTGTGTGTAGGGTCAGTGCAAGATAGCGTCAGTGCAGATAGTTTGGGTACCATTAATTGACTATTTAGCAGTCTGAATATTTAGTGGTCTTATGGCTTGGAGGTAGAAGCGGTCTCGGAGCCAGTTGGTCCGAGAGCCGATGCTCTGGTACCGTTTGCCAGATGTTAACAGAGGGAACAGTCTATGACTTGGGTGGCTGGAGTCTTTGGCAATGTTTCGGGCCTTCCTCTGACACCGCCTGATATAGAGGTCCTGGATGGCAGGGAGCTCAGCCCCAGTGATGTACTGGGCTGTCCTCACCACCCTTTGTTGCGCTTTGTGGTCAAGGGCGGTGCAATTGCCATACCAAGCAGTGATGCAGCCTGTCAAGATACTCTCGATGGTGCAGCTGTATAACTTTGAGGATCTGAGGGCCCATGCCACACCTTTTCAGCCTCCTGAGGGGGAAGAGGCGCTACCGTGCCCTCTTCATGACTGTGCGGGTGTGTCTGGACCATGTTAAGTCCTTAGTGATGTATACGTCAAGGAACTTAAAGCTCTCAACACGCTCCACAACAGCCCCGACAATGTGGATGGGGGCGTGCTCTCCCCGCTTTCTCCTATAGTCCACGATTAGCTCCTTGATGTTGAGGGAGAGGTTGTTGTCCTAGCACCACACTGCTATGTCTCTGACCTCCTCCCTGTAGGCTGACTCATCGCTGTTGGTGATCAGGCCTAACACCGTTGTGTCATCAGCAAACTTGATGGTATTGGAGTTGTGCGCGGCCACGCAGTCGTGGGTGAAAAAGGAGTACAGGAGGGGACATAGAACACACCCCTGAGGAGCCCCCGTGTTGAGGGTCAGCGTGGCGGAGGTCTTGTTGCCTACCCTCACCACCTGGGGCCGACCCGTCAGGAAGTCCAGGATACAGTTGCAGAGGGAGGGGTTCAGTCTCAGGGTCACTAGCTTGGTGATGAGCTTGGAGGGGACTATGGTGTTTAACGCTGAGCTGTACATACTTCTCATACTAGTTTTTATTACCAATTTTTTTCCTTTTATACTTTTTATTACTACTTGTTATTTTTGGACTATGTTTTTGGCATTTAATTCTTGATTTATATAGTTTTTGTACTGCATTGTTGCGGAGAGTTAGCAAGCAAGCTCTTCACTGTACCGTGTGCACGTGACCAATAAACATTTGATTTGATCTAACACACCACTATTTGTATCCTACATTATGTTTATTTGAGAGTCATTACTCTAAGTGTATGTTGTTGGGAATCACGAAAACACATTTATTTGAGTTATTGAGTATTTGATCCATCATCAAATACATAATTAATCAAATCAAAATTTTGGCACAGGGAGAGTTTTATTTGCCCTGGCGTTTACCCAAAGCAGAAAGGCTGTACCTTCTCCACCTGAGACACTTCAACAGGGCCAGCCCTTCCAAACAAGAGAAGACTTGCATGGCAGCAACCTTTGGATATTGTTTCAGGTGTTACTTGGCAGCGAAGTGTGGAAAAAGTGACAACAGGAAGCAAGACACTATAGCATTAGGGGCCTATTAAGAATAATAGGCTGTTTGTTCATCTAGAAAACCAAAGACAACCTCCCTCACGGTCTTTTCCATTTTGTAGTATGTGTAATATCAGTCAAATCCATTTCCCCCTCATAATATATAGCTGGTTGATGTGATGACATGGCTGACTGCTGGACAGTGAACTTGGTGCCCTGACAGGTGGAGAGTAGGCCCACTACACACGAGCTTGGCCCGGCTTGGTCCTTGGACTCATCTCTGCCGTCATATTGGGGCCCGCCCCATTCCGGTCTCCGTGCACTGTAATCCAGCACTCCCAGGCAGGAATGCTAAGAATGCGGCTGTGTAATGGAAATCTGCTCCACATTTCAAACAGATTAAGGTGAAAAGACACTGCACAGGCAAGAGGGCAGTTTAACACTTGTTTAATACGTGTCTGATCCCCTATTCTCTTCTGGCATTTCAGTTCAGAACTTGGGAGGGATTTTTTGGATTCTTGGTTGAGCTGCTGAGAATGAACCCACACAATGTAAAATGTGGCCAGATATGTGATATGAAGTTGATCTGAAGACAACAGACTATGCTACTTTAGATTATTGATTCAACAACACCCAGACAAAAACATCTTTGCTGTCAGCACTTGAGGTTTGATAATGATCATCGATTAGACATTTTTTCTTTAATCCAACAGAGTGATTCCTATTCTTGCAGTCATTCCAGGGCGTCATACCAAAAAAACTAGAGAGTGAATATGCACTAGAGAAAACATGCTGTGTGGCTAATAGACAGGGCCTCCTCCTTTAAAGGAATATAATACGATTTGTTGCTATTTTTCCTTTTTATGCTCTAATTCCTAGAAGAGACAACACCAAATTAAAAATGTTTGTATGATTAATTATTCATCAAAAATAATTGTGGTCCTCTGTAGCTCAATTGGTAGAGCATGGCGCTTGTAACGCCAGGGTAGTGGGTTCGATCCCCGGGACCACCCATACGTAAAAATGTATGCACACATGACTGTAAGTCGCTTTGGATAAAAGCGTCCACTAAATGGCATATTATATTATTATGTTTTTGTGCGTGTGTGCAAAATTGCTATTCAATGGTATTGGTAAAATAAAAAAATCTGAACAACGGAAAAGCCAGGCAGCGGATGCTGTTGGAAGATGGAGATAGAATACAGCTGAGGGAACAGCTCTCACCTTCCTCCCACTGCAAAGTCTGAGATAGCGTAGTAATAGGACTTTAGGACCTTGGGATCATTGAAAACTTCATCTCCGAATGTATTGAGCCTGTTCAGGGTCACTTTGATATCTGTGGCTGTCACCCATTCCTGAAAAACAAGACAAACGGACAGTGTTAAAACACAGCCAGGCATTGCCTGCTAAATATGTTTGGAGAGTTATTAATTTACAACTTTGTTTGACGGACGAGAAAAGGGAGAGAGGATTGGAGACTCCAAAGTTAACTGCACGATAGGTGTGTTTGACTTGAAAGGAATTCTTATCGTGTTGAATGTTTCCATTTGAAATGGGAGATTAAGCCCTATCCCTGGTCCTAGTGCAGCTGCTTAGAAGAAAAATAAATACAGCCAAACTAATCTAAACCAAACCTCAGACATTCTCATGGAATCAGACTGGTCCTGGGATCAGAACAACATATCCAAAGCCTTTTGTTTGCTTGTTTAGAATTACAGCAGAAGAGGACAAATCTGGATTGAGCACCGGAAGATCGCTCAAGTAGTATTACCAAGAAAGTTGGAAACCATAGCATAACATCTGTAAAATAAATACATAATAATCTGTCCTGTTCCACACATGCAGGTTTAGAATAAATAGATTATTTCTGAAGAGGAGTTGTAAATGCAGCCAAGTCAAGTGTGTATCTCCCTTGCACGGGCAAAATGATTTGCCAACAAACATTCTGCAGAATTAGTTGGAGCCTAACTACTACCAGTAGACTAATTAAAAACATATTTCAGGCTAGAGTTTCTGCTGACAACAGCTCCAATGTTTTGCCACTTATAGCCTAACTCTCCTAGAACAGTCTGACACATCCATAGGGCAGCCATGAGTCTGTCTCAGGCACGGGGCCAATGGCTCTCCTGGTCGACTCCTTTATTGACTTCTCTGGCACTATCACTCAATCCGCTTATACATTTCCAACTGTATCCAGGCAGACATTTAAAGCTGGATGTAAATATTCGGTTTTTTCAGTTAATTATCTTACTGAGACACTTGTAGGCTATATTTTCTGTATACAGAGTGAGTCTGTGTGAAAAGGTTTTGGTTGATTTTGTTGTTGTACGAAAATGGTTGCTATCCCATAATAAATAATATTTAACAGTTATTCAAATATTACCTAGAGACTCCACTTAACAAATACAACTATCCTGGAACATAGCCCTGTGAAGCCTCAGAAAGGTATCCCTTCCAAAAGAGTCCAGGGCTTTGGTATAAATAACCATATGCCACATGAGAAAGTCAAATATGGAAGTATATAGCGCCAGAGCTAAATGTGTTCATTTGTTAGAGGTAGAGTATTACATATGAAAGCCAGGTTATTCCACACCGGTGGAAAATTGCAAGAGCAGCCAATAGCAGATAATACATCAGAAATTACCAGGCATCTGCTGACTACTTTTCATTAGCAAAAAGGCAGTTAGCCTACATAAAGATAAACCCTTTAGAAGTAGCCTACAGATACAACTTTCTTACATGAACATAGTAAGTAAGACGCTTATAAGAAATCCCGCTACGCCCTCCGATGAGCCATCAAACAGGCAAAGCGTTAATACAGGACTAAGATCGAATCCTCTGACGCTTGTCGGATGTGGCAGGTCTTGCAAACTATCACGGATTACAAACGGAAACCCAGCCGCGAGCTGCCCAGTGACGTGAGCCTACCAGAGGAGCTAAATACTTTCCATGCTCGTTTCGAGGCAAGCAACACTGAACCATGCATGAGAGCACCAGCTGTTCCAGACGACTGTGTGATTTGGCTCTCCATAGCCGATGTGAGTAAGACCTTTAAACAGGTTAACATTCACAAGCCCGCGGGGCCAGACAGTTTACCAGGACAAGTACTCAGACCATGCGCTGACCAGCTGGCAAGTGCATTCACTTACATTTTTAACCTCTACCTGACCCAGTCTTTAATACTATGGTGGTCAAGCAGACCACCTTAGTCCCTGTGCCCACGAACGCCAAGGTAACCTGTCTAAATGACTATCGCCCTGTAACACTCACAACTGTAGCCATAAAATGCTTTGAAAGGCTGGTGATGGCTCACATCAACACCATCATCCCAGACACCCTGGACTAATTTGCCCACAGCCCCAACAGATCCACTGATGACGCAAGGCGCTACAGAGGGTGGTGCGGACGGACCAGTACATCACTGGGGCCGAGCGCCCTGCCATCCAGGACCTCTATACCAGGCGGTGTCAGAGGAAAGCCCAGAAAAATGTCAATGACCCCAGCCACCCAAGCCATAGACTGTTCACTCTGCTACCGCACAGCAAACGGTACCAGAGTGCAAAGTCTGGGACCAAAAGGTTCCTGAACAGCTACTACCCCCAAGCCATAAGACTGCTGAACTGTTAATCAAATGGCTACCCGGATTATTTGCATGGACCCTTTTTTGCACTGACTCTCTTGCACTGACAATGCACATTCACTTCATTCTACCCACACATACTTACACTGACACTCCAACACACACACGCCGCTGCTACTCTGTTTATCTATCCATCCTGATTGCCTAGTCACTTTTACCCCTACCTACATGTTACCTCAACTACCTCTTACCCCTGCACATTGACTCAGTACTGGTACTCCTTGTATATAGCCTCATTATTGATATATATTTTGTTACTATTTTTCTATTTGCTAATTCTCTTACTTTTAACTCAGCATTGTTGGGAAAGGGCTCGTAAGTAAGCATTTCATAGTAAAGCCTAAAACTGTTGTATTCGGAGCATGCGACAAATACAATTTTATTTGATTAAATGTTATTGGAGTCATTTGGGTTTAAAGTCTGATATAGGCTATTAGTCTCCCAGGGCTTCGTCTGGAAACACACACAAATTCTCACTTGCTGAAAGCAATGCGCAACAAACATTTCCAGCTGTGCCTCTGAAGAGCCAAATTCAATCTGTACTGTAGTGGGAAATCTGGGGGCGTCACCTAGCAACATGTTGCAACACTTGGCACTGGTCAGGCTCTCACACTTTCCCACCTGGACTAGTGTGCTACTCCCTTCCACTGGGAACGCCTGCCAACAGCACATATGTCCATGCCAAAATATCTCAAGTCTACGGGCCAACTTATCGTTACTATGTCCACATCATTGATTGCCTCAACGCTACTGATATAAGATGTACTACTAACGCTGTACCTCAGACAGCCCTGGAAAAATAAAACAAAATAATAACAGCCACCCAGGGACACACAAGTCTGGGATATCACATATCTGGAGCTGGAACAAAAGCATCACACGAAGTTCCTATTTCAAGGTCTCTAGAACACTATAAAACAGAACTGAGCTGGAACATACAGTATTGGAGACGATCACACAAAGTTATTTTATCAAGGTCTCTAAAACAGCTGAGTTTTTTTCTTTACCTGAAGAACTGGGCTGTTGTCAAAGTTGTAAGCACTGGGCCGGCCCTCAAGGGTGGAGAAGGCCACGTTTCCTCCGGTCAAGGGTGAGATGTCACTGAACTCGTCTGTGCACAGGGCCTGCTGTTCGTCCTCTCCGGTGCGGATGAAGCCCCTGTTGAACTTCTGGTAGGTCTTCTCACAGGAGCCACTGTAGTACTGGTAGGGTGTCCATGGTCCATCCTCACTTGTGCGCTTGTAGATGGCGAAGCTCTCTGGGCGGCTGGTGTGGAACTTGAGTCGCACGTAAGTGATGTCAAAAGCCTTGCCTGAAGAAGAACCGAAAAGAAACATGAGATCTTTGATACCAAAAGCTAAAATAGTCACTAAAAGACAGTTTACAACAAGCCTTTTCCAGATGCATTGTTGTTTTAAGCCAAGACAAAGGAAGATCTCCAGCGTCCTCCAGTAATACTAGAGGGCCTTTTCAAAACATATTTGGCATGTCTGAGCAGGCTAGGAGTTGTAAGGGGATGAACACCAGACTATATCTGCTAAGAGCTAGGGGAAATGTTATGGGGAGATGTTTATTTTGTGTAAAGAAATGATATGATCTTTCAACGCGGTAACAGGGGGTACAGTTTGCGTTAGCAAAGAAATGGCTCTCTAAACAGATCTGCAAAGACAAAAAAAATCTAAACAGGAACCATTGTGGCATGCACAAATATAGGTGAAGACATGTATCTTACAGATAATATAGATTTCTCAATCTGTTAATTTCCTTCAGAGTAAGTGTTTATGCATGTTATTGCAGTCACCATGACAATGAACTTGCTGACTTTTGCGGGACCTCTTAACCCAGCAAGCTTTGTGGGTCAAGGTAAATCTGAAAGCAATACATATTTTACTACAGGGTGTGAGCTGGTTTGGTCATGAATGCATACGTTACATTGAGATTAAAGTGAATTGTCAAGTATGCTATGTTGTGGAGTACCTGCTTTGGCCCTGTGTGAGTCTCCTATTCAAACATGACTTGAACAAATATTACCTCAACTGGCCCGGGAGTCACTAAACTAGGTGTGGATTTCAACAGGTCTGCTTCAACACACAGAGAAATTTTTTCAAATGAAATAAAAGCAGTAAGTAATACAGTTATGTAGTTTAATTGAGCTTATACCCATTAGCTCGTGTTCAATCTCTCTTTATAAATCTATTCAAGTAGGAAAAAAGTTCAGCTTTACGCTGAGAAAGTTGCTAATTAAAACATGGGGAAAAAATTGAATCAAAGTGCAACGAGACACAGGCCATAGACATGAATAATTTCAAGCTCAACCAATTTGGCCGGCCGAGCATTTGTCTGACCATTTACAACCAATTTGCCTACTTTTTCCACTAGTCACTACCATTACAATGCACAGGCATGACACCAAAATAACTGAATGCGAAATTCTGTGAACAAGCAAATCTTAAGAGGGTTCGAGCAGCGGGGAATCACACTGGGAACAGACTCGGTCATTGACATCTCATTTCTAAAACCACCCCGCATCCTCGCAAACAAGACAAACAGCATCTGTTGGCGCAGCAATGAAGTGGCAAGCATATGGGCAAACAACAAAAGGGCCCCTCGTCAACTCAACATGGAGGAGCCCACTCAGTGGAGACAAAGGAAGCCTCAACACTGAATACAGGTGGTCAGGCAGTCACTATACTAGTAGTCTAGTTCAGAGGCAAGGCTAGTCCTGAAGATAATGAGGAAAGGGCCATGAAAATTATGGTTTAGCTTTGAACAAGGACATGGTGACTCTTTGGCAGCTGGGGTTTTAAAAGTCTTTAGTGTCCAAGGTTTGTTCTTCGTACATTCTCAACCAAAAGGAGTTTTACAGTATGCTATGGCTGTCACTGGAAGCCTACTTTTAGGTATCAAGCCCTAGAAGCATTCTTTCACTGATCAGCTAAAACTGTACAAAGTACAGTATACACATAGACCACAGGGCCAGTTACACCCTTTGAATCTGTCTTTTCAGTGATGTAATAACCATCAATAGTGAGCAGGAATAGCTGACAATTCAGTCGGAACTAAAATTGTAGTTAAATATTGCACGTCTTTAATGCAATTAAAGTTACGATTGAGCTGATGCACTTTAATGGCCAATAATACTCAACGTAAAAGTTGATTAAACACCATTTGCAGTTGTTAGAATTCCATTTATGTTTCAACTAATCCGAAGGAGACTTACACAGGAGAGTAGCTTTATTTGAGATTCATGAATGGCAGTGTTGCATGGATTTACCAAGTTTTCTGGCCCAGAGCTGTCTAGCATAAAACCAAGAGGAATTCCATCTTTCCTTACAGAACAAATGGTGTATTGATAAGCAAAATAATAGTACAGTTGAGAGCCAAACAAAGGGCAGGCTGTGGGGACCCCTTATGTTCTTCTACAAGAAGGAAGGATAAAAATAAGTATTAAAAAGACGCAAGATAAAGACCAAGGTACATACAAGTCGGTTAACTGTGGGGTCGTTTTCCACATTAGCAACAATGGGGGTTGGCTAGGGTGGGGAAGTTGTCAGATTCACAAATCTACAACTCTCCTTCCACATCAGACACCATGACGAGCTTCGGGAGAGCTATACTATACACAGGAATTAGTCTTAAAGAAATCTCCAGAACTGTTATACTATAGCCTAATACTCAATTAACTGGTATTGGTTAACCCCGACTTAAACCCTACCATTGTTAGACACTAACCCAATTAAACACTTTTCAGGGCCCCAACCTTAGTAAGGTTTTAAATGAAAAGCCACTCTTGTGAGTTACAGCAGAGAACTAAGGGAGGGGACTTCAACCATGTGCGCACCTGCCCAATCCTCAAACATGTTCTAGTTGAGTGAGGCTGTGACATGGTGGTATGGTGGTGGTGATTGGGGGAGGGGAGGTTGAGAGGGAACTGGCTGGAATGTGCTTCCGCTCGGCAGAGTGACGCCAGTGAAGGGGAGGGCTGACGAGAACCAGAGAAAGACTGGAGAGGGAGAACACAGACAAGAGAGTTTGGGGAAACGGTCTGTGTTGGTAGGCAAATATTTATTGTTGAAATGTGAAAGAAAGCTCATGACTGTTCCTAAATGTGGATCGTCTTTGATCAGCAATTACCTTCAAAAGTTCTGCAGAAGACGACGACGTGCATGTTCAACAAATTAAGCATTGATTGAATCTGAGAATTCCTACCTGGCTTTAAATCAAATCCAATTTTATTTCTCACATGCGCCGAATACAACAGGTGTAGACCTTAGTGAAATGCTTACATACAAGCCCTTAACCAACAATGCAGTTTTAAGAAATAATACCCCCCCCAAAAAAATCACAAAAAAATACTTTGCTTTAATTTAGGTAATATGTACATGTAGGTAGAGTTATTAAAGTGACTATGCATAGATAATAAACAGACAGTAGCAGCAGCGTAAAAGAGGGGGGAGGGGGCAATGCAAATAGAAAATAGTCTGGGTAGCCATTTGATTAGATGTTCAGGAGTCTTATGGATTGGGGGTAGAAGCCTTTTGGACCTAGACTTGACAAACCGGTACCGCTTTCCGTGCAGTAGCAGAGAGAACAGTCTATGACTAGGGTGGCTGGAGTCTTTGACAATTTTTAGGGCCTTCCTCTGACACCGCCTGGTATAGAGGTCCTGGATGGCAGGAAGCTTGGCCCCAGTGATATACTGGGCCGTACGCACTACCCTCTGTAGTGCCTTGCGGTCGGAGGCCGAGCAGTTGCCATACCAGGCAGTGATGCAACCAGTCAGGATGCTCTCGATGGTGCAGCTGTAGAACCCATGCCAAATATTTTCAGTGCCCTTAGGGGGAATAGGTTTTGTCGTACCTTCTTCACGATTGTCTTGGTGTGCTTGGACCATGGTAGTTTGTTGGTAATGTGGACACCAAGGAACTTGAAGCTCTCAACCTGCTCCACTACAGCCCCATCGATGAGAATGGGGGCGTGCTCAGTCCTCTTCTCCTTTGTCTTGATCACGTTGAGGGAGAGGTTGTTCTCCTGGCACCACACGGCCAGGTCTCTGACCTCCTCCCTATAGGCTGTCTCATCGTTGTCGGTGATCAGTCCTACCACTGTTGTGTCATCGGCAAACTTAATGATGGTGTTGGAGTCGTGCCTGGCCATGCAGTCATGAGTGAACAGGGAGTCCAGGAGGGGACTAAGCACGCACCCCTGAGGGGCCCCCATGTTGAGGATCAGCGTGGCGGATGTGTTGTTACCTACCCTTACCACCTGGGGGCGGCCCGTCAGGAAGTCCAGGATCCAGTTGCAGAGGGAGGTGTTTAGTCCCAGGGTCCTTAGCTTAGTGATGAGCTTTGAGGGCACTATGGTGTTGAACGCTGAGCTGTAGTCAATGAATAGCATTCTCACATAGGTGTTCCTTTTGTCCAGGTGTGAAAGGGCAGTGTGGAGCGCAATAGAGATTGCATCATCTGTGGATCTGTTGAGGCTGTATGCATATTGGAGTGGGTCTAGGGTTTCTGGGATAATGGTGTTGATATGAACCATGACCAGCCTTTCAAAGCACTTCATGGCTGAAACATGTTGGTATTACAGACAGACAGAAAATGTCAGTGAAGACACTTGCCAGTTGGTCAGCGCATGCACAGAGTACACGTCCTGGTAATCCGTCTGGCCCTGCGGCCTTGTGAATGTTGACCTGTTCAAAGGTCTTACTCACATCGGCTATGGAGAGCGTGATCACACAGTCGTCCGGAACAGCTGATGCTCTCATGCATGTTTCAGTGTTACCTGCCTCGAAGCGAGCATAGAAGTAATTTAGCTCGTCTGGTAGGCTCGTGTCACTGGGCAGCTCGCGGCTGTGCTTCCCTTTGTAGTCTGTAAGAGTTTGCAAGCTTAGTGGCTTACAATTGTTGAACGGCCAAGGACTTTTTAACAGATACTTTGAAGGTTAAATGTCATATTCAGCGAATCATGTAATTATAAGTAAATTCCTCTCATAAAAATGCAGCTTAGATTCCAACGATTAAAAATGCATGAAATCCACATTTACATTCCCAAACATTCTGAAAAGCCACACTGTGGTTTCCTAAGGTCTCTAACATGTCATTAGAACACGATATGAGTGTCACCACAGCAAGCTTGGACTTGCATTTCTAGTTAAATTTGATAGGCCTACATGTTGAACACAAAAAACAACCCAATGAAAAGATCCAGGACCTTTATGTAGATAACTACCGAGGGGGATATTCCAGGGGGTGTCTTTGAAAAGGTAGTATTCATGTCATAGCATGAAGTCACTGTCAAAAGTTTAAATATCTTTGCCGAGCTCATGGCCTGTTAATCACATTGACAATTTCTATGCTCATAAACTGTGAGCACAGGAAGATTGCTTTTCCCGAAGAATATCTCATAAATCTATTTCCCCACAGAAGTCTC